TCCCCGGCATCCTATATGGTCCCCTAAGCACTGCCAGTAGTGATTCCTGAGTGAAGAGCCAGGAGTGAAAACTGAATATCGCCAAAACAAAAAACAGACAAAAATCATATGATCATCCAGTGGTTCAGAAAATGCATTTTACAAACATCCAACACCCATTTAAGATAAAAAAAAAATAACTGTACCTCATAAAAAAAAGATAAAAAAAAAACTTCCAAATAAGTGGGTACAGAGAAATGTACCTCAACATAATAACATCAGAAGTGATAAGCCCACAGCTAACATCACACTCAATAATGAAATGCTGAAAGTTTTCCTCTAAGATCAGGAACAAGACAAGGATGAGTACTCCTGCCACTTTAACTTAATATAAATTACACTTAGTTACAGTAATTTTAAAAAAGGAAAGGCATCCAAATCGGGGGGGGGGGGGGGGGGGGAGTTAAACTGGCACTATTTTCAGATAACATGATATATAGAAAACCTGAAAGATTTCATAAAAAAAAACTGTCAGGACTAATGAAGTTAAAAAATACAAAATCAGTATTAAAAAAGTTGTTGAGGGGCTGCAGCGATAGCACAGCTGGTAAGGCGTTTGCCTTGCATGCGGCCGACCTGGGTTCGATTCCCAGCATCTCATATGGTCCCCCGAGTACTGCCAGGAGTAATTCCTGAGTGCATGAGCCAGGAGTAGTCCCTGTGCATCGCTGGGTGTGACCCCAAAACCAAAATAAGTAAATAAAATTTAAAAAAGCTGTTGAGTTTTGTTTCATGACGGCTACCAGAAATTAAGAAAACAATCTTAATATGATTGCATCAAAAATAAAATTCCTAATAATCAAGGAAATAACCTACATACCAAAAAATCTGACACTGAGGAAAAAAAAAGTTAAACAAGACACAAATGGCAAGATATTCCATGTGGGCTGGAAGAATCAGTACTGTCACAAATGCACATAGAAGGGGGCAGAAGGATGGTACGAGGATTAAGGCCCAGGCTTTGCCTGCGGTCAACTCCGTTCAATTCCCAATCCCAGCTGGAGCCCCCATCCCCACACGGTCTCCTGAGCATCAGTAGGTGCAACCCTGGAGGCCTCCAGCACCACTGACCCAGGCAATCCCCCGTCCCACAGGGCTAGAAAAATCACCATATCCTCATGACAAGCACTGAATTGCCACTAAAGGTCAGGTGGGTCAAGAATCTTCAGGAAGGGATCCCAAGTCCTTTGACAACTGCTTGGGAAATTCCCCCAAAATTCAATGCAACGGTATCAAAATTCCTATGGTGATCTCACAGATACTGAACCTGGGGCTGCCGCAGACAAAACCTGCGATCAGCCCTTGAAGCTATCTCTCCAGCCCTGTGTATCAGGTATTGTAAGCCCCCTCATAATCGGTACCTCACCTTCCTTGTCTACTATTACAACTTCCATTACAACTTCCATACATAACCTGCCCTCTAGTCAGTTACAACTATTCATTTTTTTTGTTTTTATTCCTTCATTGCTTCTTTCCATTTCTCCTCTGACAGGCAAACTTCCATTCAAGTTCCTACCCTCAGTTCCAAGCACTCTTTCGAAAAAGTCCCTCTTGTTCACACCTCTGTCTCCCAGAAGCTTTTCTGTATGGACTTGAGTTTTTCCATCTAGGATTTATTACACTTTTTGTTGCTGTTGTTGTGAATCTGCTCCCTTTCAGGCAAGAACCATTGGAACTCCTCAGGGTACAAGACGGTGTCTGTCAGAAAATAAGTCAAGTATAAAGGCTAGGTAGGGGGTTTGTTTTACATGTCGCTGACCCAGTTCAATTCTCAACATCCCATAGGGTTCCCAGAGCACCACCAGAAGTAATTCCTGAGTGCAGGGTCAGGAGAAACCCCTGAGAACTGCCAGGTGTGGCACCCCACCCCCCAGCAAGAAAGAAAAGAAGTCTCAAGGTTTGATCTTCAAGTCCCTGTTCTCCCTTGAACATAAATCTCACTTGCTTGTCTGTATGTATCTTCGCTTATTTTCACTCTGGAGTAACTCATGATTTCTCTAGAACATATTTCACCTCTTTTTCTCCACTCCCATCTTTCTAAATAAGTCTCATTCAGTAAAAACTATCTTGCAGAAAGCAAGCAAGCAAGCAAGCAAGCAAGCCAGCCAGCCAGCCTCAAGAAATGCTTATTTTATTCTATTACTTTGTTGCTTTGTTTTTAGGCCACCCCAGTAATGCTCAGGCCTTACTCCTTGCTCTGTGCTCAGTAATCACTCCTAATGGTGCTCAAGAGACCGTATATAGTTCCAGGGATCAAAGTGGGTTTCCTGCACACAAGGCAAGTGCCTTACCCCCTGTACTGTCTCTCTAGCCCCAAGAAATGCTTTTCTATTTTTAAATTTGGGAGCACACCTAGAAGAAATTAGGGTTCCCTCCTGCCAATACTCAGGGGACCATGCAGTATCAGATTCAAACGCAAGTCTCTCTCACTTGTAAAGCATTTATTCTAGCCCTTGGAGCCATTTTCCCAGGAGTTAAATAATTTTATTTAATTAACTTGTAGGGGTGGGGATTTGGGGCCCCATCTGCTCATGTTTGGGGGACACTGCCAACTCTGTGCTCAGGAGTGATTCTAGGCAGTGCCAGGGATTGAAGCAGACCTCCTACACACAGAGCACACACACTGAACCATCTCTTTGGCCCCTATTTTCAATAACTGATTCAATTATAACACGTAAGCTAAAGCCAAGAGCAATGGTAAGTACATTATTCATTGCCTACAAAATAATGGTAATAAAGTTCTGGAAAGTTTAGGAAGCGGTCCCAGAACAGAACTAGAAAAAAAGGATTCATGCAGCCGGAGTGACAGTACAGCAGATAGGGTGTTTGCCTTGTAAGTGGCCGACCCGGGTTCAATCCCGGGCATCCCATACAGTCCCCCAAGCACCACTAGGAGAAATTCCTGAGTGCAGTCAGGAGTAACCCCTGAGCATCGCTGGGTAAGACCCAAAAAGGCAGGAGGGAAGAAAGGAAAAAAGGATTCAGAGATGTAGTCAGTGGGTTTACTTAATGAAATTTTGTTCATGAGGCTGGGCAGACGGTGCAAGGGTTAAGGTACAAGAACTGCATATAGCCAAGCTGGGTTCAGTACCACAGGGTCCCCTTAACAGCTCTGGAATGGCCAAGGAGGCCCCTGAGCACTGCTTGAAAGACCCCACCCACCACCACCACCAACTCTAACTTATTCAACAAGTATTTACTAAGCAATACGCATTAGGAGTGAATAAGATACAAAGTTACTGATATTCTTATTATAATCTGTGGACATCTATGGAATATATTTACCTGCCCATTAAACGACTAAGTATGTTAACAGCAACTTGTGTTGAGTGTTTTGTACATGGGTAGAAATTCACACCTTTTGGAGTGTCCTCTCTGCAGAAATGAGAGAAGTAGATGAAAAGGGCTAATAAAACTTGCTTTTTTTATTTTACAAAATAGAAATGTCCTTTTGCACTGTTCTGCCTTATAGAAACAGGGCAAATTTTATTCAGCATCAGGCTGGAAAATGGCCTGTTCTTCCAACCATGTAAATTAGATCCCATCACTCTGCTGCTCAACCACCTTTAACTAGGTATTTTTAAAATATGCAAACCTTTCACCTGGTGTACAGGCATGGCCTCTCATTATCCGCATTATCTGGCCCTGCCTAAGGTGTTCCAGCAGCATCCCAGCACCATCACCTCCAATCCTTCCCAAACACACCAGCCTTCTTGCCACTCCTTGAACATACTAAGCTTATTTCTGCTTCAGGAACTTTGCTCTTTCACCCTCCTGACACTCACTTCTCGCAGATTTTTCAAGGTTTCCTCCCTTACCTTATTCAAGCCTGAGCTAAAATGTCGCCTCAAATCGAATTTGCACAGCCACTGAAAACTGCGTTGCCCACCGCCCTTCCCCACCATCCTTTTTGCCCTACACTGCTCTTAACCTCTTACTACTTGCATACTGCCATGCACCCACTAGAGAGGGAACCTGTAAACCTTTCCACTGTAATTTCCAATAGTACCAGCATTGAGATCCGCCTCTCACAATGACAAATCATCTCAGAGCTGGAGAAATAGTACAGCAGGTAAGGCGCTTCGACAAAGATTAGATTCCAACTTCACGTATGATGCTTGCCATCCTCTCCCTCAGCACTGCCAGGAATGATACCTGAGTGCAAGAGCCAGGGCTAAGTAAGCCCTAAGCAGTGTCATTCTCACCAGAGCCTTTTAAGACCCATGACACTTAGGGGAACTAACTCACTTAGGGTTCTTTCCCTTAAGTAAGCACAATGAAAAAAGGTTTTATCCGCCCTATCAAGAGCTACTTGTTCTGCGGCAAAGACCCATTCACTGTCAGGTCTTCCACTCAATTTACCCTGACTACTCGAAGCGTTCCTGTGCAAAATTGCAGCCACCGTTAAAATTAGGGTGCAGGGGCTGGAGCAATAGCACAGCGGGTAGGGCGTCTGCCTTGCACACGGCTGATCCGGGTTCGATTCCCAGCATCCCATATGGTCCCCTGAGCAACGCCAGGAGTGATTCCTGAGTGCAGAGCCAGGAATAACCCCTGTGCATCGCCGGGTGTGACCCAAAAAGAAAAAAAAAATTAGGGTGCAAATCTGGCGCAAGCAATCAAAAAGTTCTTAAGAAGACCACAGCTGAAGGCCACGATCTTGACTTCTAGCATTCACCAACCCTGGGGCGGGACCGCTTATTAACATTGATTTTTAAACGCCCAACACCACATAACAACAGCCAGAGAAGCACGACCTGCCGAGGTCCATCCCGGAGACATCCCAAGTGACAGCGGCGGGAGCTGGGACCCGGGGACCCCGCCTACCCCCGGGGGCGTGTGTGAGGCAAAGGAGCTGCGCCCAAGGGGGGCCGGGAGCAGGGTGAGGACTCACGTGCCCCCCACCTCTCACCCCCCCCACCCAGCCCCAACCCCTCTGGCTCGGCAAGCCCCCGCCTCACCGGTTCCTGCGCTCCCCAGGAGCCGCTCCGGCACCCCTCGTAGGTCTTCATGGAGGCCGCGAAAGATCTCGTGCAATTTCTCAAAGTGCTCCGACGAGGCGGCGGAAGTGGCCATGGCTTTGGCCGCGCTCGAGCAGCGAACGCCACACCCGGGGTTCGGGGCCCGCTCCCGGCCCGGCGCTCAGCCCCGGCAGCCCGCGGGCATCACGGCCGCCACCGCCGCCGCCGCCGCCGCCGCCGCCACCGCCCTCCAGATGAGGCACTTCCGGGCCCCGGAGACTCCTGGCGAGCCAGAACGCCCACCCGCGCCTCGCTGTCACGAGGAGGGGCGCCTGACGCAAAGGCCTGACGGAAAGTCGGGGGGCGGGGCGGGGAGTTGTCCAGCGCGGACGAAGAGAGCTACATCGCGGCGAGCGACAGCTCAAGAGCCCGCAGAAATGCCCAGCCCGAGGCTGGGGAGAAAAACGCCACCATGAAAGGGGCTGTCAAGGGAGAACCCGCGAGACAGGCAGCGCGGCCGCCCCCGCTACGGGGGCCCGGGGCCGGGGGCGGGGCGCTGCGGTGCATGCCGGGAGTTGTAGTTCCGGACGGAAGTTGACATTCGAGTTGTTTGGCGGGGGTGTGGGGTTGGGGGGGGGTCTGTGGTTCTCCGGGTATTGCCGCTACCCCCAGGATGCTAATGCGCTGTAGCTCTGTGCGCTTTGCCGTCATCTTCACTGCCCTGCACGGTTTGGCCACCATGACTTCCGTGTTTTACTCCTGCCCAGAGCAAACATTATGAATTGAATTCAGCCTCCGAAAGAAAATCGGGCCAGTTCCTACCAGCAACTGCGGTGGTCAAGTGACCCGAGGCACGTGCTTTCATAAGTGGTCCCCAGGTTGTGTGATCTTTATAATAAGCCCTCGGGTTTACTAAGCTACCTTAGCCTTTCTAGTACGCCAGTTCACTCTACAGGTGTTTTCTAGATGGTAAGCGTATCACAGTGCAAAGAGCGGGGCGTGTGTTAGTGAATGAGTGATTCTCCTGTCTGCGCTGGGGATTTGCGTCGTGGAGACCTGGCTTCGTCTGCTGCACTCAGGACCTTTTCACAGTCGCGAACTATTCCAGAAATGTTTGCTTGGCAGCCCAATGCTTAAATTACCCACACATTAAGAGTAAATAAATGTTCAAGGGGGAAAGTATTTGGTGATTTGGTTCCAGTACATTTATTTTTACCAGACTGTGTTCATTGATCACCAATTCAGCACTTTTGTTGAACCTCTAATATTCTTTGAGCATAGAGATCGTCACAAATCCCTTTACACTGTGATTTGGAGGGGAGGGTATAAAAAAATGGGGTGATTAAGGAAAAGATGATCTTTGAATAGTGTCGTAAAAAAACGAGTGTGTTAATAATTTAAGTTAACACACAACCAGAGTTAATGATATTTGAATTCAGTGTATTGTGGCTGGACTCTGGACGGTTTATACTTAGAATGAGAAATGATTGCATAACAGTAATAATGAAAAGTGTCTTCTTATTTTGACTATAATTATGGTTCCCTTTAATTCTTCTCCTGGCTAAGAGGCTTTAGCTCTTACAGTTTTTATTCTGGTAAACAAAAACAAGATAATCAGAAAGAATTTTTTGTCATTGACAATTTAATATAAATTAGGGAAAATTTATATTCAGTTATTCTTCTGCACTGTTATCAAAAGTTTTCCTGTTTCCCACAAAGTAACATTTTCTGATTACAACGTTTAATGGTCAAACCAAATTCAACAAAAAATTGCTAGTGCCAGAGAGACAGCACAGAAAGTAAGGTATTTGCCCAGCACCACTTATGGCCCCTAGTACAATCTCCAGCACCACTTATGACCCCTAATACTACCAGGAGTGACCCCCGAGCACCAAGTCAGGAGTAAGCCCCTGAGCGCTTCCAGCTGTGCTCCCAAACTCCCATCAAAAACAAAATAACATTAATTCACAATAAGATTGTGGTCCTGCAACATTTTTGTTCTGGGTTTTTGGGCCACATCCAGTTGTGCTCTGGGCTCACTCTTGGCTCTATGCTCAGGGATCAATCCTGGAGGGATCTGGGGACCATACATAGTGCTGGGGATCAAACCCAGGTGAATTGCTTGCAAGGCAAGCACCCTATCTTCTGTATTATCACTCTAGCCCCATGGTCCCACAATTTCCCACATAAAAGTAAACAATGGTCAGTCCAAGAAAATCACAAATTCTATTAAAACATACAAATAATGTTACTTTTGATAAAAGTTCTTCAAATAAAACATTGCTTTTGGTAAATACATACTTTATTCTTGTCTAGATAATGTAAGGAAATGCTCTAAAAGGTGATGTAGTTAACTTGTAACCACCAATATCAATCCTTAACAAATTAATTTTTTTAAATAAAGAATTGCAGTTATTTCATTTCCATTTGTTTGGGACTTTTGCCCCCTGCCATGCTGTTTGGTGTTTGTTAGGCTAGTGCCTTACCCTTCTTGCTAACTCAGATGCTCATCCTTCTTTTTATCTATGGCTGGATATTTTTATCTTTTTCTTATTGTTTATTATTCTTTTTTTTTTTTTTTTTGCTTTTTGGGTCACACCCGGCGATGCTCAGGGGTTACTCCTGGCTCATGCACTCAGGAATTGCTCCTGGCGGTGCTCAGGGGACCATATGGGGTGCTGGGAATCGAACCTGTGTCGGTCATGTTGGCTGCGTGCAAGGCAAATGCCCTACCCGCTGTGCTATCGCTCCAGCCCCCTTGTTTATTATTCTTAACTTAGTCTCTTCATTGCCCACAGTCTTTTAGGATGCTTCTTTTTGTTGGACTGCTTGCCTGCTCCCTGAGTGCTGCTCAGTGGGTAGCTATCAATATATAGAGTTGGCTCTCTTTCATGCTCTACCCATTATCTCAGAAGACATTTGTTTCCTCCATCTTTTTGGAGGGCAGGAGGGGCTATTCCTAACTCGTTGCTCAGGAAACCAAGCTGTGCAAGGATCAAATTTGGGGTTTCAATATGCAAAACATGCACTTTTGCCCTTTAAGCCATCTCCCCAGCCCATCGCATTTGATAATTTACCTGCTTCATCCCCTTCCTTTGGGCCTGTTATGAATTTTGTGAAAATATCCTCAGCTGCATACATACACAAGGACATTGTGTATAACCATCAAATAACCTTTTCCTTCTTCTGGCTAAGAGAAACTAAGGCACAAAAAGGACTTGTCCCTGGGGATTAGGGCAATAACTGCTCTTTTCACTACCTTCTCAGAAATAGCAGGAAAATTACAGTTTAAACTATAATTTCCCCCCTTCGTGCTGCCCCCATAAACTTCATATTAAAGGAATCTCTTCTGGGACTGGATAGATAAAGAATTGGAGTGAATGTTTTGCAGCTGGAATCTCAGGTACAATCCCCAGCACCTGCATGGTTCCCTAAGCACTGCAGGAGTAGCCCCCAGTACCTCTGGGTATTGGTTCCACCATCAATCCCCCCCAATAAAGGGGGTGCAGAAGCTCTTCTGCATCCTATAGATATAAAAAGGCATCTTAATAGAGTAGCTTCGGTTGTCAGCGATAAATCTATGCCAAAATCCAGATTCAGTTCAGAATTTCCCCAATGAACCCAGATATTGGCATATTGATGGTCTTCATAGGAGGTGCGGGACAAGCCACTCTGACTCCTGGTGTTCATCGAAGGCTCTGGCGTAGCTCTCTTTAAGGTTAGTTTGGTTGGCTGAGAGGAACTGTAAGTAACAGTGTAAAAACTGGTCCTAACTGCTATAAATCAAACTTGTCTTCTCGTTTGATTTATAGCAGTTTGCATGTCATATGAGGGTCCTGTTTTGTTTTGTACCAGGGGGCCACACCTGGTAGTGCTCTTGGGTTACTCCATGCACTCTGTTCAGGCATTGTTCCTGGCAATGCTCGGATGACTGTGTGTTCATTTGATAAGCAGACTTCTTGCATGCAAAGCCTGAGCACTAGCTCACTGAGCCACCTTCCTAGCCCAGGGATCTTCTTAGCTCATTATAGCTCTCATAACTCTGGCAGTAATAAGAGCAAAGTAAATCTGTACAAATGCAAGGCTGTTAGACGAATCTGGCAGTATTCCAGACTTTTATCACACGTTAAGCAGGCACGGATATAAGGTCTGCTCTCAGTCCATGCTCAAAATTTTAGCAACCCTGAAAGAGAAGTACATTGGCAAGGAGTAATCTGCTGCTGCAGGCTTCTATTGGGTTCAAATACCACCACCCATCAATGCGTAGGGATGTCCAACAGGTCACAGCTAGTGTCCCATAGTCGCCGTGCGACTGTCTCATTTCGACCCTGGGCAGAGATCCATGCCACTTGGCAGTCACTGGAAAGAAAAAGAGAAGATCTAAGTACAGGATTAAAAATGGAGACTAGCTTGTTCTTTAAGCACATGTTCTCCCTTGAACAGGTATTTCACTTGCTTATCTCTATATTTCTTTACTTGCTCGGAAGCCTGTGTTCCTTCTTGTACATGTACTCCCTCTATGAAACTTCTATGCAAGTTTCTTTCAGTAAAAACTAAATTGCATCACCAAAAGGAAAAAGAACACATTGTCGGAATTTCTATTTGTCATGGATGCATTTGGAGTGTTAAAATAGTACTTATTGTTTCTAGTTAACCTGTAGTTTTCAGCACTTTTAAATTCAAATAACAAGCAAACTAGTTTCATAAAGAAAGAAGGAAAAGATAATAGTCACAAAGAAGTGGTTCAATTGGTGCCAAGGCTTTCATACTATTCTCTCCATTGTAATCTGAAATTTTTGTGTTTTGAAATACCATGAATGGGGCTGAAGCAATAGTGAAGTGAGTAGTTTCCTTGCCTTGCAAGAGGCCAATCTTAATTTCACTCTCAACACTATATGTGGTTCCCTAAGCCCTGCAGGAGTGATCACTGAGCACTGAGCCAGGAGTACAGGTTTAAGTCCCAAGCACTGCCAGATGTATTCCAAAAAACAAAATTAAGAAAAAAGTGAGAAAGACTGAATTTCCCCCTTATAAGGAATGAAACATTTGCAAATTGTGTATCTTTATCTATATGTATGTGTGTGTGTGTGTGTATATATATATATATATGTGTATATATATATATATATATTAGAGGGACTAACAAGGAGATTAGATATAGTACAGTGGGTAAGGCACTTACTTGCACTGGACATGATGAACCTGGGTTCAAGTCCTGGCACTGAATATGGTATCTCAAGCCCCACCAATGTTATCCCTGAACACAGAGCAAGGAGTAAGCTCTAAGCACAGCCAGATGTGGCCAAAAACACAAATAAAAAAATAATAAATATGAGGTCGAGAGGTAGTACAACAGGTAAGGTGCTGCTTTGCACATGGCCAACTGGGCTTGATCCATGGCAAAATATATGACACCTTGAGCCCACCAGGCATGATCCCTGAACACAGAGCCAGAAGTAAGCTCTGAGCACAAAATCAAACAGAAACAAAAATAAAAATAAGGGATTTATATCTAGGTTATGAAAGAACTGTTAATAACCAAATAATCATCTAATTTAAAAATGGGCATAACAACAACAGACGAATGGATAAAGAAACTATGGCATATTTCCACAATGGAATACTATGCAGCTATTAGGGAAAAAATGAAGTCATGAAATTTGTCTATAAATGGATGGATATATGGAGAGTATCATGCTCAGTGAAATGAGTCAGAAGGAGAAGGACAGATATCGAATGACTGCATTCATTTGTGGTATATAAAATATATAAATATAGTAGCACTGTAGCACTGTCTTCCCATTGTTCATCAATTTGCTCAAGCGGGCCCAGTAACGTCTCCATTGTGAGACGTGTTACTGTGTTTGGCATATCAAATACGTCACGGGGAGCTTGCCAGGCTTTGCCATGTGGGCAAGATACTCTCGGTAGCTTGCCGGGCTCTTCGAGAGGAGCGGACAAACTGAACCCGGGTCGGCCGGGTCGGCCGCATGCAAGGCAAATGCCCTACCCGCTGTTCTATCACTCCAGCCCCATATGTATAGTATTGAATTAATATCCATGGTCAGGAAAAACAGGTGCTAGGAGAACTGGTGAATGGCTGGAACTAAACACAAGTATGTGGGGGGCAGAGGGTAGATAAGATAGAGACCAGTATGACCATAAGAGCTGGGAATGATCATGCTGGTCAAGATCTGAGTGTTAAAAGTAGGTAAAGGGATATTCTTGACAACCTTTCAGTATTAATATTGCAAACCACAATGCCCAAAAAGTAGGGGGTGGGGGAGAGAGAAAGAGAGAGAGAGAGAGAGAATACATATGGAATAATTAAAATAATATGGAAGGAGAAAAATATAGAAAGACTAGTATATGCAGTAGGGCAGGATTGGCCATGTGGCTTAAAAGTTTTTGAGGCTGGATGATAGATACATGTGAATATGGCATCTCAATATGGTATCTTTGTCTACTGCTATGTATATTCAAAATTCCCTAAAAGTAGTACTTTAAAAGTCTTCATTTATTCATTTATTCAAGAAAGGAATCTAATAATATGATTTCAGTCCTAAAGGGAATAGGAAAATACAGATTAAATTTTTATTCTAGTTAATTATTTTTGGGGGGCGGGTTACACCTAGTGATGCTCAGGGATTACTCCTAGCTCTGCACTCAGAAATTACTCTTGGTAGTGCTAAGGGGACATACGGGATGCCAGAGATCAAACCTGGGCCGGTCGCGTGCAAGGCAAACACCCTACCTGTATTACTCGCCTCCTAAGTTCTTTTTAATATATATATGTAAATGGCGAAGTAGAGGGGCCAGAGAGAAAGTACAGAGGATAAGGCAATTGCCTTGCACACTGCTGACCTCGGTTCAATTCTCCGCACTGCATGTGGTCCCCCAAGCACAGCCAGGCATCAGTCCTGAGTACAGAACCAAGAATAGCCTCTGAGCATGTCTGGATGTGAATCAAATCCCTCCATCCCTCAAAATATAAAAGGGCAAGTAAAATCTTTAGAATCAAAAGACAAAAGCTAAGTTGGATGGTATACTTTAAAAAAAAGAAAAGGAAAGAAAGAAAGAAAAAGGACATGCAGACCAGATAAATCCAAATTGTTTCCTCCAAACAACGAAGTCTCATCTTGAAAGCCAAGTGCTTTCATACCTGAAGTGTTTCCCATTGAGACTCTCAAGACCTTCTGTTAAGGCACAGTACAGGGTGGTCTGGGCTCCTTGCTGAGGGTTCTTGACAAAGGAGGAGAAAAGCCGCCACATCCACTTCAAGAAAGTTGAGTGTCGAACTAATTCGGTGTTAACCGTGCCAGGGTGTACGGAATATGCGGTGACGCCGGAGCCTGTCAAAGAGAGAGAGAGAAAGTCAGGACTTGATGTTGCCGAAAGGCCAAAGGGAGCAGAGGACGCAGCACCTGTGTGCTCCCTTCCCACGAGGAGCCACCAGCACCTCGGGGTTTCTTTGTTTCTCTCTCACTAGGGCTCAGCAGTCACTATTAAGGGGCAGCAGAGCCCAGACTAGGCCTCCAAGCAGCCCTCCCCTCTGTCGTCCACCCCCTTTTGAAAACTGCCTTTCACTGGCTTCCGGGACTATCCCCCTCGCCCCCACCCCAAATAACTCTGGTTTTCCCAACCTTTCCGGCCGTTTTCTTGGTTTCTGGAATCAGTTCATCCTATTCTAACCATAGATTCTTGTTCATTTTTTGGGCCACAGCTGGTGGTGTTCAGGATGTGTTCCCGGCTGTGTGCTCAGGGAACCATATGCAGTGCTGGGGATTCATACCAGGGTCAGCCAAATGCAAGGCAGGCATTGTAACCAGATCTCTCTGACCCCCAGCATATCCTACCCAGACTTTATTGTTTCTGTTTGTTTTGTTTTCTGGCCACACCTGGCAATGCTCAGGGCTTAGTCCTGGCTTTTTACTCAGGGATCACTCCTAGTGATGTTTGGGGGACCATAAGCGATGCCAGGATTCAAACTGGAATGGGAGGCATACAAAGCAGCACCTTAAGCCCTGTACTGTCTCTCTGGCCTAACCCTAAAACTCTTAGTGTGGCCCCATAATATGTGGCCTTTACTTACCACCTCAGTTTCAGCACAGGACTCTAGTCCTCTTGCTTTGTAGAGTCTAACCATGTGGCCATCTCAGTTTCTCAGGCGGTACCCAGCTTCAGTTCCTTCCTTCTGTCTGGAATGTTTCTCAAACCCCTCTGAGAGGCCTCATTCCCACCACCTCTGAACCCATTTCATTCTCATCATCCTGCTACCAAGGCTCAGCTTGCAACTCGCTTCCTCCGAAGTCTTCCCTGATCCCTCAAACTAAAGAATGCGCCCTTTCCAGACCAATATTATTGGTATTTACACTGCCCCTTGATAGCGTTTAGCACAATTATAATTAAGATTAGAAAAAGGAAACAATCTAAATGCTGTCAAAGAAATGGAAGAGTAAATCAAGAATAGTATCAATAAGATTTAATGCAGATGGGAAGGGGGGCGTTCCGGCCTGTCCTTCACGCCCTACCGAGGTCATCAGTTGCCCCCCACGAGCGGCTCTCCAGCACGGCCATGGCCCCAAAAGCACAAGGACTTAATGCAGAAGCCAGCAGCTTGGAGCAGAAAAGTTAACGGACTATGCGTTAATCCACACCATCATGTCTGCCCGGAGGGGAAAGGGTGTTGCTCCCCTCCACCCTCTCCTCTCTGGAAAGAAAGATGGCGGCCGCATGGGAGCCTGGTGGAGAGCAGGTCTGAGCCGGGGGTGGGGGTGCGACTGAATCCTCATGGGAAGGGGGGCATTCCGGCCCATCCTTCACGCCCTACCGAGGTCACCAGTTGCCCCCCATGAGCGGCTCTCCCACATGGCCATGACTCCAGAGCAGAAACCAATCTCTTAATTATCTGACTTTTAGTAGAAATACTTCCAGGGTTAATAAGTAAAATAGCAGAAATCCAACACATCATTTAATGCTTGAACCCAGCTGTAGAAAGCAAATCATTTCACAATGTTTTTCAGTATGGCTGATTTGGGGGGGGTAAACTCTAAATAATAATGGTGCAACTTTTATCGAAACAATGAAGCTAGTCAAAGTAGATAGAGTTTTTAACTAGAATTCATCTGCCTCACAGGCATTGAGGGGGGTGGGGGGGTTTATTGGGGTTCTTCGTGGTGAAAAATAAGTATTGGTAAAGGGAAATGTGATAGATATTTGCATGACCGAGACCTAAACCTGAAAGCTTTGTAACTTTTCCCACAGCGATTCAATAAATAAATATTAAAAAAAAAAGATTTAATGCAACAACAGAGGGTAAGTCTCTGTGTACTGAAAGATCTCCCCAAAACTGTGTGCTGTAATTGCAGCCCCTTGTTTGTGACACACATGGACATGCCTAAGAAAATTAAAAGAAATTTGTCAGATCAACTTACTGACAATGGTTTCTTTTTTTTGGTTTTGTTTTAGTTTCAGGAGGGGGACCCAGAGGCTATTCCCAGTAATACTCAGCTTAGCCCTGCAGGCCTAATGGTCGGGTGGTTGGGTCTAATGATTTAATGCTACCAGGGCCCAGCAATGCTCAGGGGTCACCAAGGACATCCCAGGCACATTAGAAGGAAGGTAGGGGAGGCAGGCATGTAGCACTAGGGGTCAAACTTAAAGCCTAGCACATGCAAGGCATATGCTCCAACCCTTTGAGCTATCACACTAGCACCAAGTGGCTTTGTGAGGGGAAAAGGTAGGAGGAGGAGCAAAGGGACTTAGGGAAGAAGGGGTATTTTACATTTAACTCTATTTTTAATTTATGTGAACTTTTCCAATGAGCATTATTCGTGTAGTACTAAACTAAGTTTACACATGATAGTTATATAAATACTTGCTAAGTTGTGCCTCTCCTCCACTGGATATAAACCAAAAGGAGGAGGATGCAGTATCAATCTTTTCTAGTGCTCTGCGCCAAGGCCCTAGCCCCAAGCCCAGCATCGCTGGAGTACAGAACACACACTGGCTGAGTGCATGGTTCTCCTGTCACGCTCACATTGCTTTCATTATACCACTGATGTTTTTCACCTAACCCATAAACCTCTCAGGCTTTCCCTTCAGTTTTCTCTGCATTTATCTACTTCTTGAGCGTAGGCCCAGCACTTCACCTCCAAGTCATACTCATTCCCTGCCCAAACCCTTGGGCACTTTTCGCCATCCTTTGACTTTCATCCATCTGAGCCCTCCTGTGAGCCCAGACTGGGCATCTGATCTGAGCTGACCACTTTCTTTTCTCTCCATTTCACAGCTGTCCACGTGGCTTAATGATCCTATTTCAACAAGGGGGGTCCCGAATTCTGCCTGCCTTAACTCCTAACCAACTCCAGCTGTCCACCCTAGTTTTCCTTTGATTTTATTGGAAATCCAGACTAGACAATGCTATAGATCTCTATGAGTGAACTCCCCACTCACCAGACATACATTTCCATCTCATTAGATTCAATTTTGAAGGAGACTTTCCTCCAATTTCTGTACAATTCTGTGTCTGTTTTTATTTATTTATTTTTGCATCACAACCAGTGATGCGCAGGGGTTACTCCTAACTGAGCACTCAGGAATTACTCCTAGCAGTGTTTGGGGGACCATCTGGGATTCCCAGATAGGCTGTATGCAAGGCAAACAGGCCCTACCAGCTGTACTATCGCTCCAGTCACCACTCCCCAACCCCCCAATTGTTTTATCCTAATTGTATTGCATGCCAGTTTAGGCCCCTTTCCATTTAAAAAAAAAAATCCTGACTTGTTTACAAAGTCTGAATTAGTAACAAGCTGTGTAGTCATTGCATTTTGCAGAAGTAATTTGAAATGTAACTCGCAACAGAGTCCTACAACAAGGAGTGGTAAAGCCAAGTCTTCAGACTCAAAGTCAAGGTTTCCCCTGTCCCCTGCCAGTCACCCCAAGCTACAGTTGAGGACCTATTACCGAGATGATACCAAGTTATCATTGCGGAAGCAGTTCCTATCCAGGGGTCTTGAAAACTTCTTTCACTATGGCTTTTAGCTATTTACCAGGATGACCTGTGTTTCCACACTTGTGTTTTCAAAGCTTACCTTTTATCCTCCTGGCCAGTTCCTGAGTGAAGAGAATGTTGGCCAGCTTGCTGTGACAGTAAGCCAGGCCTGCATTGTAGAACTTCTCACCCTGCAGATTGTGGAACTGAATCCTTCCCAGGTGATGTGCTAAGGATGACACATTCACTACCCTTGATGGGGCAGATTCCTTCAGCTTGTCTAGCAGCAGATTGGTCAGAAGGAAGTGACCTAGGAGATAAACTAGAATTAACTAGAGTCTAGGGCCTGTATGGGGTTGAGGGGAGCTGTGGTGAGCAGGGCTCGGGAATGGGAGACCAAAAAATTGAGAATAATTGTTTCCTTCATCAATTTATTATTAGCAACTACGGCACAAGTTTGTGAGGTTTGAGGCAACTAAGACAGTCAAAGAAACAAGACATCATTCTGTGAAGATTATCAAAAAGTACAGGAACATGAATATAAAGTTCAGTCTCATTCCAACTTCAACATCACTATTTTAAAAGCAGGTGGCCTCGATCTGATGTTGGCCACAAGATCACTACAAAGAATGCATCATAGCCTCCCAATCCAATAGGTCCATCCAAGTGAATTGAATCTGAATCACAGATCGTAAAGTGGGTGAAACCTCTAACAACCCTCCAGTTTGTATCTTTGCTTTCCAGGATGAACCATATTATTAATTATTCACTATGGCCCTTCACTGTCCAGAAGCATACTCACAGAGATTGAACCACAGAGAAGGTTCAATCTGACCATTGCATTTTCCAAGGAGAACAGTAGGTTCCTTTTACTTTGTGATGAGCAGGTTTCTTACCCAAGTGGTTGACTCCCATGTGCATTTCAAAGCCGTCTGCTGTCTTGGAATAGGGACACATCATTACGCCTGCATTGTTGATCAAAATGTGGAGCTGCTCTTCCTCTGCAGGGAAGAGGAGATGGGAAGTACCTAGTCACCACTCTCACATCTTGGACATCTGCTTTACACCCTAACTTTGTAAATGGGGCAGCAGGATATCAATCTAGCATCCATTTTTCTCTTCATTCATCTTTTATATATTTTTTAATTGAAATAATTTTGCTGATTTCTTTTACTATAGGTCAGAATTCCATCTTATACAACCAGATGGCCTTTATAATCTTTCCAATTCAGGAACTACTGATCCACTATTTCTGAAAACGTTCTACTTCTCCCAATAGAGTTTCAAAATGAATAGGAAGAATTCAAAACAAGTTAAAAAAATAATAAATTCTTTTTTCTTTTTTCTTTTTTTTTTTTTTCTTTTTGGGTCACACCAGGTGATGCACAGGGGTTACTCCTGGATCATGCACTCAGGAAGTACTCCTGGCGGTGCTCAGGGGACCATATGGGATGCTGGGAATCAAACCTGGGTCAGACAAGTGCAAGGCAAACATCCTACCCGCTGTGTACTCCTACTCCAGCCCCCCAAAAATAATAAATTCTAAGTGCACCCCTATCAGCCCAAAACGATATGGATTCCACTTCTTTGTTGAATCTGACAATGTTTCTCTTGTTCATTTTCTCATGTAGTTTGTTTCTGACTATTAGGCTCAGATCAATAGAAACTCATTTCCTTGGGAGGCCTAGATCCAAAGTTATAAGAGGAAATGGCTGCACGGTCTCTGATTTACATTTAATGTGATACCACAGGACTTTACGTTCATTTCACAGTTCAAGAGTCTTGGTACCATCTAGTGGTATGGATTCAGACCCTACAAATGAGGTTCTAACTTCTTAGGTAAGTAATCTAAATTATATCCATAAGCTTCTTTGTCATGTCCCAGAGCTAGAAGCTGGATTTTTCTAAGTCTTAACTATGGAGCAAAGAGTCCTTTGTGAACCCCTATCTTTTGTAGATCATGGCATGCAGGCCCTCAAAGACTTGAGATCCTATCCCTGTTTGAACTCCATATCCTGAAACCACATATAGTTCTAATATTTCTGTAAGATTTCTAGTCCCACCAGTAGGTTGATCACAAGATTCTCAAAACAGTCCAATTCTACACTTACCTGCTAAGAAGTTCTTAGCAAAGGCTCGGATAGATTTAGTATCAGCCAAGTCCAGTTTCCGCACCAAGACCTGTTGGTTCCCTGTCACAGTCTGGATCTCTTTGGCCACCAATTCCCCCTTTTTCACATCCCGACAAGCTAAATATATACGAGCTCCTGTCAATCAACATATAAGAGACAACTGTCAGCATTGTTTTGGTGAGAGCATGAAAGACCCAATACTGATAATGAATGTTATTTTCATTTAGTTTAATTTCTGAGCCACATGCAGTGGTGCTCTGGGATCACTTCTGGCAGTGCTCAGAGAACCATATGTGATGCCCAGGATTAAACCCAGTTTGGCTGTGTACAAGCCTGTTCTATCTCTCTGGGCTCTCTGCGTCTTTAAAAGAATTTTTATTCTTTACTCACAATACAGATATCTGCTAATATTGATAATTAAATTATAAGAAAAAAATCAATAGTACTTATGAAGTATTCATTATCTGTGGCAGTGCACTCAACTCAGGCCAGAAAATCAGTGGGATACTTGGAATGATCTTTGTATGTTGGTGCTGGCATGGACCACCAGTGGCTCACACATGAATGTGGCCTCATTAACACAAATGGCATCACGGACATCAAGGTGTTAAATTCCGAAGATAGGAAAGAAATAATAAGGATGGTCATTAATTGTAAGGGGCAAAATGGTAGGAGCAGGAGGGAATAAAAGGAGGATAAATTTACCTCTCTGAGCTAACTCCTTTGCTGTCTCCTTCCCAATGCCTGTGTTGGCTCCAGTGATCACAACCACCTTCCCAGGAAGCTGGACAGTGGACGTACACACCCCGTTGGACAGCATTTTCCTGCGGATAGAGAAGCAAAGCTTATTAGTTCTTCAGCCTTAGATTTGTTCTGGTTCCTTCTGCAACTTCTGTCCTCTTATAGGTTTAAGGACGGTTGGAAGAAAGAAAATGTGTGTTCCACTTTTGCTCAAGGACAAATGTGATTCCCTTACAAAGATAATGTTTAAAACTGTTCCTTGTAGTACGAAAAAATGATGAATAAGCTCTTGTACAGAAGACTGGTTCTGGCTTGAGCTTGCTGGAGAGCTCCTTCATAGGCTTAGGGGATCACAAGGCTAAGTCTAAGAGAATGGCTCTACTTATGTTAATCTGTCTCTACAAATAGCACCTTATGGCCTTAATAACTAATCCAACACAAAAAGTTAAGATTATAAAAATTTATTAATCTGGGGAAAAATTAACAGAAACACATGCAAATAAGAAAGGAAAGATGCAGGCAGAATGTCCTGACCCCACGCCATACTGTCTTCACCGGGGCACCTCGAAGGGGAACGGGTTGAGTTTCCCTCCCAGTCCCAAGCAGAACCCTGGCAGACAAAAACCTCTAGAACCAAACCTCTGCCATACCCAAGGCCACCCTCCACAGCCTCACACAAGAGGGGGACAAGCCTCACCCAAGGGGGGATGAATCACTTAAGAACGAACCAACAAAAAGACCCAGGTATGCAGGAACCCGTGACTGAGATTTCCAAGCCTGCTCGTCTCGGGACTGGGCCTCCTTCCCACTGCTCCCCAGTTTTCCAGTAGCTTGGCAGTCATACCCACAAACTGCTCCCAGAGCCATTTTTTTAAAAATCTCATCAATGGCCAAGACCCAGAGACTATAAACTAAAGCTTCCGGAAGAGAGCACTGCAGAATTTCCTGGAGTGCAAGGCCTTGACCTCTTACACTCTATCTTACTTACTTATCTAAAGATGCACACACATTTGTTTGGTTTTAACATACTTGCTTGCATTCTCTTATATTCGGGTTTAAATGGCTCCAGAATGAAATACAACAACCTTCACACACTTCCCTCTTATTGTGGTGGGAAGGAAGGTGCTTGATGGCGGGATTGGTGTTTGAATATTATCTGTGATGAACTATTGTGAACTACTTTCATGAAAACAAAATATATATATTTATATATATATAAAAGATGCAAATGAGTATAAAGGCTATTTGGGATTTAAATCTTATCATAATTATTCATTTTTATTCCTGTTTTTGTTTTTAGGTCACACCCAATTCAGGAGTTTACATCAGAAATTACTTCTAGTGGAGCTTAGGGAACATATGGGATGCTGGGAATTAAACTTGGGTCGGTTGCATATAAGACAAATGCCCTACCTGCTGTACTCTGGTCCTGTCTTTATTCCTGAATACTTAATAATTCTCCTTTTCCAAAGAATGAATGCAAATAGGGATTAGTAAATCTCAGGGGTTCTTCCTCCTCTCTGCAAATATTGGAACTCAAGCTAAAAGCCTGCTGAACCAGGGCCAGAGAGTTAGTAAAAGGAGTAAGGCACTTGCCTTGCATGCTGCTGGTCCCCAGAACCACATATGGTCCCCCGGTACTACCAGGAGTGGCACCTGAACATAGAACCAGTAGTAGTCCCTGAGCACAGAACCATGAGTAGCCCCTGAACACAAAAACCAGTAGTCTGTGAGCACTGCCAGGTGCAAAACAGAATGTGTTGATCAAGTGACACGCTTTATTTTTTGTTTTTGTTTTGGAAGTCAAACCTAGTTGTTCTCAGAACTTACTCCTGACTCTAAACTCATGAGTCACTCCTTAGAGTGGTCAGGGGACCATATGTAGTGGCAGGGATCGAACTGAGGGTCAACACATACAACGTAAATGTTGTGTCCCCAGTACTATCTCTCTGGCCTAAAATGCACTTTTAAAGAGGATTTCAGACTGAACTTTGAATTCAGATGCATGCTTCTCATTGCTCAAGTTACCTGCTGGAGGCAAACAGGATGATAAAGAAGCAAATAACTCATAATGCTCCCTGACCATTATACTCCTCCTCCAAGAATAAGTCTCCCTGTTTAGTTTCCTCATTCTTTAGCTCAGCTCCAAGAGTAACAGCATGTCAAGCCCTCTACTCAGTTCTTTCTTCTTAACTAGCCAGAAGGAAGGAGAAAATTAACGCCTAGACCTCCTGACCACGCCAGGAAGTTGGGGAGTCTCCTTGACGTATGAAGACTAGTTCCATTTCCTTTTTGATTTATTTTATTATTACTTATTTTTGTCTCCCCAACAGGACACAGGGGTGGGTAAGGGCGGGACGGGAGAGGAATGGGATCCAGGGCTTCACTTATAAGAAAGATGAGCTTTTATCACTGAGCCACATCCATGCCCACACCCCTTCAGTTTCAACTCTCAGTGAGATTCTATGAGGCTAAGAGGACTTTGTGGTTAAGAGATCAGGGTTTTAGTCTAAATATGGGTACACACTCTGTGCCCCTGGAGACGCGAGATCTGGGTGTTCCGAGGAAAGGAAAAATCACTGCCCAAAGCTGGCTAAGAGAGAGGGGAGAGAGGTGGGGGAAAAGAGGTGAACAGTGGAACTAACTAGTAGAGGTGCTCTAGCATGGATTCAAATTCAAAGCCTCCAAGAGACTGCCCCCTTTTGGGGGGACGGGTGTCTCTACTGTCATTGGCTCACCGTCACCACTGGTGACTGACTTGGAACCAATCGCCAGGCTGTCTGTTGTGCTGTCAGCCGGCTGTTTCCTGGAGTGTCCAGCTAGCCATTGGCTAGTGTGCCCGATGGACAACGCGCAACCTCTCCACCGCCCAATCCCAGCGCGCACGCATCTAAGCTCAAAGTCTACTCCACCTCCGAAGCCTTTTTTTTTAACCTTCACATATTCCCGGGGAAAGTGCAGCTCTGACTGCAAGAGTGAGCAGCTCTGGAAAACGAGAAGCTGAATGGCTCCATTGTACTCCAAGGACTGGAAGCAAGAAGCTGGATGGTTCAAGATGCGGGTAGCACGGGGTGGCGGGGGAATCTGGAGGAACGTGCCCCATTTTAGGTTCTGAAGGCGCCCCCAAAGTTATGAAATTAAACGACCTTACAAAGGGGGGGGGGGGCACGGGAAGAGAGAGGATAGAGCGCCCCTTCCCACCGCCTCCTTGGCTCTCACGGGCTCTCCCTCCCCGCACCTCGGGCACCTGGACCTCCCTGCATCCAGCCCAGCTCCCGGTCTGCATCTACTTGGGACCACTTTCCCGGAGATGGTCCTCTTCTTCCCACCGAAAGGCGCTTCGGCGGTGAGGATTCATTTGTCCCTGAGCATTTTGCAAGAGAAAGCAAAAGATTTTTGCACAGACCTGATTTGGGGTGCAGCGATGTACAGGAGAATGGGGACAACAAGGAGTAGGAGCAGGATCATCTTGCAGGGTCGCGAGGGCAGCGAGACTGCAGCGCCGGGGAGTTAGGAAGCACAGCGGCTCTCGGTTCTCTTCTGCGACACACCCTTGCTCGAGGTACTATAATAGCCCCCGGTGCACGGCCCTCTGGGAAATGTAGTCCAGCCCCGGGCCAGCGCCGTTTGACTGTGAGGTCGCGGTCAGAAGCCCGGCGAAGTTGAACTGAGCGCTTAGCTGGTACACTACAGCCCCCCATCTATCTACCTAGGAGCTCGGATATTTGGGATCATCCAAGCAGTTCTTACACAGCCCCTCTGCATGCTCAGATGCTTGTAAAAATCTCCTGTCTTTTTAAACTCTTGGTTGCTAAGATCCCAGACCCGGTTTCGGTGTCCTTGGTGATGGTTAGGCAGTTACCGCGACATTTCTCCCGGAGATTTAAGTATTGCTCTCTGGAGATGTTCAAAGCATGGATACACAGGAGAGAAGCTGTTGGGGTCTGACAGTTGGTAAGGCAGGGGGAGGTGGGGAATCTTTCCTTCTCAGGAATTCCTACATTCAGTGAATGGAGCGGAAGCAATAAGGCCCTGAAGCTATCCCCAGATTTCCCATACTGTCTTTATTTTTAGTTGCTCTATCATAATTCTCCCTGTGTTTGAGTGTTCGTGGACAATACAATAGTTTCTCCATTGATTTGGGTTAGTAATACAACCTCCCAAACTAGCAATGAATTTCTCTGATTAGTGCAGTTGGTTTTGCTAATTCAGACATATTTAATTCTATCTGAATTAAGGTGATAAAAATTCTTTGGGAATAAGCAGGTTCTCTATTGAACTCACCCTATTAAGTTCAGTCATTGGAGACTTAAGTCCGGTGTCTGAGGGATGATTGAGATTACTTTAGCAAGACAATTATCTTTCTGTGATCCTTTCAACATACAGCAGTGTATTCTGGTTCTTCCGGATAATTCGTATACATTTGACTTGCATATACATGTTTCAAGATCACCCTGAGTCAATATAGTTTTATAGTAATTAGAGAAGAATGAGTTTCTTTGTTATAGTGGAAGTGAAAGGGACAGTCGCTTCTGTATAGAAACAGTTTAGGAGGCAACTGATTGATCTTTCTCTAGTGGTTGGTTGTTTTTTTTGTAACACATCAGATTAGCTCTCACACCCTCATTAATATTAGGCATAACCAAACAACAGGAGAGTGGTTACAACAGCATAAAAGTACAGGTCGTGCGTTGCTGACATTAGTGGTCCAGAAGAGAAAGAAACTGGGAGATCTTGCTGCTATATAAATATGTAAAAAACTATAAAAGGAAGAACTGCTGGATATAGTTGCTAAAAGGGAGTTTCTGGGGCCTCTGTCCTGAACAGAGGTTGCTGGTGACCTCTTGCAAGCTTAAATAAAAAGCTATAACACAGAAGACAACCTGTAGTTAATGAGCTATCATTACCCACCTTCCCCAAAATGCCCAAAGCAGCTGTTTCCACCACTTGTGCTGTAAGACCTTTACATGCTATAAATTTATATTGATTTAAAGTTGAAGAATCTAATAATCCAATTTTGTCACTTTCTCATTATTAAAGTAAAGTAAAGTAAAGGCCCTCCCGTTGTCGTCGATTTGCTCGAGCGGGCCCAGTAATGTCTCCATTGGAGACTTTGTTGTTACAGTGTCTGGCATATCGAATACTCTCGGTAGCTTGCCGGGCTCTCCGAGAGGGGCGGAGGAATCGAACTCGGGTCGGCCATGTTGGCCGCTTGTAAGGCGAATGCCCTACCGCTGTGCTATCGCTCATTATTATGTTACTTAATATTTGTACAGACTTCCGCACTTTTATTAAAGACTGTGTTTTGTTCTTATTCATTCACTCTTTCTCTTGACCATTATTTATAGTATTCCTGTCCCTGAGCACCCTCAGATATGTCCCAATGACCACCCCACCCCCACCCCCAATAGAAGTAGATATTGATCAAGTGTGCTGGGCTAGGAGGTCAACATAAGAACAATACATGGCCATTACATCAAGCATCATGTAGATCATTAGTAACATGGTAGAGAACAGCTTCAAAGATGAGAGGGAAACTGGAAAACTAAAAAGTGTTGCTAACTCAAGAAAAAGGAGAGAAGAGAGTAGTATCGGGGAAGTGGGATGGTAGGAGCATTTTATTTTTTATGTAGGAGTACTGCTATTTATTCAGCCACTGATTAGCTGATTGAATTGTGCATGAACTCCACCTTACTTTTTAAAAATTTTTTTTATAGTTTTATTTATTGAATCACTGTGAGAGCAGTTACAAAGCTTTCGGATCTAAGTCTCGGTCATACAAGGAAACACCCGTACCTTCACCAGTGCCCATTCTCCACCCCAAACAACCTCAGTATGCCCCCATCCCACACCCTCCCCCTACCTGTGGGGCAGATGATTTCCACATTACTCTCTCTCTACTTTGATCACATTCAATATTTTGATACCAGACCCACCATTATTATTTGAGATTTTACCCCAACACTCAGATATGCTGAAAAGGCAACAGTAGACAATTTGTTTTCTATTGCTGGTTATGAATAGCATATGATGTCACGTGGCCGCAGTAGTGGCCACGCGATTTTGAAATTCCAAAATTTTAACACTTAAATCTGGAGGAATTTCTGCCAAAACCTGCTGGGTTCCAAGATTTGCTCCTGAGTCTCTGGGATCATGGCCAGTAAGCAGCTTGATCAGGAGCCAGAAAGGCCATTCGTGGGCGATAACTTGGGGTGTCGTTGGGCTCGGGAGGACAGGACCAGCTCCACCCCCATCCCTTGAGGCCCAAAATGTCTCATCACTGTGGGCCCAAATCTGACTGTCCAATGTTACTTAATATTTGGAGGATGGCATCTGGAGGATGACGGCCAACAAGCCGCCAGGGGGAAGCAGGTGGAGGGACAACACCCTTTCCCCCCTGGGGTGGCCCAGCAACAGTAACCTACTGCATAGTCTGGATGCATTTTTGCCAAAAGCTGCTGGGTTTCAAGATTTGTTCCTGAGTCTCTGGGATCATGGCTGTTAAGCAGCTTGATCAGGAGCCAGAAAGGCCGTTCGTGGGCGATGACTTGGGGTCTCATTGGGGTGGGGAGGAAAGGACCGGCTCCACCCCCATCCTGTGAGGCCCAACATGTCTCATCACTGCGCGCCCAAGCCTGACTGTCCAATGGCCTCTGGAGGATGGCGGCCACTGAGCCACCAAGGGGGAGCAGGCGGAGGGACAGCAGGTAGGAGCATTTTTAAAAAGCGCAAAGGAGGACCTGGGCAATAGTACAGTAAGCAGGGCACTGGCCATATTGCAGCCAACCCAGGTTCAATTCCCAGAACCCCATACGGTTCTCCCAAGCTGTCCAGGACTGATCCCTGGTGTATTCAATATGCCAAAAACAGTAACAAGTCTCACAATGGAGATTCAGTGGTAAAACACATGCCTCTCATGTGTGAGGCCCTCGGTTAGATCACTGGTACCAAAAATATATGTGGAAGGCATAAATAACTGTAGAAGCTTACTATGGGCTGGCGTTCTTTCTGGGATCCAATAACTGCTCATGTTAAGGTTCAAGCTGTAATATGAATAGAGAAGAAGGATGAGACCTCTCAATGGACGAGGTGCTGAAGGCTAAAGGGTGAAGATATGGTAGAAGAGAATTTCTGGAGATGATAGGAATAAGAGTTTTAGCATTGAGACAATTTTGACAAATGCATAGATCCATGTAACCCAAGAGCCTATCAAGTTGTAGAACATTTCCACTGCCCTATCCCCACAAAAGTTCCCTTGTGAGGCGTTTTTAACCTATGTGTGTGCATATATCTCAGTCATAGTAGACTAATGGAGTGATCAGAAGTAGGATGAATGAGGCTAGGAGAAGGCAAAAAATATGAAGGGCTGAAGAACCAGGAACAAGATTCTAATTTGTTCTAAGTTAAAAGATACTAACCAATGATCATGGCAGCTAGTATAAAATAAATAGGTTACCTTTGTTCAACTTCTACTGAATCAAAGGCAAAATATTTTAAAATCCTTTCCAGTTATACACACACTGAGCTGCTATCATCCTACTATGCAGAAAATTCTACACCTAGGTCCTCAAACAAAGTGATATTGCCCATCGGTGGACAGTTGGTTATGTCTGACAACATTTTGGCTTGTCACAAGGGGGCTATGGGGCTAAGGTTATCTAGTTGGCAGAGACAGGGATACTACTAAACATTCTTCATTGGGCAGGATAGTCCTTCCCAAGATTTACCCTGTCCTTAATGTCAATAGTATCTGCTACAGGTTAAGGCAAATGACCCTTGGGGAAAATCAGTAGAAACCTCAAGGAGAGACAAATGTTTGACCTTGGGTTACAAAACTGATTTGCAAACAATGATGGGAGAGATGAGGAAAATGACGATTGAACCAGAGGTGACATAGGGACAGTGATCAGCCTTAGGGGCACCTTGCTGGTGGTGGTGGTGGGGGTGGAGGGGGAAATAGTAACATTGTACATCAATACCATATAATTTGAGACTGTTGTACCCTTAGTACATAAACTGTCACTGTCCTGTCACTGTCCTCCCATTGTTCATTGATGTGCTCAAGCGGGCCCAGTAACGTCTCCATTGGAGACTTTGTTGTTACTGTGTTTGGCATATCGAATACATCACGGGTAGCTTGCCAGGCTCTGCCGTGCGGGCGAGATACTCTCGGTAGCTTGCTGGGCTCTCCGAGAGGGGCGGAGGAATCGAACTCGGGTCGACCATGTTGGCTGCGTGCAAGGCAAACGCCCTACCGCTGTGCTATCACTCCATATTTAAATTTAAATAAAAAGAAACTTCATGGAGGAAACTGTTTATGTTTAGTTTTTAATACTTGACTTGCAACTGTCTGACCCAGGTTTGATCCTCAGCACACTACCTAGTCCCCAGGAGTAATTCTTGAGTATAGAGCCAGGAGAAAGCCCTGAGTACTGCTAGATGTGACCCACAAACAAACAAACAAACAAAAACCCTCTTACAAATTACTAAGAAAAAAATTCAAGGGAAATAGCAGTTTATAGGAAAAGAAAAGCAACTCTTCAACTTACTAGTAAGAAGAGGTGCTAATTAAAATTACACTGGGAACCCTTTTTCACTTTTCAGATTGGGAAAGATTATCTTCTGATATTAGCAAGAGGGTTAAGAAATAATGATGCATTGAGAGTGGGAGAGCTAATTGCTGCAGCCTCCAGAGAAAAAGATGTGGTAACAGTTCCTAAAGCGACACATGTACTGGTTGACCTAGACATTCCACTTCCATGTTTTCATAGGCTGTCCTGGTAGCACGGTGCTTATGAATGTTAGTGAACTATAAAAAAGAATAAATATTTTAGAGGGATGCCTAGATCACTTTTGGCCCCAGAGTATACAGGGAGGTAGCACTGTAGCACTGTCCTCCCGTTGTTCGTCGATTTGCTCCAGTGGGCACCAGCAAGTCAGTAACGTCTCCATTGTGAGACTTGTTATTTTTTTTGGCATATTGAATACGCCACAGGGAGTTTGCCGGGCTCTGCTGTGTGGGCGGGATACTCATGGTAGCTTGCCGGGCAGGAAGGAAATCAAACCTGCGTTGGTCACAAGCAAAGCATACGCCCTACCCACTGTGCTATCACTCCATTCCTGCTATTGAAGGAGAAAGTAATAAAAGGAGGACAAGAAGTAACAAGGGGCAGAGGTGAAGGGCCTCAAGCATATCAGTGGAGTGGAGGAGTGGTATAGCCTTATATCCAAACCATAGAATCAACACTGAGAGGATGAGATCCAAACCACAACAATTAAATTTTGTAATGCCTGTCAAAGAGGCAGTCTGGGGTCTGAGGACAGGTGGAAGGAACCCTGGGGACACTGGTGAAAGTTGACTTTGGTGGTGGGATTGGTGCTGGAACATATCATATCTAAAACTCAACTGTGAATAACATATAAATCATAATATATTAGTAAAAAAATTAAAAAGGAATAAATTTATTTTTAGAAAATATAGGACACCCTTTGATATATATTAAGTGAGTATGTTGCTTTCATCTGTATAACTTAAAGGATGTAATAAGAAAAAGATATCAGGGTTGGAGAGATAGCTTAGTGAGTACATGCTTTACGTGCAAAGGCCCAGCTTGGATTCCTGGCACTCCGTGGTCCCCTACACTAGGGATAGTCCTTGAGCTCTACCAGGAATGAAAGAAGGAGACTGATCCTTGGATAACAATGCTTAGGGGACTTTTTACTGAATATTTTTATCTTAGAAATTTATAAACTATGGGATTTTAATAATTAAAAGTTTCCAACAAACCCAGATCACTTGGAAACAACTTGATTTTGTGAAACCAGTCATTGCAATAGCACAAAATAAAACTGGTATTAAAACATTCTTAGGGCCGGAAAAATAGTACAGTTGGTAAGGTCCTTGCCTTACACACAGCTGACCCAGTTTCAATCTTTGACATCCCATATGGTCCTCCTAGCCTTGCCAGTAGTGATCCCTGTGCACAGAGCTAGGAGCAATCCCTGAGCACTACCAGGTATGGCCCCCAAACCAAAACCCAGCATTATATCTTATTCCTGGTGACATCACATCAGGAAGGCTGATCTGTGCACTGATGACTTGATCAAACCATCAGCGTCAGCAGGACACACATGATGGGATCCCTTCTCCCCTATCAACCCACTCCCCTTTTCTACTTTTACCTGCTTCTTCTACCAACCTTGTATTATAACCACAGTTCCCTGCTTGAGAGTAAGATGACTTGGGAATAAGTCCACCATCTTCTCTGGTGGCTGGCACCTGAATAAACTTGTTTTCTTGTATCAACCCTTTTCTCTAGTGTTGGCCTTCAAGCAGCAGACTTGGATTCAGCATGAGAACCACATCACTGTAGCACTATAGCACCATCTTCCTGTTGTTCTTGATTTGCTTGAGCAGGCACCAGTAACATCTCCATTGTGAGACTTGTTTCTGTTTTTGCAATATCAAATACGCCAATGGGGAGCTTGCCAGGCTTTGGCGTGTGGGCGGGATACTCTCAGTAGACTGCCAGGCTCTCCGAGGGGGCAGAGAAATAGAACCTGGGTTGGCCGTGTGCAAGGCAAATGCCCTTACCAACTGTGCTATCGCTCTAGCCCATGAGAACCATAACAGCAACTTTTCTACAGTGTTATAATGTGCTTAGTTTCTGTCAAATTTCTACCTGTAGATTATTTTAAATTTATTTTTAAAGTTTTGCACCACCCTTTAGTGCTTCTGAGAGGCTACTCTTGGTGCTGTCAGGGGCTATTCCTAGTAGTGCTTGGGTGATCATGCGATGCTGGAGATCAAAACAATTTTGGCTGCATGCAAGGGCAAGCGCCTTAACTCCTGTGTTATATCTCTGACCCCTATAGACTTTAATTTCTTTATCTTTAGGCCATAGCCAACAGTGCTGAGGGGATACTCTTGGCTCTGTGCTCAGGTGTTGAGCTCCTGATGCTACTCAGGGACTAAGTGTGGGTCTTTGCATGAAAAGCATGCACTTAGTCCACTGGAATATCCCTCCAGCTCTAGATTTAATACTCAAGTGCTTAGTGGGGGTAGAGAAATGCGGGAGGGAAACTGGGGACATTGGTGGTGGGAAATGTACACTAATGAAGGGATGGGTGTTGGAACATTGTGTGACTGAAGCCCAATCATGAACAAATTTGTAATGGTGTATCTCATGGTGACTCAATTAAAAATAAAGACATTAAATTGTTTTTAACTAAATCAAATTTTAAAATACTTAAGTTCTTAAATAAGTGTAAGAGATTTTTTGGTCATACTAAGCAGTGATGAGGGTCTACTCTTGGATCTGTGCTCAGAGGTCACTCGCGATGGCGTACAGTATTGGGGATCAGACAGGGGTCAACCATGTTCAAGGCAAGTGCCTTAACCCCTGCTGCATTTTCTCTCCAGCCCAAGTATAATTTAATTACTTACTTTTTGGTTTGTTTTGGGATCACAGTGTGCCCTTTTATTAATCACACCAGTATTAAATCACGCTTGTATCGGGAGGTGTTGCTAAAGTTAAAAATACTCTGTTTTGGGGCCAGAGAGATAGTACAGAGAGTAAGGCACTTACTTGCATGAAGCTGCCCCTGGTTTGCCCTCAGCACCCAATAGGTACCCAACAGCCCCGCAGGAGGGACCCCTGAGCACAGAGCCAGTAGTAAGTGCTGAGCATAGTTGGGTGTGGCCCATAAAAACAGAATCTGTCTTGTAGGAGTGGAGCTGGAGTGGAGAAAATAAAACGTTGCTTACACAGGACAAGTAATTGAGACTCCGTGTCCCTTCTCCCCATGTGCTGTTTGTCAATTTGTAAAGTTCTACTCTAGTCCCTCCCCCAGAACTACATCTCCCAGCAGTCTGTGCTCTGACAGCTCTAGGGTTTAAATAGGATTCTGGGCTGTCTTTAGAGCCAGGTTGCTGCGGAGCTCTAGGGAGTAAGAGGAGCAAGAGACATCAGCAACAGCCAAAAGCTGGAGCCTAGATCAGGAACCGGAGCCATAGCGAGAGTCGAAGTTGCTCTTGCTAAAGCAGCAGGAACTAAAGAATTTGTAAAGATGCTGCTCGCCTTGGGACTACTCACCTGCATCCTTCCCTTTTTGTACGTGATAACTCCATCTGTCAGGTTTGTCTTAATGCAGCTACGCTTACAACCTTTTTTCATAGCCCCAAATTGGGAGCTACAGAGCCTGTAAGTACAAGAGTTCTGAGCCTCTGAAAGAAGAGAACGGTATGGAGGCTCAGGGAGAGTCAGGGCAAAACCAGCAGGAAGGACGAAGGCAGTTACAGATTATTCTGTCGGGGAATGACCTGGGCTGGGAGAGGAGGGGCTGGTGTAAATCCTCACACTAGTGAAAGGCTTAGTGCATGACTGTTAAGTAGCTTGAAAGAATTTAGGGGGAAGTCCTTGCTCTTACCCAGAGGTTTCCTAAGCTTCTCTCTTTCTTCCCTATTCCTAGAAGGAATCCTGTGGGATTGTTATGGGGTGGGAGTTGGGGGTGGTTATTGCTGAGGGGCTCATTGGTAATTGTAGCAGGCATTTGGGGAAGGGAAACTCTCTTCTCTTTGAAAGTACTCTCTGGGGTGGCACTTTTGCTGTGGAATTTCTAGGGTTGTCAAGAAATGTGCATTCAGAGTGGAAAATGGAGAAATTGCTGTTGATAAAGAAGGTCAAATGAGCATATTAGGGACAGAGGGTCGCTCTGTACCCTGGTATAAAACCCGGGTTAAATTCAGTTTTATCACAATTATTACCAGGTGACTTAAACTCCTTGAGCTTCAGTTTTCTCCACTGTAAAATGGGGATAATAACAGTGGTTGAACAGATTAAAATTAATTGATATAGAAATATCTAGAGTACTAGTGCCTAGCAGTGGGATGATGCCCAGGAAATGTGAGTTCTGTCCTCTCATTCCTTGGAACTCATTAACTTTCTGAGTAGGAAGATGCCCTCGCCATAGAGGTTGGCTCTTTGCACTGATGGCCAGAATGAAGACACCAGCTCTCTAAGTCTAGAGAGGAGCCAGAGAGAGGAATCTAAGGGCCAAGCACATGCTCCTCCCTTTTGGAGCCCAGGTTCAATCCCCCACGGTCTCCCCAGTTTTGAGTAACAGAGCTGTGAGTAACCCCTGAGCTACTCCTTCAACCCCGCATCCCCCCCCAAAAAAACCCCGAAATTTCTCTTTGAGGCTGGATGGATTTTATGTATCTCAGTCTGGGCCTGGGAAGCTTGGTGCATTAATATTTTTGTTATCTTTGCTTTTAGGAAGTTCTTTGCTGGTGGTGTTTGTAAAACAAATGTGCAACTTCATGGGAAAGTAGTGGTAATCACCGGCGCCAACACCGGCATTGGCAAGGAGACAGCCCGAGAGCTTGCTCGCAGAGGCAAGTCCTTCCTCTCAGTCCCCACTGGGTAGCACCTCCTGTCCTTCCCTGTGGGGGTTCATCTCACTTTCCCATGTCTTTCCTCCTGAATTTGAAGGCATTAGCCAGGAATTTAAGGAAAATGAGATTCAAGTCCAACTGTGACACCAGCTGACTCTATGGTCTTAAGACTAACTTTTCAATCCAGGGTCAGGGAGATAGTCTAGGGGTTAAGGTGCTTGCCTTACATATAGCCTATGCCTATTTGATCTCCTTACTTCCAGGTGTAACCTCAGAATCAAAAGAAAATAAAAACTTCTTCCTTTCTCCTTTCCCATTGTGTAAAGGAAACCATTGATGACCATGTATACTCATTATGAAGTATATTACCATTCTCTTTAAATACCAGAATGTTAAAAACCAGGGTTCCCAGTCTGGGTTAAGCTGATAGCAATAAGAACTTCCTGCGAGACTCTTGATGTAGGGATGTAAGCTCATTCATTGCTTCAGAGATGCCTGGGAGAATGCTCTGTCTCAAACCACTATGTCCCAAGCTCACATATAAAATATTGTCTGACCATGCTATCCTGTTTTTGCCATGGTCCCAGGAGCTCGAATATATATTGCCTGCAGAGATGTACTGAAGGGGGAATCTGCTGCCAGTGAAATTCGAGCTGATACAAAGAACTCCCAGGTGCTGGTGCGGAAACTGGACCTCTCTGATACCAAGTCCATCCGAGCCTTTGTGGAGGGCTTTCTGGCAGGTGAGGCCCCAGTGGGTAAGCTAGCAAAGCAGAAAACTGCATGTGGGAGTGGCTGCTCCACCCTGGACCATCTCTGACCCTTTCATCAGAACCATCATTGATCCCATCAGACAGGTTCTGCCATGTAAACCAGCAGGGTAGGGAATTGGCAAGAGTGTGGCAGGTGGACAAGCTGGGCAGGATCCTTATCGTCCTTTTTGCATCAGCAATGGGAATGGTGGAAGTGCAAGTTCTCTGTCTGGGCTTGCTCCTGGGTACAAAGGTGTGACTCTGATGCTTCTCTTCTTTCATCCCAAGAGCCTCTGGCAGTTGACGGGCTTGTGCTGCTGGAAAATTCTCCTGGATCTTGGGAAATAGTTTCTTCCAAACCCAGTGAAGTCCAGAAAAATTAGAGTATGCCCAGTGCTTAGCAGGATGGAACTGACTCAGCATCAGTATGTTTGCTGAACTGATGAATGAGTGGTGACCAGGAAGAGACCAGTACCAGTTTACTTTCTAAACTTAGAAAGTCACTAAGAGTGGTCACTGAATGTCATGATAGCTCAATAGTCAAGGAGCTCATCACTCTGACAGGCAGCTAGTGAACTCCCGACTAACTACAGGGTCTTGTTGGTTGTGATCCACAGAGGAAAAGAGACTCCATATCTTGATCAACAATGCAGGAGTGATGATGTGTCCGTATTCTAGGACAAAAGATGGTTTTGAAACCCACATGGGAGTTAACCACCTGGGTAAGTATCTTTGAATAACTAAGAAGTGAGGCAAATTCCACCTTTTTCTTTCTGTGCTGGGCGTCTCTAATGGTCCTCAAAGAGCCTTGTATTCACTATCCTATTTCTCTCCAGTCCATAATTGTGAGTTCTTCTACCCATACTATTAAGAATCCACCACACTTGGGAGATTCCAGGAGTCATGTCTTTTTTGGGTGGGGCACTAGCTGTACAAAGCTGGGCAAGCAGGGCCAGGCTCGATGAATACAAGAGTATATTGGGCAGGAGTGAGAAGATAATACAACTGGGGGTCAAGAAAAATAAGGGTTGGTCTACAGAGGCAATAAATCTTAAGGACTTGAATTATGGAGGAGTAATAATGATGATTCTGGTGCCAGGTTCTTGGAACATGTTCTCAGAGTCTAGACAGATGTTATTTTCCCAGACAATTCTATCCTTTCTTCTTTACATGATCATACAGGGCTCACCATTCTGTGACCATGATCAGAGCGGGTGGGAAGGCAACAGGTTGTTCTTTCTCTGGGTTGGAGCAAGGACAGAAGTATAGTATGGAAGCAGATACAGATAAATTCCACATAGCCTTATCTCTAATATGGCTCTTGCTGGCCCTGGCCTTGAGGAAGCCACTAACTCAGACTGACTAACTACTGATACTGAGTAGGTCATGACACGAAATTTTGTTCACACCCAGACAATAGTGAGCTAATTATGAAGTCCTGTCATCGACTGTCATACCACTCTTCAATCTCTGTGCTGGCTCTCCTTGCAGGCCACTTCCTCCTCACCTACTTGCTCCTAGAGCGGCTGAAAGAGTCTTCTCCTTCACGGGTGGTGAACCTGTCATCAGTGGTGCACCATGTTGGCAAGATTAATTTCAATGACCTCCAGAGTGAGAAGAGCTATAGCCCAAGTTTTGCCTATTGCCACAGCAAACTGGCCAATGTGCTTTTCACTCGGGAGCTGGCCAGGAGGCTCCAAGGTAAGACTGAATAAAGGGCGATGGTTCAGATAGCAAAAACAGGGTCAATAGGGATTAAGGCACTTGTTTTGCATGTGTGATCACTTCAGTTCAATCTCCAGAACCATATGGTCCCCTGAGTGCAGAGCAAGGAGTAACCCCTGAGCACCACTGGATATGGTCCCCAGTCCCCCAGTAACATGCACGTTATAGTGGTGTGTGCTAAGGATAATTTTGTTATAAATGGAATAAAACAGAGTTCTTGACCTCATGAAGCTTACAGGAGTTAGGAACCTCATAAAGATACCTTGCATTTATATTATATCCCATCTTTTTAGAATTTCACATTCACCGCTAGCAACAGGCAGAGCGAGTGTTCTTTTTATTGTGTTATAGGTCTAAACTGAGGACCAAAGTAGTGACTGGCACAAAGTTACATGGAAAAATCTAGGAGTCAGGACTGGAATGTGGGCATAGGGTGCTTCTTTCTGGGTACCCCCTACTGAGACTCTTGGGATAAGCTGAACTGCTAAGCTGCCACTGACTGGAAGGCTGGATTCCAGAGCCCGGCAGCTGAGTTCTTGCTCCTCCGTACACTAGGGTGTCATTCATGAACCTTTTACTTTAAATCCCCCCTGATGCATGTGAGAGGTATAGGGCACACATAACAAATTCCAAAAATAGTTGTGGCAAAGAGGAAATTTGAGGGTGTATATTAATTTCTATCATATTTATCTTCAACACCCCTCATTCCACACCTTACAATAATGCGCCTGTCAGGCAAATGCAGCTCAAAAACAAAAAATAAAAAAAGATCCTAGCTACCTACTAATTAGATTGCTACCCCTGAGCTCCACCTATAGAAATAACTCAAGATAACACTGTCAGCAATCGATGCTATTATGACCCACACCACATACAGTTGTTCCTATGAGAAATCTTTAAGTTGGAGAAGAATGAGGACATTTAAGTAGAAGGACTATCGGCGATGATGCAGAGAAGGCTGGCAGGCTGTAGCTCTTACTGGGAGATCCTGGCAACTATTGATCAGATTACTGGCTGGTGAAGCTACCCTCTGACCTGTAGGGTTGTACTTCCTGATCAACCTTCTCCACTAGACATTTTGCTGGGGAGCTGAGTTGTCCCCCTGGGCTCAGAGTGTATCTCTGGCTTAACTGGGATCTCTTTGTTCTAGGCACAGGCGTCACCACTTATGCGGTACACCCAGGCATCGTCCGCTCTGAGCTGATCCGGCATTCCTTCCTCATGTGCTTACTCTGGCGGCTCTTCTCCCCCTTCCTCAAATCAGCAAGGGAAGGGGCCCAGACCAGCCTGCACTGTGCCCTGGCTGAGGGCCTGGAGCCCCAGAGTGGCAAGTACTTCAGGTAGGAGGTTGGGAGGGGTCTCTCTACCCCGCTGGGTGCTTGGGGAGGCACAAGACTTTCTGGGCTGTGTGCCGAGTGGCCAAATGTGGAATCCAGATTAGGTGTGGGCCTACCTATAAGTCAAATGTTCTGGCTTTTCCAAGAAAACCCCCATTAGAAACTTGGCCAGAGTTCCTTTCATGGCTTCTCTCTCTCTCTCTCTCTCTCTCTCTCTCTCTCTCTCTCTCTCTCATGTGTGATGTTTCTGGGTAAAGTTTGTAGCTTTCTCAGAGCATTTAGAGGAGTCTGTCCTTGTGTAAGGCTATCTTTCCCTTGCTATAACGATACGAGTTGGAATTTAGAAGTAGATTGGGGGGCAGGAGGCTACTAATTAATGCTCATAGGGCATGGGGGCCAGGCCCAGTGATATTTGACTGAGCCAAACAGTTTAGTGCTAGAGTCTGGTGGTGCAGTACTGCTCGGGCCCAGTGCTCGGGAGAAAGCTTGGGGTCATGAGCATACAATGCATGCAACCCTAACCCCTGAGCTATCTTCCTGGCCCCCTCTTTTTTATATGGTCCATACCCTGAGATGGTGAGGGCCACCAGGAATAGACCCAAGAGTGCTTAAGGCATGTAGTGCAGGGACAGAACTCAGTGCCTGGACACGCATTGTCTGTACTCTACCACCTGCGCTCCCTCTCCAGGCCCTCAGTATTCTTTTCAGAAACTTAGTGGAGGGGATGGAGAGACAGCACAGAGGATAAGGCGCTTGTCTTGCATGTAGCTGTTCTTGGTTTGAACCCCTGTAACAAATATGGTCTCCTGGGCACCTTCAGGAGTGACCTTTGAACACAGAGCTAGAAATAGCTCCTGAGAGTTGCTTGGTGTGTTTGAAATCTGGCCTCACCCTAACATTTATTATTTACTATTATTTTTTGAGTTTTGATTTTTTTTTGGGTCACACCTGGTCATGCTCTGCCCTGCCTCTGAGCACCACTGTGTGTGGCCCAAAAACAAAAAAATTTAATGATAGCATTGAACTCAACTCAACTGGCCAAGTATTTCAGGGGGTGCCCCCAGATCTTCTGAGCACAGCATGCAGGAGTTACTCCTACCAGTGCTTTGGCTTCCTCTTGGATGCCAGGAATTGAACCCGGGTCGGCTGCATGTAAGGCAAACACCCTACCTGCTGTACTATTGCTCCAGCCCCACACTCTGAAATTTAAAATTTATAATGGACAATCAAAATCTGGGACTAAAGGGAAGTCCAGGTCTAAATCTCCTTCCGAATCCCTGACTTCATCCTGCCCATGCTCTTCTGTACCATTTTGTTCCAAGCTGTTCATTGGCTCGCCATTTCTTAAACGAAGCATTGAGAATAGCCTCGTTGTCTAGCCACAGGGAAGTGACAGATGATAATAATGAATGTTGCTGAAGCTGGCGTGTTTGGTGCTCTTCCTAGTGCTGCACATACAATGCTTCCTATCATTATTATGAGTCTGGGAAATAGAAAATATTGCTAATTCCCATTCTACTGATGGGAAAACTAAGGCAGGAATAATAAAGTAGCTGGGTCAAGGCTGGATGGCTTGAGAAGGGCAGTTCTGCAACTCAATGTGGGCCACCTTGCTTGAGAGTTGTGCTGGTTAGGAAGGCTGCCACTGGACAGATGTGCTCTGAGCACTTGCTAGGAGGCTGGTCCAAAATGATATGTGCTCTAAGTATAAGTGTACACCAGCTTTTGAATACTTAATAAGAAAAATGTAAAACATTTCATAATATATATGTATATTTAGGGGGGCTTCCAAGCTGTGCTCAGAAGATCTGGGGGCACCCCCTGAAATACTTGGCCAGTTGAGTCGAGTTCAATGCTATCATTAAATTTTTTTGTTTTTGGGCCACACACAGTGGTGCTCAGGAGTTACTCCTGGCTCCACAATCAGGTGTCACTCCTGGCAGGCTCAGGGGACAATATGGGATGCTGAGGATTGAACCAGAGATGGCTGCATGCAAGGCAAGCAACCTACCTGTGTAATAGCTCTCAGGCCACTTATCATTTAATCATGTTGGGTTGAATAATACTGAAACTATTTTTACCCATTTCTCTCTCTTTTTTTAAAAATGTTTTTTAGAAATTTCCCTAGAAAATCTAAATTCTTATCTGTGGCTCACATGTGTGGTTCATGTCTATCTTAGTGGCTTCTGCCACCCCAGAGTCCAGATGTTGATTGCTACTGCCACAAATACAGGATGTGAGGTTATCTAGTCCCTAAACGCAGTACTTTCAAATAGTAATTAAGTTACAGGAAAATGATATATCATGTTGTGATATATCATATTGTGAGGAAAGACTGCTACAATAAAAACTATACCGACAGTCATTGTAAATACATAAAGAACAATCTGGAAGGATAGACAACAAATGCGAATGTGTGGTGACTTCCAGAGAGCTTGAGGGAGAACTAAGGGGGGTTCAAAAGAGAAGTTTAGTCTTTTACTTGAGGTTTTTTAATTAGTTGAAAATATTTACCTATTTGTCACTTGAACTATGCATCTCCTCCCCAAGCTACAGTATGATCTTAGTTTTGTATATAAGAAAGACTATTTATTCATGCACAAGACTATATATTTTTTATATGCAAAGCAAATAGGAGTGTAATGAAAAGGAATTAATGCACAATTTTTTTCCTAATCAGTACTATATCTTCCAAGTTCTGTTGTGCAGGGTTGTTATTGTTAGGAAGGAAATGCTATGCAAACAGCATGAACATGTCCTCTGCTCTCAGCCCCTCATTCATAGACCCTCTTCCCATGCTCTATTCCCCCCACCAAAGAAAACAGAGTTGCTTAGTCTGGGGTACATGGGGCATAAGCGGCTTAGTAGCCAGAATTCTAGGTATCTGTAAACTTGGATGTAAAGATCATTTCATCTGTAATTATGCAAATTTTATCTGAATTTTGACATTGTCTTAAATAACATATAGAGGCCATGAACTACAGGGGAAACCTGTGAGCCTGTCACCAGAAATACTGAATGTGTTTTGTCCTAGTGCTGCTGTTTCAGTGATCTGAGAATGGTATGCTCACTACTGCTTTTCAGTTCAGTGGCGATCAGAGCCAGTCAGTGCGAGATCATGTTGTGGAGCTCATCAATGAAGAAGCTATTTCAGATGATCAAAATTGTATTTCAATAGTTAGGTTTCTATTTATTTATTTAATTCATTTTTATTGGGGCCGGCAGTTCCAGCTCCGAGTCTCTGGTTTCCGAGGCCACCCCCGGCGCCCCTCCATGTCTGTGCGTTCCTGCATCCTATCTGGGCATCATTTAAAAAATTTTTTTTTTGCTTTTTGGGTCACACCCAGCGATGTACATAGGTTACTCTTGGCTCTGCATTCAGGAATCACTCCTGGAAGTGTGGCAGTGCTTGGGGGACCATATGGAATGCTGGGAATCAAACCTGGGTAGGCAGCATGCAAAGCAAACGCCCTATCCACTGTGCTGCTGCTCCAGCCCCCAATAGTCAGGATTTTTTACCCAATATTTTTTACTTATTTTTCCTCTTTACCTTTTTTTCCTCTCTCCATTATCATCTAAGTTTCTTGATCTAGAAATTATATCTTATATGCAAATGTGGGCTGGGGCGATAGCACAGCTGGTAGGGCATTTGCCTTGCATGTGGCTGACCCGGGTTCGATTCCTCCATCCCTCTCAGAGAACCTGGCAAGCTACTGAGAGTATCCCGCCTGCATGGCAGAGCCTGGCAAGCTCCCCGTGATGTATTCGATATGCCAAAAACAGTAACAACAAGTCTCACCATGGAGACGTTACTGGTGCCTGCTCGAGCAAATCGATGAACAACGGGAGGACAGTGCTACAGTACTATTTGTTTTTGGGCATGTTGGAGACAGAACTCATGTGGTGAGATGTGCCCTCTTCTGTTGAACTATATGCCCTTCCCCTCCAGAATATTTTAAATGCTAGGACACTGATTCTGAGAAAGAGGCCATAAACTTTTCAAGTCTGCTATTTTCACCCCTGGATGTTCATGCTCTTTTTCTGCCCTCCAGTGACTGCAAGAAGACCTGGATGTCTCCAAGAGCCCGGAATAACAAAACAGCTGAGCGCCTGTGGAAAGTCAGCTGTGAGCTTCTCGGAATCCAGTGGGAGTAGAACTGATGAACAAGCCTCAGCTTTCTGGGGCCCAATCCATGCCACTAAGAAAGAGAACCAAAGAGAAGGCCAACCCCGAAGGATTGACTTCCTGGCTGGCTGCTATTGCAAATCCTACCTGCTCTGATTCTCCCAATGCTTCCAGAGGAAATCTTTGCACATCCAATGCTCCTGCGAGGTTGGCTCGAATGGCACAAGATGCTCGCACATTCACATTCTTCTCAAAGACTTGCAGTGCTGGTCACCTCTGGGGTTCACAAAGACAGGATTGATCCCAGGTTGGGCATAGAAGGAACAGAAGAGCCTGGCAAAATGGGTCGATTTCCTCCCCAACACAGAAATGGTCGCTTGTTCAGATGAGGTGACCAGAGAGCATCAGTGTTAGGTATTTCTAGGGATTCTGAACTCAGGCTGTGAGTCTGATCTCTTTCCTCATTGAAATACTCATCACTGTCTCAGGGTAATGTTGACGAGCCCGTTTCCCTTCACTGAGCATCCTGGAGCCACTGTTTAAAGCTACATCTCCTGTATTCTTTTTCTAGTTCTTAAAAAAAAATTTTTCCCTACAGCTTTATTGAGATGTAATTAACATGTGATTTTGTAAAGTTTTGGATGATGTACTATTGTCTTTTATTAAAGTTCCCTTCACTTTAATTCTGAAAGAAAATAAAGATTGTATTCATTATATTGCCTTACTTAACTTTGTTATAGTAGTAAGAGTTGAAAATGTAATAAAGAAGAGAAGATGGGGCTGAGAGATAATACGGCAGGTAGGATGCCTGCCTTACATACAGCAAACCTGGATTTGTCCCCTGTTGTTCCACATGGTGCTCTGAGCCTGCTGGGAGTGGTTCCTGAACACAGAGCCAGGAGTAAGCCTTGAGCACCTCTGTGTGTGGCCCAAAAAAAGAACCAAAAAAAAAAAAAAAGAAGAAGGGAAGACAACCTTTTCGTTCTTAACCTGCCCCCGCCCCCTGCCAATAACATCCATTATCTTATTTGGATGATAAGTTGGTCCAGTGGAGATATTTTCTTAACTTTCTTCAAGCTCTAACATTTTATTGAGAAATGATAGGCATGACTTATGTAATAGAGAGACTGAGTTCCACCATCTCTTAAGGACAGAGGTAGTCCAGGACTTCATTTAATCTGATGCACAGATGCAGAGTACTAAACCCCCAAAATCCCTCTACCTGAAAACCTGGTTCTTTCTGCTTCTGGATCTCTCTCTGCTCTCCTGCACTCTGACCTGCTTCTTTGCCTCTTGGAAAACTTAAAGGAGGGAGTAAAGGAGTAGGGAGAGAAAGAAGTAGGTGTGGAACTGGAGAGCTTGGTGAACTGAGTGCATACTTTGCTTGCAGAGGACAAGGTTTCACTCCAGCACCACATGTTCCCATGAGCTCAGAGCGAGGCATAGCCCTTTCATACTGCTGAGTACGAAAAAGAATACATGAAGGCATTGCTTTTACATGGCATTGGTATTTCAGAATATTAAATCCTACTTGGTCCTCTTGTTTAGATTCCAGACTCTATCACTTCTCAAGTCCCTCCAGGCCCCTGCATGCCAGACCATCCTTCCTCCGCACTATTCTTTGGGAATCTTCTTGTGCTCAAGCTCTACCTTGCCTCTTTATAGCTTCTAGCCCAACACCCAACGTTGTCCAGTCCGATAAGCCTGAGCAAGGAATATGCACCAGACTTGGCCTTTCGTCTTGATTCCAGGAGAAACTTGCCCAAGTTACCAACTAAACAAGGGAAAGAGCTGGGCCCAGCACGAACAAGATTGGAGATTTAATGGTTAAGTTAACAGATATGTGAATTCAACCTTCCTGTATCTATTATCTTTGGCTCTCTCAGGACCACAGAGGTAGTTTTTTAATTTCAATTCACATATGCTCTGACTCTGACTTCCTGCCTGGCAGAGTGCCCTTGGGGACCCCAGAGACAGGGCCTGGTGTGACAGGCTCTGAGCACTCTCACCTCGGACATTTTCCCTCCCATGTTCATGAGGTCCTAGGCCTGCATGATTGCTGATTTCTTTTAGGTGTGCTGAAACCCATAGATAGTTTAGCGCAGGTGAGGAAAGAATCCCTTTGGCTCACCTGAGACTGGCCCAAATTCCTTAAAGATAAAATTCCTCAGGGTTGGCATAGAATTTAGAGGTACAACACTTGCTTTGCGTGAGTCAGGACTTGGATTTGATGTTCAGCACCAAAAGTAAATAAAAGCAAAAGAAGATGAAAAAAGAAAAACAACTAAACTGGGAAACTAAAGGAAAAAGAGACTAAGAGGCTATATGAGAGTCAAGAAACTAGTCTGGAAACTAGTTTTCAAGCACAGATTAGCACATCCGTGACTAACTACAGATTACCTTGGCTCGTACCTGTCCAGAATTGTCTTAAGATTCAACTCAGAATGAATCATTATTGTGCCACCCAGTCCTGAAGCATCAAGCCTCTTTTTTTTTTTTTTTTTTTTTTTTTGCTTTTTGTGTCACACCCGACGATGCTCAGGGTTACTCCTGGCTCTGCACTCAGGAATGACTCAGGGGACCATATGGGATGCCAGGGATCGAACCCAGGTTGGCTGAGTGTAAGGCAAATGCCCTCTCCACTGTGCTATCGCTCTGGTACCAGCATCAAGCCTCTTAATCACAAGATAGTTACCTTTTTTGAGCAACTTTAGGTCCCCAACATAAACTAGTTTTCTCATGAATGAAACTGAAGACTAATTTTGGAGAGACACTGCTACTGAATCTTACCTGGTTGGCCTATCTCTGGCCTTAGCTCTCTGGAGACTTGTCAGGATGGGGGCAGGTGGAGTTCCCACCCTGCCAGAAGGCCCAGCATCCCACCACTCCTGGCTTCCTCCAGCATACAAATGGCCCAGCCTCACAGCTCCATGACTAATCTCAGTGACACTAACTGCTGAATCCTCCCAGTACCACAGCTCCTGGAGGGCAGACAGCACAACATTACCAAGTTTCATAGTACTGAGAGCCCAGTAGGAGCACAACAAATTAGATAGGAAAGTTGCATAGAAGCCCACAAAGCTCAATGAGTGAGAACAATAACACAGAAAGCTCAGCTGGTATCTAACAGCCCAGGAAATCCTCAGACAATGACTTTAGTAATGCTACGGTGAGACATATGTTGTAACAAGCAACTGAAGAGCACTACAGCTATTTTATACGGGCTGGAGCGATAGCACAGCGGGTAGGGCGTTTGCCTTACACGCGGCCGACCAGCCGATCGGAGTTCGATTCCTCCACCCCTCTTGGGGAGCCCAGAAAGCTACCGAGAGTATCCCACCAGCACGGCAAAAGCCTGGCAAGCTACCCATGACGTATTTGATATGCCAAACACAGTAACAAGTCTCACAATGTTACTGGGCCTGCTCGAGCAAATCGAAGAACAATGGGAGGACAGTGCTACAGTGTTAGTACTACAGTATTGAAAGAATCACAGGTTTGGTGCTTGCTATAGTACATTCAGTTGCAGTCAGGGAGACAGTCATGAAAGGGTGTCACATCTGTAGAGCTGACATTTCAAAACAGTGATGAAAGAAATGCACCATTCAATAAGTGCTATTACACAAGTCACTATCCCCACGAAAACCCACAGCACCCAAAAGAGCAATCACTAGGTTATTATGAACAAAAAAAATTAATGATATTAAAAAGAAGATATAGGAGGCTATCTCTAAAACAGAGAGGGGAAAACCTTCTTAAGACATAAAAAGCAAAAACGCACACATCTGAAAAAGATAATAAAAATAAACTCAAGGGCCTGAAGGAGGGCCAGAGAGCTGCTAGTACAGGGGGTAAGACAGTTGTCTTGCATGCAGCCGACCTAGGTTTGATTCTTGGCACCAGCCTGAGCATAGAACCAGGAGTAGCCCCTGAGAATTTCTTGATATGGCTCAAATACTCCTTCTCCTAAACCATATAAAATATCGATGCTGGGCCTAGAGATTTAGTACAAGAGGTAAGGTATTTGTTTTGCATTTAGCCTATCCTGGTCCAAATCCCTAACACCACAAAAGGTCCTCTTAGCTGCACCAGACATGACTTCTGAGCACAGAACCATAAATAATCTCTGAGTGTTGCTGAGTGCAGGTCCAAATGCTCCCCCCTCCCCCCAAAATAGTCAATGCCTAGGTCTTGTTGTAGAAACTCCTATTTAATTGTTCCAGTCTTGAACACACATTTTCAAGGCCCCCACTGATCTGATATGGGGCTGAGATGGTGAACCTCTTGTCCAAGGCCATCAGAATACTCACATTTCCCTTGCAAGTGACTGGGATGGACAAGACATAGACCCCAATTCTGGCTCATGGGACGTGGAAGGAGGAAGAACCTTCCTTATTGACCAGAGACGGGGGAAAGGTTTTTCTCTTTTTTTGTGGGATATTGCCATATGACACTGTGTCACTGTTAGTATGACTTCTGGATCCAGTGCAATGGTCTTTAGTTGTGGGTGGAGCTGAGCTGGGCCAGAGACTAAGCTGAGTGAGGATGGTGGTGGGAAGCCTGGGGAACTGGGTTACTGAGCTCCTGAAATCACCTAGATCTGAGCTGCCTTCCCTGACCTTGTGTTACACTCCACATTAAACTCTTTTTCTTTTTGGGTCATACCCAGTGATTCACGGGGGTTATTCCGAGCTTTTGCAGTCAGGAATTATTCCTGGTGGTGCTCAGGGGACCATATGCTGGGAATCCAACCTGGGTCAGCTGCGTGCAAGGCAAACGACCTACCCACTGTGCTATCTCTCCAGCCCACATTAAACTCTTGATGCCAGTGCTGCTAACTCAGAGAGAATGTATTCTGAACCATAGACAACTGCTGACCTTTTGCCATTTTTTAAAATCTATTTTTTCTATCATCGCTGCAGGTCCAAAGCAAACCTGTCTGACCTACTTTCATCATTTTCAATTTCCTCATCTTTAAAGTGAAATTTTGGCACCCATTTCATTCCATTCTCCTCTACCTCTCCTTGCCTCCCAAGATCTATCATTTTCCACTGAGTGCAGCATTCAGGGAGGTGATAACTGATCTGGTAACCTAGCACAGTAGCAAGAGTGCTCATCAATTTTCAACAAGTGCTCAACCACATTTTATGTGTATGAACTTTCCCCCTACATACCTATGTATGTATGTTTTCTCAAACCAAACAATGAGAAGATCGTGGTGTATGAAATATCTGATACAGAGATGATAGGAGAAATAGGTTACCTTCTTGACAGTTTGTAAGACAAGTTAATTTCTTGCTCATGTCACTGGTCAATGTGGTGGTGGGAGTATGAGGGTGGTTCCATTACATGCACTTTCACCTCAATGAAATCATGAATTATGGGGCTGGAGAATTAGTACAGAGGGTAGGGTGCATGTTTGGTCTTCAGCACCAGCCAAGGTCCCCCAAGACGGCCAGGAGTGACCCCTGAGGAGAGAACTAGGAGTAAGCCCTGAGCACTGCTGGTGTGGCCCAAGTCCCAAATCATGCATTATGTTGCTGTTCTCTGTGTCAAATGTGCTGATGAAGAAAATCACACAGCCTTGCAGTGTGGAGTCACTATGAATCATCAACATTATTTGAGATTTCAGAGTCAACTGACCCCTTGTTCTTGTAGCATCATCTTCAAGAAAAATACAAGGTCTGGGGAGTGAGGTCAGAGTGGACAGGGATGTGCAAGGTCCAGAGTTCAGTCTCCAGCACTACATGGTTGTCCAAAACTGTCGGTGGAAGCCCAGGTGGCCCATGAGTCCTGCCAGGTGTGGCCCTCAAACCAATTTCTTTTTTAATGGGGACAGGAGAGATAGCACAGTGGGTAGGGCACTTAATTTGGATGTGGCCAACCGGGATTCAACCCCCAGCACCCAAAACGTCCTCTAAGGACTGCCAGGAATGATCACTGAGCACAGAGCTAAGACTAAGCCCTAAAGCACCATCAGGTGTGGCTCCAAAACAAAAATAAACCAGAACCCCCCCCCCCAAAAAAAAAGCAAAAAGCATTTTTTTGGTCAGTTTTTCAGGGGTGGAATCATGTATTCCATAGAGGAGAGGATGACGACAAAGTCATTTCCCCCAGTCACTATCACTATAGTATTGGCTTGGGTCTGGAGAGTCTGACAGTCTTTGGTCTTCTTTGCTTCAGTTCTGGCCAGATACCTGCTAATGTGACTAACTTAAACTGCTATGTTAAAGACTGTATTTCAATTTTCTTGTCCTTTTTTTTTTTTTTTTTTTTTTTTTTTTTGCTTTCTGGGTCACATCCAATGATGCTCAGGAATTACTCCTGGCAGCGCTTGGGGGACCATATGGGATGCCAGGGATTGAACCCAGGTTGGCCGCGTGCAAGGCAAAGCCCTCCCCACTGTATTATTGCTCTGGCCCCACCATGTTTCAATTTTCTATGTTGTGACATACCTTTGTATGTTGTCCATAACAGTTAGCATTTTTTTTTTTTTGGTACTACATCTGGCAGTACCCAGGGACTATTCCTGCATTCCTGGCAGTGCTTGGGAGACCGTATCAGGTGTCAGTATTTGAACTGGGGTTGGGTGCATGCCAGGCAAGCACCTTACTCCGTACTATCTCTCTGGCCCACACAGCAGGTAGTTTTCAGTCTACTTTTATTATGTTTGTTGTATCTGACTTTGTAACGAAAGCAGATAAGCTCATGTTTCCGGGGAAATGAGATCACGGCAGTGCATCTGCAGTCCATGGCTCAAGTATCAGGCTGCAAACTGGCTCCAAGGAAGTGGCAAGCAAACACCTCAAGCAAGCTTTCCTTTCCCCAAAGTCTACATCCAGTTTCAAAGCTTCACAATTCGGTTGTTACTAAAAGACAGTTAAAAAAAAATGATTAATGGCCAGAGATAATAGCACAGGAAGGAAGGCACTTGCTTTGCATGCGGTCAACTGGGGTTCTATCCCCAGCACTGTACATGGTCCTCAGTAGTACTGTTAGTGACCCCAGAACACAGAATCAGGAGCAGTGAGCCCTAAGCACTGCCAGGTGTGGCCCACCCCTCAAATAAAAAATAACAAACAGCTTTAAAAAATGTTCAGATTATCATTTTTCATCCAATCTGAATGGCAAATACTTATAAAAATTGATAAGTGCTGGGGTCAGGATGAGAGAAATCCTACAGTGTAGATGGTAGAGTCGATTGCTATGATCTCTTTGGAAACAACTGCCAGTAGTTCCAAAACACCCTATGCACTGTCCAGGCTACTCTGGATTAGGTCATTCATCACAGAATGCCTTGTAGGGGCAAAAGATGATGTAACCTAAAAAAGGACACACTGGTAAAAAATAGGCTTCAGTGTGGAATTCTGTAGCTATAAATTCTGTAAAAATAGGCAATGGGTGACAATCATGTTTAGTCTATAGTCTACTTTCCGCATGCTTCTCCCATCCTGGGAGATCCTCCCAACACCTTTATTTGGTGTTCCTTTCTTTATCTGAGCTCCCTTTTCCCCTAGTATGTGTGGTTGGCCTCCAAGCCATGGAGTAAAATTCCTAGTACTATTCTCGGCCATTCTTGGGTGTTAGTCTCCTATTTTGTTACTTTATGTTCCCCGGAAGAATGCTATCTTTCTATGTCTATCCCTCTCTTTCTGACTCATTTCGCTTAACATGATACTTTCCATGTAGTACCGCTTGTATGTAAATTTCGTGACTTCGTCTTTTCTAACAGCTACATAGTACTCCATTGTGTAAATGTACCAAACTTTCTTTAACCAGTCATCTGTTCTCGGGCACTCAGGTTTTTTCCAGATTCTCGCTATTGTAAATGATGTCTATTAAAATTTTTTAAATAAAAAAAGTGATTAAGTGAAGTGAAATAAAAAAATAAAGATGTAAAAATTCTGTAAAAATAGGCTAAATAATTTTTTTTTTTTTTTTTTTTTTTTTTGCTTTTTGGGTCACACCTGGCGATGCTCAGGAGTTATTCCTGGCTCTGCATTCAGGAATCACTCCTGGCAGTGCTCAGGGAACCATATGGGATGCAGGGAATCGAACCCGGTCGGCCACGTGCAAGGCAAGTGCCCTATCCGCTGTGCTATTGCTCCAGCCCAGGCTAAATAACTTGTGTGGAATTCTGTAGCTATTATTGCATAAAAGAGCTTTGGGGTGCTGGGGAGATAGTCAGGGATCAGAGGTGCTTGCCTTTTATGCTTAGGTTCAATTCTCAGCACTGAATGGGCCCCCAAGAACTGCCAGGTGTGGCCCTTGTGGCTCTTGCACTTCTGGACCTGAGTTGACTAGTCCAACTGATTGACCTCAGTCCAACTGGCTAAGTCCTGCTTGTAGGGGCATGGCCAGTGTGGAGCGGGGGGAAGGGGGTCTCCCTGCAAACAATCTCCCCAGTTATACACTAGAAACTGTAAGGCTGGTGACTCTGGAGCAGTGTTGAGGGGACAAAGTAGGATTTGCCTTTTGAACCTGATAAATGTCTAAATGTCTTCACTCTGAAGAAAAGAGAAAGGAAGAAAAAAAGGAACAAAAAACGAAAGGTTTTCCAGTGGTAGAGAATACATGAACAGGAAAACCTTAAGATAAATTCCAATCCAAAAGTCAATAATTAAATGAAATCATTCTGAGAAAATTCAAGAGCTGAAGGCCAGTTTTCCTCTGAACAGGCACAGGGAGACAGGGACTGAGGGAAGAGCTGGGTATGAGCGAGTCACAGAGCCAGGACACTTGGAAGACAGACACTTTATTGGTAGTACGACATTCAGCTCTCAACAATACTTTTTAGGGGCCACATCCAGCTGTGCTCAGGGTATATATGCTCCTGGCTCTATACTCGGGGATCACTCCTGGCGGGCTCGGGAGACTGTATGAGGTATACAGGGGATTGAACCTGGGTCGGCTGCATGCAAGGCCAGCACCCTACCTGCTATGCTATTGCCCCAGTCCCAACTTTTGTGTTTTGGTAGGAGACCACAGTAGGAAGTGCAGAAGGCCTCTGGCTTCCATCAGTCTGATCAGTGGCGGCTATTTGACTGTTTAACTACTGAAGTCAGGAGAATCTGATTTGAATCCCTAGGGAAGGGTGGCAAGACTTGCACCCCATTCGCATAAAGTGCTTAGCCATTATGCAAACAGGGCAGACTGAGGGCAGGCAGGTGTCCTGGTTGCCTTCCGTGATGCAAAGAAGGAAAAGCCAAGTGTGAAAGAGGACATCTTCTCTTTGCAGTCCCTCCCCTCTCTAATAACCACAGCTTGGAGGCTGACCTATGTCCCGCCCGGCTGTTCATTTTATTATTTCAAAACCCATTCACCAGGGAAGTCACAGGGGTGCCAAGCACCGAGTGGCGAGGGTCTTCTTAGGTCTGTCAACAACTGGCCACCACTGGCTGCATGCCTCCCACTGTCCCTTCTGTTCCCAGGTCCAACCTTGAGTCCCTCTGAGAAGACAAAGATGCCCACGGCCTCTCACTGCCCCTGGGTCTCCGCACATCTGTCTCAGGTCCTGAAGGGAAGTAGAAGAAAAGAGGAAGCAGTTGTCCAGCCAACCAAAGGGGCTGGACATGTGGAGTGGAGCTGTTTGGTCCTAGGCTTCTGGCTTCAACTTCTTCCCTGGGGCTCTCAGAGGGAGCCACATTCTCTCATTGGGGCAGGGTGGGTTCTGTGCTTGGAGGCTCTCCCGCCTCACTCCCACGAACCGGGGTGGGGGAATCCCTCCCTGCTGGATGAATGTACGGCGCCCCTCCTGCCCGCGGGGGGGGGGGAGGTGCCCTCCCTGTGCACATCCACTACTTTCAGAGGTCCCTTCTGTTCACACTGACACTGTCGCAAAGACTCACGGTCACTCCTTGTGCTTGTGAGAGAAGACACTTGGACTAGTTTATTCCAGTTAGTATGTGCTCCAAAGCCATTGCTGGATTTTTTTTTCCTTTTTTTCGGGGGGGGGGGGAGGAAGGTTGTGTTGCAGGGGGAGGGAAGCAACAAAGCCATCCTTGTGGCACTCCAGTCCTTCCCAGGAAACTTGAAAGTTGTGAGGCGTTATGGGAGTATTTCCACAGAGGGGCTTCGTGCACAAACAGGATGAGGTGGGTGAGAACCAAAGGGTCTAAAGTAAAGTGCCTCTTTGCAGGGTTTTGTTTGTTCAGAGATGCCTGGGCGTAAACACAAGTGTGCAGAGGTGCGCGCGCGCGCGCGCACACACACACACACACACACACACACACACACACACACACACTTATTCTGAGGTAGAAAAAACCGCCATCTCTAGATAGATGCACAGAATCCAAACTCATAGACTCATGGCACTTGTGTGAAAGCTTCCGGCCTGGCCTAAGTTGGTGCAGTGGGTCCAGACCTGCTCGTGGCCGCCTGGGGCAGTACCCAGGCAAGAGGGAGGGAGCCTCTCCGTCATCCCTGTTCCACAGCACTGGGGTCAGGACGTCCCATAGTCATTTCCTGGAACTGGAGCCAGGGGCACCCCGAGGGCGACTTGTCAGCAGCCACTGGGTGCAGATGTCCTGCACCACGGCATCCCCGCTGCTCGTGGCCGCTTGTTGCACCTGCTGGACGAGGGCCGTGGCTCGGGAGTGCTCCTGCTTCACGGCCACCAAGTAAGCGGAGCGCAGTTTACAGCATGTCAAGTAGGCCTTGACCTGGGAACCAGGGAGACAAAGGAGACTGTTACCACTGCACCGCACACTTCAAACACCACACTCTGCTACATCAGAGCACTCAGGGGGTCCTGACCTCAGATCCCAGAGACTAATCTTGCAACTCCTAAAATGTTCGGGACACTAAACTTGTAGAGTTGGCGACTGTCCAGGTAAGAAGGGTAAAGGCTCTCAACACAGGAGGCTGGGGCTGGAGCAATAGTACAGCGGTAATGTGCCTGCCTTGCGTGTGATGGACCTGGGTTTGATCCCCAGCACTCAGTATGGTCTCCTGAGTTCACCACGAGTGATCCCTGACCACAGCCAAGTATGGCCCAAAAGGAAAAAAAGAAAACGAAAAGGGGCAAGAGTTGAATCCCTGTCTCTTTCCTCTGAGCCCTGCTGTGCCATCCTGGTCTTAGTGCCAAATAGCTATGGTTTTAGATTTAGATTTGAATGATGATCTGAGGTTTACCTCCTCAAAAATAAAATAAAACTAGAGATTTTATTTTTGGGTTCCCCTGAAGTGGAGTGCAGGGAGCCTGGACCACTCCCAGGGATGCTTGGGTTCTGCAGGGCAGTGCCCTGATGTGAGGACCGTGGGGATGGAGGGCAGCAGGGCGACTCTCAGTGACGCTTGGGGTTGACTCGACTTTAAACCACAGGACACGAAGAGTGGCTGCTTTTTTCCTACATCTCTGTGTGGCACAAAGCCAGGCATGTGGAAGAGTCAAAAATGATGAAGTGAGGGTCTAAACCAGGACACCTGCCCCTATAGCAGATGAGGACACCTTCTTCTTCTTGATTGTTTTCAACCTTGCAAAGCCTGGCAAGCTCCCCTTGCCATATTCAATATGCCAAACACAGTAACAAGAAGAATAAAAAAAATGGAGATGTTACTGGGCCCGCTCGAGCAATATTGATGAACAATGGGAGGACAGTGATAGTGACAATTTTCAACCTGCTGAATTTATAAACTGTTTTTTTTTCTTTAATTTTTTTTTAATTGAATCACTGTGAGACATACCCTTAGAAAGCTGTTTATGATTAGATTTCAGTCATATAGTGTTCCAACACCCATCCCTCCACCAGTGTACATTTCCCAGCACCAGTGTCCCCAGGAATTTATAACTATTTAACAGGGCAGGAGAGTTGGTCTGCAGAACTGTGCTTACCATGGTGAAGTGTGTGTGTGTGTGTGTGTGTGTGTATGTGTGTAGGGGTGGCGTGAAGGTGGGAAGATGGCAGTGGAGGGAAGCAGACCCTGGTGGAGGGTGTGGTATTGGAATGCTGTAAGCCTGAAACCCTATCATTAACAGCACTGCAAACCATGGTGCGTCAAATTACAAAAAAAATCTTTTAACAGGAAATTTGGGGGAGGAAAACACCCATGCATCATTAAATGAGAGTGGATTAAGTTCTCACTCTCTGCTGATGTGAATTCTACTGTGCAGTGCAGAGGAGATCAGTTTCAAGGATGAGAGTGGGGCTGAGGAGGCTCTCCAGCCATTCTGTGTCTCATCCCCAGCTTCCTCTCCTTCCTTCCCAGTCCCACCCCAAGGGGCATCACTGACTGGCAGCAAGGCCTCAGCTTCCCAGTGGCTGCCCGTCCTATGTGACGATCCATGGTGGCTAGGGCAGGGGGATTTCTCTTCCACTGCAGTTTCATTTCTCATCTTCCTCGCTAAAGCCTTCTTTTTCTGAGCTCAATTATTGAAAACCTTCTATAGCCGAAGCAGAGGTACGCAAACTTATTTGACTCACCATGCCCCTTTTGCAGAAAAATTAATCGTTCTGCACCACTCCTGGTTAGCTACCTTGTCTAAGTGAACAGAAAACACCCCTTAATTACACCAAAGCTCCTACTACCCCCTGCTGCTCCCCACCCCTATACTGTTCTAGCACCCACCATATAAGAGCAGCTGCTGAAAGAAACAGCCTGAGAAAGCAGTAATAGATTTGAATTTAGGGTATGTCTTTTCCAAGGACAAAGGTTCTGCCTGTTGGATGGGGCTCATAGAAGACTGGGAACTGGACTGCAGCTGGAGAATCAGGAGTGTTTGGGGTGATTTGAGGTTTATCTCCTCAAAAATCAGAACCATTCTAGAAAAGTAGCTCTAGAAATCAGTATCATTCTAGAAAAGTGGCTCTCCACACACTAGAATTCTATGCTTTCCAAAGGATCTCATCAAAATAACACAGAAACAGAGGGGGGGGGGGCAAAGAGAAAAGGAGAGAGAGAGAGAGAGAGAGAGAGAGAGAGAGAGAGAGAGAGAGAGAAAGAGAGAGAGATGGTCACAGTGAGAGACATGGAGTAAGACAGAGACAGAGACAGAGAGTATAAGGGTTAAAGCACTTGCCTTGCATGCAGCCAACCCTGGTTCAATCCCTGGTACTGCATGCATATGCATATGGTCTCCCTGAGCACTTCCAGGTGCAGTCCAACACCCGCTGCATCCCCCCACCCCTTTGATAGATGTTTCAAAAAGAGATGTTTCGGAAACAAATGGAGTGTTCAGGACATGTTTCCCTACTTTCACATGCTGAAAGTGCCCTGCAAATTCCACCCAGGGATTAGCAGTAGGGCCACAGGGAGTGGCTCTGTGGGTGTGTGAGCAGCTTTAGTTTCCCCGGGGAGGAAATGAGGTGCCACACTGTTTCACTGGCAGCGTCAGGGTAGTCTGACCTAGCTCGCCCCTGCCCCTCCTCACTCGCTCCTCCCCGTGGCAGCTGAGCCGAGTGTTGGGTGCGCTGCCAACAGGAGCAGCTGGGAACTCCTCTTCTAGTTAGCTCTCCTTGCTGACAATATCAAGCAGAGTCCCACCCATTGCCTAGGAGACAGGAGTGCTCGCTGGCCTCACGGGAGAGACACCTGCTTTAAAACAGAAGCATCCAAGGGCAAGTGAGCATGGGGCCGAGGGAGGCTTTTCTGTGGCAGAGTGCCCTTTTTTTCCTCCAGGATAAAGAAAGGCCATTCCACCCCACACCTCACTGGGTCAGTGACCCTGAAGACAGAGGGGGGCGGGGCTTGCTTCTATAGAAAAATGGAGAATTGGGGCAGCCCAAGACATGTCTGCCCTAGGAAGAAGGAGTCAGGAAGGCAGAGGCTCAGGTGGCCACTGCGGGGGCACACCCAGGTCTTCCCTCCCTTCTTCCTCCCATGTGGCTCCATGCTGCCTCACAGAAACGGCAACACCGGCTGTCTGTATAGCACTGCCGTGGAGAGCAAGGGGTAGAGAGGACCAGCAAGCCTGAGGATTGTTCCAGAGTGCTACCAGGGTCTGGACTCTTCTTCTTCTTCTTTTTTATTTTTGCTTTTGGGTCAGACCTGGCGATGCCCAGAGTTAACATTACTCCTGGCTCTGCACTCAGGAATTACTCCTGGCAGTGCTCAGGCGACCATATGGGATTCTGGGACTCGAACCCGGTTCTGCCGCGTGCAAGGCAAATGCCCTACCCACTGTGCTATCGCTCCAGCCCTGGATCTGGACTCTTCATTGTACTCACCTTGTTGTCATCGCTGTGTATTGCCTGGATCAGGCCCTCCAGCTCCTGGGCAGAATAGAAACACAGGAGTCATGAGAGTGAGAAGAGTCTGCAGTGTGGGAGGAGGGCCCGGTCGGGCTTTGGTGGACAGCTCTGGCTCTGGTGGGAGGATGCCTGCAGGATCTGTTTTAAGGTGTTGGGAGGTTCCTCCCAGGATGGGAGAAGCATGCTGAAAGTAGACTATAGACCAAACATGATTGTCACCCATTGCCTCTTTTGCAAACCACAACACCCAATAATAAGAGGAGAGAACAAAAGGGAATGCCCTGTCACAGAGGCAGGGTGGGATGGGGGGGATGGGGGGTGGGAGGGATACTGGGATCTGTGGTGGTGGGAAATGGGCACCGGTGGAAGGATGGGTATTTGATCATTGTATAATTGAAACCCAAGCACAAAAATGTATAAGTCTGCAACTGTACCTCATGATGTCTCACTATTAAAAAATTAAAAAAATAAACCAAAAAAAAAAAAAACCCAAAAAAAAACTAAAAGGCAAAAAAAAAAAAAAAAGGTTTAAATAGACTGTGAAAGATTGTAAAGTCACTATAGAGGGGGTTAACCAAAAAGACATATTGCAGGGTGAGAAGAACTGGATTGCTACAATATTGTTCCCAGTTTACTAGTGCAGCAAATGGTTAAAAAGAGTGGTTGGAAGCCGGTGGCCGAGATGGCTTCTGAGCAGAAGAGTTGTGAAATGGGGAGGTAAGGGACACCAACTATCCACTATAAACTACTTGTGTTAGTTTCATATAATACTTTGTCCAAAAAAAAAAAAAAGACCTAAAAAAAAATGTAACTCCTGGGACTGGAGTGAGAGTACAGCAGGCAGGGTGTTTCCCTAGCATGTGGCTGACCTGGGGTTGATCCCTGGCATCACCATAGGGTCCCCTGAGCCCATCAGGAGTAAGCCCTGAGCACAGAGCTAGGAGTAGGCCCTGAGCACTAACAAAATAAATAAAAAAATTCACTCCTGGGCCTGGGCCTGAGGCTCGGGGGGTCCAACGCCTGGTGTTTGAAGGAGCTTGTGGACTCGATCCCTGCACCACCCCACTTGGCTGCCCAGTGTGATCCCCTGAGCTTGGGAGTCTGACTGGGAAGGCCAAGCAGCCGGGCCTTGTTCTTCACAAAGGCCTGGTGCTCTGTTCACTCAGCAGAGAAGCCCCGAGGGGCAAGGTCATGGCTCTGTGCTTCAAAGTCCATTCACACACCCAACCCCCCACTCAGCAAGCCCGGGAGAAACGCTGGCGCCCGAGACCCCCACGGGCATGGTGCCATCCTTCCAGGGACTGGCTTTTGAGAGTGAGGCACTTTTTCAGGGGTAGTGGACCTTCGGGTCATGGGAAAAAGGATACAGAGGGCGACCTGAAGAAGAGACCCAGGTGCGGGAGAGGCAGGGAGCGTACCTGCGGCGGGATTCTCCGGAACGCTGCCAGGCAGTCAAGCAGGATGGTGTCCTCGTCACTCTTCGCTGCCACCCCTGACTCGCCCACGCACTTGAGCAGCTGCCGGATCTCGCCATACTTCTCCCTCTCCACCAGCTGCCGTGCAGCTCTGCAGTAGGTGTTGGCCGCATCCAGCTGGAAGTCCTGGGACAGACAGGACAGGAGGAGTGGGCAGGAAGGCGGGGTTGCGGAAGCACCACCAAGCTTGGTCCAGATCAGCCACACCAGTGGCAGTCACCACAGAAGGCACACGTGAGTGAAAATATGCCTCGTTGGATGACGCATTCAGGAAGCCGAAGGGGGAAAAACAAAAACAAAAACCCGTGACCACAGCTCACAGGGGACGTGTACCTTGCCGGCTGTCAGGTCACTGTCTGAAGACACTCGGATCAAGTCCCCATGGCTCACTTTTCCCTTGGGAAACAGATGTTGGGTGCCACGAAGAGGTGCCACCGTGTCAGAAGCAGAGCCACATCGGATCTGCTGCACACTGATTTGCAGACAAGCACTTGATCATGTTTGGTTTTGTTTTGAGGCCACAGCCAGGGCTTCCTCCTGGCTCTGCACTCAGAGACCACTCCTGGAGGGGCTTAGAGGACTGTAGTGCTGGGGATCAAGCCTGGCTTGAGTGCATGCAAAGCAAGTGCCCTCCCCCACCGCACCTTCTCTCCGACTCCTGATAAACACTTGAACCTTAAGATAATCCTCTCAGCCAGGTCTGGGAGGGGGACAGACCTGCCGACCCTGTGGGTGGGCTCTGCTAACACTGGACAATGGGTGGAATCTGACTGATCTTAAAGCCACTGATCCCTGGGACATGCTCAGTGTGTCCAATTACCCTGGCTGCCTGGGGTCAGAGGTTCAGTGTGTAGCGGTGGTGGGGTGGACACAGACACTACAGTTACAGCTGAATTTTCTGGCTGCAAGCCCTGAAAAGGGACTTCTGTAGCCAGCTCTGCTGTTACTGGCCCCTCCCACTTCCTATGCTCTCTTGTCCCAGAAAAGAGTGCAGAGCTCTGCAGGGGAGAGCTGTGGAGAACTGTCACCTGGTCCCAGCTGTCTAACAGCCCCCGAGGCAACTCTCATTGGACAAAGCTGCCTGGACTCTAGCATCTGCCCACCTGCAAGGGCCTCCTCCTCGATTTCATCACAGATGCCTATTCTAATAATCTGCTTTCCTTGGGAAAGAAATTTCCTGATGAATCACTTCTCCCCGCAGTCAGCGGCAGGGCACCCTGAGCATCATCTTGAGTAATCTTTGAGTCCTACCTGCAGCACCCGGAATGCGATTCCAAAACCGTCTTCAACATTCTTCCCTCCTAGCATGACCTACAAAGGGAGGGATAATGAACTCAAAGGGGTAACGATGACTGGAGGAGACACTCAGTTAAGAATGAGGTGCATCCCCTCCCCCTATCAGTCAATAATATTTGTTGAGGGACCGGATCGATAGAATAGCAGGTAGGGCGTTTGATTTGGACATGGCCAACCCCAGTTTGATCCCTGCGACCCTGAGCCCACCATGAAGTGCAGAGCCAGGAGTAATCCCTGAGCACCACTGGGTGTGGCCCCATAAAAACAAAACAACAACAACAACAATAAATATTTGTTGAGACTCTACTAAGTGCCAGGCACTCATCCAAAGGGTCTTGCTTCTGGCCTGCTAGCCATCCGGTGGGGAGGCCACCGTCAACCAACTGACAATATCTAGAAAGTTGCAGGCTCGAGGAACTGTCCACAGGCAGAACAGGTTGTCAGAGGCCTGACGCCGCCTGCATACCTTACAAGCCACGTCCATTTTCATGCAATTGTTCCCGAACAGCGTTGGCAGAGGCAAGGCGGTGACCTGGGAGGTGCCGGCACTCTCGCAGCGATGCAGGAACCTGGTCACTTCCATCTGCAGCTGCAGCGTGTTCATGTGCCTATGGAGTCAGGGGTGCATGAGCCAGCTTGAGAAGAGGGACAGGCTGGGAGACTGAGAAACCCGAGTCAGGAGAAGAGGAACAGTGTAAAGGGAGGAGAAGAACAGGCCGAAACAGTCCCCAGGGGCCATGGGCACAAGATGAAAATGGGTGTCTTTCTGGTGCCCTGTGGGGACGATTAAGGGGTTCAGGGGGACCTGGGTACAGGCTGAGTGTTTGAACGAGGCACTCAAGGAGCACCTGTATGCCAGGCTTCAGGAAACAATACTAAGCACAGAGGTCAAGAGCAGCATGAATCTTCCCTCACAGTTCCCAGGCTGGAGGAGAGAGGAATAATGAACACACACACACACACACACACACACACACACACACACACACAGAGGATTGGGTCTATCAAAGCAATAAATGGCAGTGAAGTGTATTTACTCAGATGCTATGTCCTAAGGGATTAGCAAGGATTTGGAAGGAAGGCCATGGCGTGCGGAGGGAAGGAGAGAAGGAAGAAAGAAAGGAAGGAAGGAAGGAAGGAAGGAAGGAAAAAGAGGGAGAAAGAAGAAAGGAAGGAGGGAGGGAGGAAAGGAAGGAAGTAAAGAGGAAGGGAGAGGGAAGGAAGAAAGAAGGAGGGAAGAAAGGAGGAAGGGAAAGAGGGAGGAAGGCAGGGAAGAGAGAGAAGAAGGGAGGGAGGGAAGGTAGGAAGGAAGAAAACAGAGAAGGAAAGAAGAAAGGAAGGAAGCAGGGAAGGAAAGAAGAAAGGAAGAAGGGAGAGGGGAGGGAGGGAAGGAAAGAAGAAAGGGAGGGAGGGAGGAAGGAAGGAAGGAAGGAAGGAAGGAAGGAAGGAAGGAAAAAGGATCCTAGATCCACACTGCACACTGCCATTCAGGAAGGCTTCTCTTCAGAGGTATTTTCTTTCTTTCTTTTGCTTTTTGGGCCACACCTGGAGATACACAGGAGTTACTCCTGACTCTGCACTCAGGAATTGCTCCTGGCAGTACTCAGGGAACCCTGTGGGATGCTGGGAATTGAAGCCAGGTCAGACTCATGCAAGGCAAATGCTCTACTCATGTACAGAATCTCTCTGGTCTCTTCACAGGTATTTTCTGCCACATGCTCAGGGACGCTCAGGGGTAACTTCTGCACCCACAGACATTTAGCTTTGGCCAGCTGGCCCCACCCTTCTCCTTCCCTGGACCGAGAACTACCTTGAGACATCAGCTGCGGTCATCTTCTTACGGAAGAAGGTCGCTTTCTTCCTTCGGGTGCTGCGGGAGGTTTCCTGGAGGTAGATCTTCAGGTGGTCCTTAGCCTTAAGCAGCCACGAGAGCTTCTCGCCCAGTTCTGTGTATGTCTTTGCCTTGTGACTGAAGAACCGGATGCAGGTCATGGCAGCCCGTACTTGGTCCTAGAATGGAGGTCCAGATGAGAGTTCAGGGATGTGAGTGTGATGGGGTGGAGTGTGATGAGGGTTCTGACCTGACCCCCACTTATGAAGCCTGGCTGCAGGTGCCTACCACCAGCTGCGAGGTTGCTCTGGATCAGTAATTCCCAGGCCTAGAAGATCCCAAAGCAAACAGGTTGGCTGAGCTCTTGATTTTTTAAAATTTATTTATTTTTTTGGTTTGGGGGCCAGAACCAGCGGGGCTCAGGGCTTACTCCTGGCTCTCTACTGGCTCAGGGCTCACTGCTGGCAAGGCTCGGGTGACCATATGTGGTGCTGGGGATCCTGATTAGGCTGTATACAAGGCTAGAGCCTTACCCTCTGCACTATCTCTCCAGCCCCAGGCTATGTTCTAGGAAAAGACACCACTGCATTCCAGAAGAGAACTCAAAGTGCTTTTGGCTCTACTACATTTAACTTATTTCTAATCTTGGGCCTGACTTTCTCTGCGATATGGCTGGCAGTCCTCAAACTGGGAGAAACTTGTTTCTCTACTTTCATGCATCTTCTCCATCATTCTATGTGGATTCTGTATTCATGCTTCTGTTTCTCTGCAAACGACCACAGATGTCTCTCTTTTCACCATGACATCCCATGAATTCTAAAGAATGAGGTAACTGACAGCACTGAAGGGGGCCTCTCTGGGATGAGAAGGAAATCCCAGCATCATTAATCAACGCTGGAGAGCAACCTGGGTTTGCTCCAGAAAGACCGGGACCAAATCACAGACTTATTCCCTCATCTGTAGCAGCCATCTCAATTCGGTGGGGAGTGAGTGGTAGAGGAGGGGCCATCGAGGGGGCTGTGGTTACCTTCATAAACTGCTGCAGTTCGTACAGAATGTGGTAGTAGCTCTTCTTCTGCAAATGCTGACAGGCAGCAATCAAATACTTTCCCCAGCTTTCCAAGCTCGGATCAATGGATTCTAGCAAGTTTTCCAAAATATGAAGCTTCCCACTTTTATAACACGGTTGGAAAATGCCTTCGATGAAGACGTCTGGAGGACTCTCCTGGGGGGCAGGGCAAAGAGAGGAGTCAGAGGACTGGAGCCTGTTTCGGCACTCTGGGGGACCATCTGAGTTTCCTCACATTCAGCAGGCCACTTGCTCCCCCTGAGGATGCTCCGTCCTCTTCTCCAGACACACACAATTGTCTGCATTCAGTCTCCTAGTCTCCTCTGAATTTTCTTTCTGAAAATTTTCTAATTTTTGTTACTTATTTTTGTATTTGGTGTTTGGGGCACAGCCAATGATGCTAAGGGTTTACTCCTGGTTCTGAGCTCAGGGATCACTCCTGGTGGGCTTGGGGACCATATGTAGTGGATCGAACCTGGGTGAGCTGTGTGCAAGGCATTTGCCCTACCCACTGTACTGGTCTGGTCCCTCTGAATTTTTCTAGAACCTGCTCTTTTTTTTTATGGGGGGGCTGCGGAACACTTGGTGATGTTCAGGGGTAACTCCTGGATCTGCACTCAGGAATCACTCCTGGCAATGTTGGGGGCCCATGTCGAAGATCAAACCTGGGTTGGCTGCGTGCAAGGCCAGTGCCTCACCCCTCTACTATCTCTCCGGCCTCACAGAACCTGCTTTTCTAAATTGTTCTGGGGCCATTCGCTTTTTGTCCTGGGGCTGCTTGGAGGCTACTCCTGGCTCTGTGCTTTCGGGGTGGGGGCATGTTGTGGCAGGGGCTTCTCTTTAGATCTTATTCTTTAAGTCTTGGAACCCACAACCTAGTTCAGACTACCTTTAAAGGTCACTAATGGCCTCAAACTTGTTAAGTCTAAGTTACTTCTTGGGGGCTGGAGAGACAGTATGGAAGTTAAGTGGCTTGCCTTGCATGTGGCTGACCCTCATTTGTTCCCTGCCACTGCACGGTCTCCTAAGCACTGCCATGTGTGGCCAAGCATCTCCTAAGTGTTGCTATTTGTGGTCAAGATTCCTTCTCTGAACAAAATAATAAGTTTTTTCTTAGGTCCTTATTTTCTACCTGATCTATCAATAACTTCTGGGTGGGGAGGGCTTCCCAGAGGTGCAAAGGTTACCAACACCATGTCTAGCAGCCCTTGGCAGGTCATGTGACACATAAGAGAGAAACCCAGGGATCAGAATGATACTACAACAGGGAAGGCAGCTGTGCTGGGATGCAACTGACCCAGGTTCAATCCCTGGCATCCCATATGGTCCCCTGAGTCCACCAGGAGTGATCTCTGAGCACAGAGCCAGGGTAAGCCTTTAAACATCACTGGGTATGGCCCAAAAACTAAAAAAAAAAAAAAAAAAAAAAAAAAAAAAAAAAAAAAAAAGAGAGAGAGAGAGAGAGAGGAGATGAGAGCAACCCAGACCTCAAAGTGTATGTGAGTTATTTATTAAAGTATATTTTTAAAAATGCAGGATACACTTTAAGGAACAGGAGCACGAGATTCCTCGGAAAAGCAACATTTCAAGACATTCCATTTAACCCATTCATCTCTGGATGCCGTGATGGGCTTAAGGCACACATGGTAAAGAGCCTGGACATTACCCCAGGGATCTGCCAGTGAAGGCCAGGTAAGAGAGGGGACCAGGATGCATTTTGAATCATGTAAATCACATGACTTAGGGTTCTTTTTTTGGGTTGTGATGTTGGGGATGAAAGCAGGGCCTCACATAAGCAAAGCAAGTAGCTCAGCACTACCACTGAGCTACATCCCTGGCCCTGTATTAATGTTTTTTTTGTTTGTTTGTTGGTTTGTTTTGGGGTCACACTTGGTGATGCTCAGGGCTCATTCCTGACCCTGTGCTCAGGGATCATTGCCAGTAGGGTGCATATAAGGCAGGTACCTTACCACCCACTGTCCTCTCTCTTCAGCTTGTATTTGTTTTGTAAAGCTCACTGGATGCAGTGTTATAGATAAAAGGGTAATGAACACAGAAACAGAACTCCTTCCAAGCTCAAGGCAAGGTGTCTGATTCTCACTGGGTTCTTACTGATCCCAACCTGCTGGAGAAGAATGGTGAGAGACTGCAACTCAAGGGTTACTGTGATTACAGATGGGAAAAAAAGGGGGGTGGTGGTGTGGACCTGGATCCTCAGCTCTGAACATGCAAAGCAAGGGCAATGCTGTCCTCAGCTTGTACCAGGATAAAGCAAGTAAGCAGCTTAACTCTGGGCTGGGTATCAGAGAATGGGAGCAATTTGCTCTCAGTGTGTGCTTGGGAGAAGAAGCTTGATCCCCAAATTCACTTGGAAATGAAGGACCAGGAAAGAGAGAGCAATTATAATCTAACTTTATACATTATTTCTGAGACCCAGCTGGTGGCTCAGACACAGTCAGTGGCCGTGGCAGAAGTGATTGTTTCCTTGTGGCCTGCTGACGAAGCCCCTGGAAGAGCTGATGGGGCTCCAAGCAGCTCCGAGATGTGCCTCTCTAGTCGGTCACTTTAGCTGGCTGCCACACTGACTTAGGGTGACGGCAGGTTGCTCTACTTATGAGTGACCTTAGTTTTTTGTTTGTTAGTGGGCTACATCCAGCGATCCTCAGGGCTTACTCCTGGCTCTGATCTCAGGGATCACTCCTGGCATGGTCAGGGGGACCATATGGGAAGCTGGGGATCAAACCTCCATTGGCTGAGTGTAAGGCAAGTTGCCCTACCCACTATACTATTGGCCTATGACCTTAATTTTGTATGAAGTCTGATATAAATCAACCAATTCCTCAGAAAGGGTTTAAGGATTCTTTAGAAAAACCGAAGAGCAGGCTGGCAGGTACAAGGAAAATCTGCATAGCAACCACACCAAAACAACGATGCACTTCAGGGATTACTCTGCTTCTGGAGGAGGAGGTGGAGGCTGCAAGAGGAGACAAGGAGCTCACATTCTCCTGCTTGAGGGGTCGGGTCCTACGACAAGACCCATGTGGAGGGGCTTCCTGGCTCCTGTGGTAACAACTCTGAGCGGAGCAGCAGCTGAGGCATGTGGAGCCAGGGGGGAGCAAGGCAGGAGGTATGCAGAAGAGAGATGGGGCAACCACCTGGAGGTTGCACAGGGCCACAAAGGGCTCCCACAGAACCTGGTACCTGGCCCATGGTACCTGGCCCCGGTACCATGCTCTCAATTATTATCTGATTCTGCATCTGTCATGAGGAGGAGGAGGAGGGAGGAAATTCGCCACTGCCAGGTCCACAGGGGAATATGAAATCAGGTTAAGATAGCTACACACTCATTGGCTAATGGCTGGCAGAGGAAGAAACTTCCATTTTGACCTGATTGCAGAGAGGATACCACAGTGCAATGCTGGGTGATGCTCAAGGGGCAATTAATTCCACCCCCACCCTCCCCCGTCACCTCCCCATCCTGAATGCTGGGCATTGGCCCTGGAGAGTGGGCGGAGGGCCCCCACCTTGTTGAGGAGATGCAGGAGCGCCTCCCGCAGGCAGCTGTGCCTCACATAGAAGCTGATGATGGCCAGGTGGGTGCTGTAGGTGTGCAGGTAGAAGAGGCATTCTTGGTAGTAGGTGTTGTTCATGATCTTCCCCTCAGGTACCACCTCCAGGGATAGGCTCTGGGTCCGCAGCGTGGCTTCCAGTTCCTTCAGAGTGGCCAGGTAGTCATCGTCTTGCTGATGGAGAGAGGGGTAAACCAACAGGGCCGCTCAGTGTGGCCTCTGAAAAACTGCACTCGGAACATTGATGATATGGAAACAAACGTGGACTTTAACAGTGGGGGAAATAGGTGAGATACAAAATTCCATACACTTGCCATAGCAGGGAACATCAATGTCATCTAAAAACAGGACACAGGAAACTCACCAAAATCTAAATACTGCTTAAGACTGGGGTGAATACTGCTTACGTGATTTTTATAGTTTTTGAGATGGTTTTTGGCAGTCTCTTAAACATCTGTTTTTTGAGGGGTTGGGGAGGTGGAAGGACTGCAATGCATGCTTTATGTGTGGGAGTCCTGGTTCTGATCCCCAGCATCTCAAGTAACCCCGCTGAGCACCAAACCAAAAGTAGCTCCCAGCACCACTGGGTACGGCCCCCAAACCAAAAACAAAACATCTGACTTGCTTAACTACATATCACAGAAAGAATAATCTTCCAACCTGGAAGTTCTGGGTCAGGGTTGCCATTCTTTTTGTTTTGTTTTTGGGCAATTGCTGGCGAAGCTCAGGCTTACTCCTGGCTCTGCACTCAGGGATCATTCCTAACATGCTCTGGGAACCATATGGGATGCCTGGGATTGAACCCGGCTTGGCTGCATGCAAGGCAAATGCCCTATCCTCCAGCCCCAGAGTTGCTATTCTTGGCTGAACCCCTGGGACATGAGAGTCAGGTGATGTACTGCTGAGTGGGCCCCTCCTGCTGGGCGCTCTTACCAAGGACAGGAGCGGCCTCACTGTGGACTCCAGATACTCAACCACATCCTGTACCAGCCTAGAGCCATGACTCAGCTGATTGAGGTCGAAGGGGGCCTTCAGACAGCGACTGAACTTCTCCCGGGCGGCAGTAAGGTTCCCAGCTTTGAGGCAGGCCATGCCCCAAGCGTGCCAAGCCCCAGTGGTGTCAAGGCCAGTCTTGGTGGAGACCTGTGGAAAAACCCCTTCTTTTCAGTGAGAGGTCTCTGCATCCAGGCACGAAAGTCCCAAAGGCCTTTCTCATCCCTTTGTGGCTCCTCACCTTCCTCCCCCCGCACATTGTGCCCCATGACATCATGGCTAGATACTTCCCCCAGCCAAGGGGTAATGAGAGATGGCAATACTCATTTGTGGGGTGGGGTGGGGGGGTGTGGCGGCAAAGATAACTCATCTCAGAGCAGAAGTCATGTTTAGCTTTTGCCTCACCTCAACCGCCAGCTGGTAGTACTCAGCCTCCAACAGCTGGTTCCTTAGCCTGGTGACTGCGGCCGGCTGTAAGATCTGATCCAGAGATGGCACGTGGCGGTAGGCAGCGGCCACTAAAATATTCAGCACGTCGACCTTGCTGATGTAGCTACAGAGGAAAAGGGCATGACAGTGAGGCTCGGAGTCTCACCGAGAACAGCTGCTGCTTCAAGGTGTCTCATTTCCTTCCCCACCTGAAATGTGATCATGAGAAGTGAGACACACGGAGGCTTGAGGACCGGGGTGAAGGCTCTGGGGTCAGACTCCGGGAACCCCTGATTCTTTCACTTAGCATCTCTGTGAGCTCGCACGAGTGAGTCCCTCTGTCCCTGACTCTATTGAATTGCTTGGGAAACAGACAGAATCACTGGGAGTTTTCAGGATCCAAAGGAGAAACTCTAGTGGGGATTCGAGGTGAGAAAGCAACTGCGAAAACACAGACATGCAGGCATTCTCACTGAGGCAAGGCGTTTACAGTGACTACCGGGGAATCCCAAATTACACATCGGCTTTTCTGGCCCCTCTGAACCCTGTCTGCTTGGGAGAGATCAGAGATGGTCCCAGTTTAGAGGCCACAGCACCACTGTTCCCCGCAGCTGCAGCTGGGCTGGTGCACCTGGTCCTGTCCAAGGCTCTTCTCTCTTGGGCTAGGAATGGGCTCTTGGTACAGCACCCCAGGACAGCTCCCTATCAGCTCACCCCTGACTCAGGATGACTCTGAAAACCTGACAATGACAGAGACAGAGAGCTGGATCCTGCTGTCTGAGGATGCCGGAAATGAACCTTCATGCAAGGCTCCTGAGGATGGATCCTCATGCCAGCAAACCCCCTCCCCTCACACTGGTTCTGACTTGTTCACTACAGAGATGATGCCACAGCACAATGCTGGGTGATGCTGAAGAAGTCATTAATTTGATCCACTGGCTTCTCTAGAAAGGGTTTCAAAACATCAGTGAGTTCCATTTAGTGAAGATGAGACAGAGGAGGATATAGTCCTTGCAAGTGTGAGTGCAGTATCATAACAGCATAGCTGCACACTTGGAAAAATGAGAATATCTGCAATAGATGGTAAGAGTTTTGTATCCATTCATGTGCTTATATGTCTCTTGAGAAGGGATAAAAAACAGCAGAAAATGCCCTGCAAACCAGGCACTGAAATGCACCTGAGGGGTTCATTTATTTCCATCATCAAAGCTCACAAAGGGGGCTCTGTTCCCTAGACTTGGCACATCTGAACACAAGGCTGGGGAAAAAGAATGTGTAATGTGAAATCAGGTGGCTGAAAACCGGCAGTCCTGAAGAGAGGACTCTCTCTTTACTTCTGCCTTCAGCCTCCAAGAAATGGTTATGTTCTCCATCTATAACAGAGCGTTTTCTTTCTTTCTTTTCTTTTTTTTGGGTGATTCTGAGGCAAGTTCAGAACCACATCCTGGGCACTAGAATAGACCATAAAGGAGGACAGGTCTGGATGTTAAATTTGTTTTCCCAGCCTAAGTGTCTTTTTTATTTAAATAAGGTTTTATCTTGCTGGGGATGTAAGTCAATGTCAGGGCTTATGCTCTGCATATGAGGCTCTGGATTTGAGTCCTGGCAACAAAACAAACAAAAAGTTCCAACTGAGATTTGAGGTATTTTAATTTTTTCCCTAATTTTTTTTCTACAATGGAATGATTTTCCCCCACTCCTCCGTTCTCTCCTCCATTTCTGATAACTTTACCAATTTGCCCAAGGATTAATGACCTTTTCATAATTAAACATTTCTGTTTGTGTTCTGCTCAGGGCTTACTCCTGGCTCTGTGCTCAGGGATGACTTCCAGCATGACTTGGGGGACCATCTGCAGTTTGGGGGGAATCTAACCTGGATCGACCAGGTGCAGAGCAAGTGACCTTCCCCCTGTACTCCAGTCCACTTCATGGCTATTCTGAAACCTTTACTCAGCGGGAGCCAGAGTGATAATACAGTGGGTAAGGCTCTTGCCTTTTTTTGGTTTCAGGTCTACATCCAAAGTGCCCAGGGTGTTTGGGGGAACATGCAGTGCTCCAGGACTGGAAAGATAGTATGGGGGCAAGATGCTTGCCTTGAACAAGGCTAATAAGGTTCAATTACTGGCACCATATATGGTCCCACTACCAGTAGTGACCATTAGCATGAAGCCAGGAGCATTGAGAGGGGGTGGGGGGGGGGAGAGAGAGAGAGAGAGAGAGAGAGAGAGAGAGAGAGAGAAAGAGAGAGAGAGAGTTGCTCTAGCCCTTTGAGCCATGTTCCTCTTTTTGGGTCACACCTAGCGATGCACAGGGGTTACTCCTGGCTCATGCACTCAGGAATTACTCCTGGCGGTGCTCGGGGGACCATATGGGATGCTGGGAATCAAACTTGGGTCGGCCGCATGCAAGGCAAACGCCCTACCTGCTGTGCTATTGCTCCAGCCCCGAGCCATGTTCCTCTTTCCACATCTTATTTATCAACTTAAAACATTCCTTCCCTTCTTCTGTCCCTCCTCCTTCAGTCTTCACCAAGCTCTTGCTCTTGTTAATAGAAATAGACATTTTGGGAGTACACAGAATGAATCACCTCAGTTCCACCCCCTGTGTATGGCTACTCTCCCTTCATCCTCCTACCAGGCTTATTAATCACTGTTTGGATCTGGACATGAAACCAAAAAAAGGCAAGAGCCTTACCCACTGTACTATTACTCTGACTCCCGCTTAGGTAAAGGTTTCAAAATAGCTATGAAGTGGGCTGGAGTATAGGGAGAAGGTCACTGTTTTACAGCGGGGGAAACTGAGACCCAGAGTGGCTAGCAGACTTGAGCAAGGCTGTACAGGTGAGGGCAGGGGCCTGAGGCTCACAGTACTACCTGACAGCCAGGTAGCTTGGCGGCATGTGATCTCTCCCACCCGGGGTCTGAGGCTCTGCCCGCCTCTGCTCCTGTTCTGTGCAGAGTGAGACTCGGGAACACTCTGCAGGGCTCTTCCACTTGACGGAGGAGCCAGAGCTGGGGGCTTCGCCAAGTTAATGTGCAGAGCCGAGCACGTTGTGCAGGGACCTGAGGCCTAGCCATGCCCACTTCGTAGAGTCTTCTGCCTTGTCACTCAGATTCCCAGCAGGAGAGCCCAGTGAGCTCTTACGGGTCTCTGGCCAGAGCTCCCCAAGGCCACAGTCTGACTGTGGTTTAAGATGGGGCTGATTCCGGTTGAGGCTGATTACTGGACATACATTACTGGACATTGGCTTACAGCCAGCGATACACAGGGGTTACTCCTGGCTCATGCACTCAGGAATTACTCCTGGCGGTGCTCGGGGGACCATAAGATGCTTGGAATAGAACCTGGGTCAGCCGCGTGCAAGGCAAACGCCCTGCCTGCTGTGCTAATGCTTCAGCCCCCCACTTTTCTTTAAGAGCCAGATGGTGCTGCAGAGACTAAGGTGGTTTTTAAGCACACACAATGGGAAGTTGTGTGTTTTCTCTGCTCGGGGACAGCAACAGAACATTCAGCTTGGAGAAGTCACTCTGGGATGGAGAAGGACTCAGCGAAGACAAGACAAAGTGAAGGCAGGGCAGGAAGGCCACCTGTGATCAGGGAGCAGCGTTTCCTCACGCGCAAGCCGAGACACACTGTCAGTTCTAGAGGGGCTGGTAAAGCGGGGAGTCTCAGGCGAGCCAGGCCCACTCTGCCCACGTTCACAGACCTGTCACATAGGGCCAGGTCCTGGCTGCGGCCGGCCTTGACAAACATCATCTTGGCGCTGAACAGCAGCTGCTTCATGATGTCGGTGAGCAGCCCGGCATCCACCTCTGGGTTGGTGAGGCGCTGGGACAGTCTGCAGCAGTGCTCAATCAGCTGGTGGCCACAGGCGACACTGTCCCGGTGCAGGTTCAGGATGGCGATGCACAAGGAGGCGCTGGGGGCCTGGAGAGGGGATGTGGAGAGAAGGGGATCACACAGTGAAGAGCAGGGAGCAGAACACTTTCCCAGGTAACCACAGGGCAGGCATGATCTCTCCCAGCTAACGAGGCTTGGCCAGCCGGCACCAGGAAACGGAGCCAAAGGGTCCTTGGCACAGTGGGAGGGAACTGAAAAGAAGCACTGCCCAAGCTCTGGCTCTGGATTCTGTCACCTTCCTGGCTACTCAGGAATCTACTCAGCAATACCCAGACGAGCCCTCCTTTGACCAGTGGGGTGTCCCATAGGGGTGGCCGCGGTAGTCATCTTGACTGACCACTTGCAGGAGGTTCTGCTTCAAGGACATGCTGCTGTTAAGTCAGCGTTGCTGAGGCACCTTCTAAAACCCTCCACCATCCTTGCTGCTACCACATGCAAGTTCCTGCCTGAAGATGTCAGTGCCCTCCATGCTGATAGTCCTTTTCAATCCGGCGTCTTCCTACCTTGGCAACAAAGCCAATATTTGCCCCAAATTAAACTCTCTCCAATTAAACCCATCCCACTGGGTCCTGCATTTTGGACACTGGGCCACTGCTGAGATGTTTCTGTTTTGCATTCTTGGTCCTTCCCCTATCTTCACTGGCCCTACAGTCCCCCAGTTTGTACTTATCAATCTCCTACTTCTCTCGCAAGGCTCCTTTTATTTGCCTATTTGTTGGTCTGGTTTTGGGGCCACCCCCGGCAGTGCTGGGGTACCAGGCGCTGGACCTGCTGGACCTCCGACTTGAAGAACATGCGCTCTCTTCCTGAACTACTTCTCTGCTTGCCCTGCAAGGGCTCATCATCAATGCTACCCATTATGGAGCTTTGCCCAATGTCCTCTTGTGTATTTTTCAAGATGTTTCTCTCATTTTCTGCCATTCACTGGTTTCCTTCACATCATTATCCTGTAAATCATGGCCAGCCTGCCTGCCCTCCTTCGAGTTCCCTACAATTATCCAAAGCATCATCAACAACATACTGAGGTGGTCATTAGCCCATATTACCTGCTCATAGTAAAATTCACTCCGCACCAGCTCGTTTTCCTCCTCATTCAGATCCAAAATCCATTCCACCTCTGCTGCTTTGGGGACCCTCACCACAGCTGAGTACGGGGGGCTCTCGCTCTCAGAGCTGTCTGGTGCTGCAAAGGGAAACTGTCAGATCTGGCCACATCCTGCTTGAGTCTCATCTCTGACCTTATGTCCCTTTTCCTTTCCCTGGTCCTGTCTACATCCTTCAGATGATGCCATGAGGTACTCAGGTATACACCTGGCTGAGAGTCACATCATCTGTCATGTAATCCTGTTATTTCATCTGAGAAACTCAAAGTTACATGCTTCTGTCATGGATGGAGGAGCGACTGGCCACTCTACTGGGAAGGAAAAAGCCAGATATATGAGCAGTGACTGCCACAGGGAAAGGAGAAGGCCCTTGGCTGGTTGGATGGCGATGGGGGGAGGTGGGTGGGATGGCGGTGGGGGGAGATCTGATATGGGGTGGGGTGAGGGTGGGTGTAGAGTGGGAGAAAATAAAAAAATCTACAGATTGTCCAGAATCAGTGCTTTGGTTGCTGGTCATGCTGGAAGCAAGTGGGCCAGTATGACAGGTTAGGATGATGACAAGTCTCTTGAAAGATAGGCCAAGAGTTTCCTTTGGACAACCAGCTCAACTGAGCTGATACTTAGATTATCAGCAGTAGAGAGGCCAAAGGCAGAACCAGCCTGAGTGTACAAGCGAAGAGTCACAGGAAGGGTGATTTAGTTTTACCTTGGGGCTGTCCCGGACTCTCCTCTGGCACACTGGAAAACAGAGAGAGAAAAACAAAATGTCAGGGGCTGGGAGAGAGAGTGTGGAATGCTGAGCCTTGCTGCATGTTCCCCCAAACACAGCTAGCACCAACCTCTGAGGACCACTGGGTGCGGCCCCAAAATGATGCAAAAAGAAAAGAAAAATGAAATGCTTAAATCCTTTCTCCTTTCTTTGCTATGACCTTGATGTATAAGATCTTCATTTACTCTGTTACCTGAGCGAGGTATCAAAGAACCATTCGCATCCTCTCTCACTGACCACAAGCACTATGCCTAGCTGATACCTCTTTTGCTCTCCTCTCTCTCTCCCCCCACCCCTGACCCCTTTGTCTCCAAAGCCCATTTCTTAAGACCATTTCCATCGACCAAGGACCTGTGCTCAATCCATGAAAGTTCTCCCACTCTGCCACTAGATTCACTCAACTTCAGTTGATGCCCCAAGAACTAAGTCCCAAGGTTGCACACCAGAGCACATGCCTGTCCCTTGGTTGAGGAGCAGAGGGGTTAACTAAGTGCATGCTGCTAGCGAGCAAGCTGGCCTTTCTCCCTTTGGTTTTGGGGTCACCTCTAGCAGTGATTAGGGACCAATTCTGATTTGGTGCTCAGGAGTAGCTCCCGGTGGCGCTCGGGGGACCAGGTGGTGCTGAGGTTTGAACTTGAGCCTCATGTGAGCAAAGCAAGTGCTCTGGCCCTTTCAGCCACCTCCCTGGTCTGCGAGGTCATCTTCCTGGCACTGCCTAAGTCCTCCACATTCAGCTGGCTAAGGAATGTTCATGAGATCTGTAGCCATCACCCACTACTATGCACCTTAATACTCCATCTTTTTTCCCGTGCCTGTGTCTGCAGTACGAATCCTGCTCCTGTGCATGCTCTGTTTTGCCCTCTTTTTCTACTAACTTCTCATCCTTGAGGGTGCCACACCTCCAGGAACCCCCTCCCCCCCCCCCCCCCCCGGTTCAGTTGTCACTCCACCCCTGCACTCATCTGATGGCATTTCTGTCTGCTTTGTGGGTGTCTCTCACTAAAATGGGGTTTCTCGGAGGGCAATGTGACTGCTGCTGAGTGTGGACTAAAGGAGCTCCAGCTATACTAAGAACTCATTTCAAATCTCAGTGGCATTGTTCTTTAGGAATGTCGCTGTCCCACACCCCAGAGGATGCAGTGGAATGCCAGGGTCACAGAAGCTGCAGTAAGAATGGAAAGCTGGGCTGGGAAGACGGTTCCAAGGGCTGAGAGCAGCCCTTGGGTCTATTGAACACAGTGCAGGAGATACCGCTCCTACAAAAACAAGGAAAGAAACAAGGAACGCTCTCCATCCTGAGCCCCTGAGGTGGGCCACAGCTGGTGGAGGAGGCAGCCCAGTGCAGGACACTCACTCTTGGTTGTAGTAACTGTGGCACTGGTCGCACACACGAGCAGGGTTTTCTCGGCAGCCTTCCACCACCATTTTCTGAGTGGAACAGGAACTGCACACCAGCCGGCCACAGCGGCGACAGTGATGACGTCTGTTAAACTGGGGCGTGCCAAGGGCAAGAGAAGGGAGAGGGGGAAAGAGAAGGTGAGACCGCAGGAATTATGATTATAGCTGTGAGGGGACACGTTCTCTTTGTACGTGGCCTTATTAATCACACCAGGAACCTGGGTCTGTATTGAAGCAGAAATTGCTGGGGCCAGGAGGAATGAAGAGTGTAGAGTTAAGAATGTCTCTCTTGTAAGCTTATGGTCATGAGTTCGAATCCCCAGTGCCTCCACATGTGTCGAGCATGATACTGACAGTTCTGCTGTTTGATTCTGGCCCTTCTACTATCACTGATCTTCAGGATCGCAGCTAGCTGCAATACAGGAAGGAGCATAAGCTCTATGAAAGTAGGTGATACACTAAAAAGGTGTGTAACTACCTCAGAGACTGGCCCACATCCAAAAGAACAAAAGCAACCAGTGCTGGTGTGGATGTGGCGAGAAAAGGACACTCCTTCACTGTTGGTGGGAATGCCGACTGGTTCAGCCCTTTTGGAAAACAGTATGGACCATTCTCAAGAAATTAGAAATTGAGTTCCCATTTGACTCAGCAATACCACTCCTGGGAATATATCCCAGAGAGGCAAAAATGTATAGTTGAAGTGACATCTGCAATTGTCTGTTCATTGCAGCACTCTTTACAATAGCCAGGATCTGGAAAAAACCTGAGTGCCCAAGAACAGATGACTGGTTAAAGAAACTTTGGTACATATACACAATGGTGTACTATGTAGCTGTTAGAAAAGATGAAGTCATGAAATTTACATACAAATGGTACAACATGGAAAGTATCATGCTAAGCGAAATGAGTCAGAAAGAGAGGGATAGACATAGAAAGATTGCACTCATCTGGGGAACATAAAGTAACAAAATAGGAGACTAACACCCAAGAGTGGCCAGGATTAGTACCAGGAGTTTTGCTCCATGGCTTAGAGGCCAGCCAGGCATTCTAGGGGAAAGGGCAGCTCAGATAGAGAAGGGAGCACCAAATAAAGGGTGTTTGGAGGATACTCCAAGGATGGGAGATGCATGTTGAAAGTAGACTATGGACCGAACATGATTGCCACTCAATGCCTCTTTTGCAGACCACAACACCCAAAAGGAGAGAGAAAACAAAAACACAGAGGCAGGGTGGGATGGGGAGGAAGGGGGGGGTGGGGAAGAGATACTGGGATCCATGGTGGTGGAAAATGGGCACTGGTGGAGGGATGGGTATTTGATCATTGTATAATCGAAACCCAGGCACAAAAATTTGTAAGTCTACAACTGTACCTGATGTTTCACTAAAATTAAAAAAAAAAATACATTTACAGAGACAGAAAAAAAAAAAAGATGTGTAAGTTCCATGGGCAGGGAGCGTAACCCCTGGTGGGCATGCACATGACTACTGCAGTGACCGCTGTCTAGCACATGTGCAAACAGTGCTACTAGAGGAGGTGGTGAGCACCACAGTTTGATGTGTGATCCCTGTGAGCACCACAGCCAGGTGTGTGTGCGACACCTGGTTACTGCAGTAACCACTACAGCAGTGAAAGAAAAAGAGTAGAAGGCTGGGGTGCAGTAGGGGAGGGGAGAGAGAAGGGATGGGAAAGGACAGGAAGAAAACACTCGGCTTTGACTTCTGGATACTGGTGTGAAAGATTTCTCCCAGCTGAAAGGCAAAGGTGCCCCAGTTTGGCAAGAGCTCCTATTGAGTAAGGACAGAGAAGAGACCACTATGACAGTGACAGCTCGACAAGAACTGAGTGCTAAAAGGAGGTAAAGGGACATACGTGATCACCTTTCAGTACCTGTATTTTAAACCATGATGCCCAAAAGGAGGAATGGAGGGGGAGAGAGAGAGAGAGAGAGAGAGAGAGAGAGAGAGAGAGAGAGAGAGAGAGAGAGAGAGAGAAAGAAGAAAAGAAGAAAATTGTCTGCCGTAGAGCCAGAATGGGGGTGTGCAGGAGGGAAACTAGGGTCACTGATGGTAAGAAATGTACACTGAAGGGTGAAGGGAAGGAAGTTGGAACAGTGTAGCACTGTAGCACTGGCCTCCTATTGTTCATTGATTTGCTCGAGCGGGCACCAGTAACGGCTCCATTGTGAGACTTGTTACTGTTTTTGGCATATCGAATATATCACGGGTAGCTTGCCAGGCTCTGCCATGCGGGCGAGATACTCTCGGTAGCTTACTGGGCTCTCCAAGAGGGATGGAGGAATAGAACCCGGGTTGGCCGCATGCAAGGCAAATGCCCTACTCGCTGTGCTACTGGGGCCAACAGTGTATGGACTGAAATTCAATCAGGAACAACTTTATAACTGTGTATCTCACAGCAATTTTATATATAATTTTTTTTTAAAGAGCTTCTGCTGAGTTCTACCTGTCTATGGGGGCACAATGATGAGATGGGAAGCAGTGACAGGGTGCAGTGACTCTCAGGGAGATGGCCTGCATTTCTGCCTGATGGCCTGAGGATGACACAAAGGATTCTTTTTCAAAGTGGTTCCACAACTGTGCTTCACTGTCACTGGGGCATCAGAGGGCGAGAAAAGTCACAAGGAAGAGGAGGAAACAGATGCAGGCACTGCACTACTGCTTTCATCTGCACGGGGCTAAGACTCCAGTCTGGAACTGAGTCAAGTGTCACCGTGGTTCACTTGAACAGCTCTGCCAGCCAAACAGCCTATCACCCCCAAATGCCCAGGCGACACGCGAGCATTTGCGAAGGAAACCAAGCTCACACTCGAGTTAAAGGCAGAGCTGGGAGCAGAGCTCGGGCTGGCTGTCTCGAACATCTGTATAACCACAAGACGGTCCCCTGCCCTGTGTGAAAGTTAGCTGCCGCCACCCCACGCTGCATGGTTAGGAGAAAGGCACAGGGTGCAGGGCCCAGCCATCTGCATCCACAGCACGTTCTGCTCAGGTCAAAGATAAATTCCACAGTCATCAACATCTGAGAATCTCAATGTCCCTTTGGGGGATGGACTGGACACTCTAAACTCATACTCTTGAACTCGGGGTTCCCAAATTTTGTTTCTCCCTCTGGCAAAGCCAGAGCTTGGCGTGACTCACCATGGTGAAGTGCTCCATGCGACAGACCATGCAGATGCTCTCGGTCTCATCGGGGACCCACTGGTGCCTGGCGGGGGGCGTGGCCGGGGGCACAAACTCCAGTGGTGGCTGGCTCTGTGGGAAGATCTTTTCCCTCACGCAGGGCGAGTATGCCAGCACGACGCCTGGGAAGCAGAGGACAAGGTGATCAATGGGACGGTGATGACAGAGGACATGCCCTTCTCCACACCCCTGCAGCACTAATGGATGCAGTGGATAACGTCAAGGGCCAAGCGTATCACGGAGAGAGCCCATGTGTATGTGTGTGTATGTGTGTGTCGCCTGATGGGAAACCACCACAAAACTTCCTGTACATATATTCACCAAAGCGAGGTGAGACTGAGTCAAATCCCACTTTGAGAACTCTCTGTTGGTGCACTGGAAGTACGGGGGATAAAGATGGAGCTGGCCATAGGGAGGCAGTCGGCTAAGAGCATGTGTGGGAGGCGCCACTGGACATGTAACCATGGCATGTCCACAATTAGGAGGGAGGAGAAACAAAAGCCGGACAATCTGTTGCTACTTTGGCCCAATGTCAGGAATAGGCATTAGATTTTAATTCTAGAAAAACTAATTGCAAAACAACTTTATGAGAGAATTGGGAAAACTGGAATATAGACTGGAGAGATGAAAAGAAACAGAAATCCTTTCAGGTATGCCAACACTGTCTGGGCTTTGTTTCATGTTCTTACCTTTGAGACGTTTATAACCTACAGACCTATTCAGAAAATGACAATTCAAACTTCCTTCAAAACTGCCCACAATGGGACTGGAGAAATAATACAGCGGGCAGGGTGCTTGCCTTGCACATGGCTGACCCAGGTTCGATCCCTGGCATCCTATAGAGTCCCCCAAGCATCACCAGGAGTGATCCCTGAGTGCAGAGCCAGAAGTAACCCCTGAGCATCACTGGGTGTGACCCCAAACCCAAACCAACAAACAAAAACAACAAGCAAACAACCAAACAAAAGATACTAGGGAATACTAGTGGAGGATGCTAGAGGCAATGAGAATGGTCAACATGAGGCAGTGCACTTTGCTTTCTACTTGGCCAGTGTAGATATTTTCTATAATAAAAAGCTTAAGCAGGGGCTGGAGCAATAGTACAGCAGGTAGGGCGTTTGCCTTGCATGCACCCAAGTTCAATTCCCAGCATCCCATATGGTCCCCTGAGCACTGCCAGGGTTAATTCCCGAGTACAGAGCCAGGAGTAACCCTTGTGCATTGCTGGGTATGACCCAAAAGGCAAAAGGGGGGAAAAAAAAAAAGCTTAAGCAAACCAAGCAAACTACAACTGCTCAGGCTGCCGTGTGTAGCTGCAGGAAACTGCGCCTCTGAGCTCCTGGCTCAGTCTGTGGGTTATGGAGAAGCGGGCTGTGTTCTCAAAGGACCAGACCTGAAATGCCAGTCTGAGCTCTGTGGTTTTTGAATTTTTTGTCACCTAGCAGAAAACATTGGCAGGGTGCAGGAAAGGAAAATTAAAAAGAAACAAACCAACAAACAGTGATTTTTTTTCCACCTTCAGTATCTGGCAGGGGGAAGGCTACAGATCTGGCCCCAGAATTCTGTTTTCGGACTGTTGGCAAAGCTAATGCTTGCAGAGCTCCGAGAGTCACAAAGTCTGAATGGGCAAGACTGAGCTAGCACTCTCACTACCATATGTCATTGTCACACACTTGCAGAAACATCCTTACCGGGTGCAGCGACGGGAGGAAACTCCACGGAAGGTGACCTAGACAAGGTCTCAAGGTCTGAAGTCTGACTCACAAGGTCCTGGAGGTGACCCACAGAATCTGCAGAGAGGGAAAACATTGGCCCGCATAAGAATCTCTCTTCACTGGGCTGGCATGATTGCCTGTCACCTTATCCCAGCAGGTCTGAAACAGTATGGTAGAAGTACAGCCAAGGCCACTGCACATATGCCGAAATGCCTCAAACAACAAATGATGTCCAAGCATGTGACAATCGTGGGACTGATGGAGGATTTGCAAACAAAAAGCATCCCCAGGGAAGGATAAAGCATTCCCACAGTGGCCTTGGCGTGTAGGGAGGACGTTGGCCAGACACTATCATTCCCAATCTAACTCCTGTTCTACCTGGGTCGCAGAACCTCATCGAGGGTGTTGGCAGTTACCTGATCGCTTCTCCCTCAGAGAGTACGGGAAGTCCAGTGCTTTCCCTGCATATCTGGAAAGCAGAGCGTCAACGTGGTCCATGGTGAAGCCGATGTCCAGACCGTCCAGCAGCTGGTGCAGTGTCTGCACAGTCACTGTGGCCCAGTCCACCTGCATGTTCATGAGCAGCTGTTCCAGCATGAGCAGGGGGCTAGTGGACAAGTGCGCATAGCTGGCCCGGTGCTGCTCAGGCAGAGTCAGCAGAACCTGTTGGGGACAGGGGAGGGTCACATAATGCCGAGAACCCCACACACATTTCTTTTTTTTTTATTTTTATAAAGTTGTTCAAATATTTGATTACATTTAATATCCGAACACCAATCCTACCACCACAACATCTTCCCACTACCATATTTGGAAATGTTTCCATCCCGAACCCTAAACTCTGCCCCCAAAGCAGAACTGAAATAATTTATTTTGTATTGCTTGTTATGAATAATCTGCTAAAAATAATCCAAAAAAAAAAAGGTTGCTTAGAGGAAAGCATGTGAAGACTGTTGTGCTTCCCCCAGGAGCCATGAAGCCCCTCTATAAGAGATGAGTAACATGTTGTTAAAGGCTGAGACTTGTGTGCTTGTATCTTTATCTGTCACTGTCACTGTCCTCCCATTGTTCCTTGATTTGCTCCAGCGGGCACCAGTAACATCTCCATTGTGAGACTTCTTGTTACTGTTTTTTTGCATATTGAATACGTCATGGGGAGTTTGCCAGACTTAGCCGTGCGGGTGGAATATTCTCGGTAGCTTGCAGGGCTCTCCAAGAAGGGCGGAGGAATCAAACCCAGATCGGCCACATGTAAGGCAAACGCCCTACCCGCTATGCTATCGTTCTTTATCTGTATATCTATATATCCTCCTAAGATTGGTTGCCTTCTATTTTAAACCCCATCAAATGTAGTGTGCTACTCTTGGTATATCAGCCACACACATTTCTGAAGAAACTTAAGGTTCTTATGGGGAATGGTGCCAGGGAGCGAAAGTCAAAGGGTCAGCATAGCACTTGCTCTTTTAGGAAGCAAGTTTGGACCCCCATGTTAGGCCTCCAGGTGGCGACTGAGAAGTACTCCAAGTACTCCAAGTACCCAGTGTGGGGGTTGGCAAGCCTTTTCTATAAAGGGTCAGAGTGTGAATCCTGAAGGCTTGCGGGGCTACCAGGTTTCTGCCACAAGTACTGAACTCTGCAAAAAGTAGCCACAAACATGATAGAAAATGAATCCACATGCTTGAGTGCCAATGAAATCTGACACTCAAAAATAAGGCAGAGGGGAACAAAGAAATGGTCGAGAGTGAAGGCATTTGCCTTGCATGCTACTGATCCTGGTTCAATCCCTAGTACCACATGGTCCCATGAGCACCAGCAGGAGTGACTCTTGAGTGGACCCCAAAACAACCTTCATTACCACCAGCTGGCAGAAGGCTAGGACTCTGCTGAACCCTGGCGTAGACCCTCCACACATGGTTGAGTTCCCCCTGGCCCATAAAAGCCATAATCCTTTCCCACGAGGCGTTATTACATTGCTTCAACAGTATGAGACAATGTCAGTGGATTACCTAAATCTAGCACCTCCGTTGGGTATAGGTTAATGAGGAGTTTAGATATTTTTCTCAATATTTTTTTGGGGGGTGGGGAGGAGCACACCCAGTGGTGCTCAGCTTTACTCTTGACTCTGTGCTCAGGAGACCATAAGAGGTACTGGGGATAGAAGCATGTGTGCAAGGCCAGGGCCTTAAACTTTGTACTATCTCTCCAGCCTATAAATTCCTTTTAGGCATTGCTGTTACTGGGTCTGAAATATGTTCTCTGCTCTGCTCTTTGCCTGTTTACAAGGATTTCCCCATCTAGGTTTGGTAATCAAAAAGTGGAAAAAGCATCTATTGCAGGAAGTTGAGCTCTGAATCAGAGGGCCGATGTTTGGGATCCTGGATCTTTCTGTCCCTGTTCTGTTTGTGGGATAGGAGGTTGAACCGCCAGAAGCATGTCCGATGCCCCACTTCTCCCTCCACCAAAAAATGGATCACTTTTTCTAGTATGTGTTTTTTTCTCTATTATAGTCTCCAAGTTTTCACAAGGCAAGGGTTTCTTGTCATTTTTGGCACCTAAGTGATTTTCTGTTTCCCATGAGCACAGACCAGTTAGGCAGCTGTTCCAAATCACATCAGAACCTCTCTGGTGAGAGCTTTTCTCCATTCCAAGAGGTTGTTCAAAAGGCTTTGGAGTGAAGGTTAGCTACTGACTGGTACTTTCGAAAAGTCCAGATGGTTCTTAGCATGGACACAAATCAGAAGCACCGAGGCAGCAGGCGTCATGCAAAGTATGAAGAGTTAGAATCCACTTTGGAGTCAGGACAGAAAGAAATGGGTTTGAGTCCTTTGCTGGGGAGAAGGCTTAAAGGGCTTGGACACATGCTTTGCATGTGGAAACTCTGTTTTTGGTTCCCTGAACTGCAGGGTCCCCTAAGTACTGTTGGGTTTGGGCATCCTCCTCATCTATCTCCTCCTCACCTCTGCCCCCCCCTCCCCAAAAAAAAAGCACGCAACAAGCAGCCCTAAGGACTCCTCTAAAAGAGCCACTGAAAAGGCAAGTTCAGAGCTGGGAGCCGAGTCTACGGCAGTTCTTGCCTCTGGTGTGCTTTCCCGACACCCCTTTTCACCTTGGATCCCATGTAGAGCGCCTGGATTTCCTGGTGCCGGACAGCAGTCAGTTCTCCATAGAAGTGGGTGGTGAGGTAGTTGGCCAAGAAATGACAAGTGGTCAAGCTCGGGTGCTGGTCCAGGGCTTGCTCTGTGACCTCAAGGCACATACTGGAGTCAGGAATTCTTCGCAGGAGCTATTGAAGGAGGGTGGAGAGGAAGGTGAGTCTCAGCCCAGCCTTGTCTGTGTGAGACAGAGACTTTTTTGTGTTATTCACTTTGGACAAACCCTTTCTCTGCCTTCACTTTTTTTTTTTCAAACCCAGTTTCTTCAATGATGGTTTTTGACACCTTATGCTCAAGTGACTGTAAGTTGCTCCAAGGACATGAATCGGCACTTCTGAGAAAGGGCTTGCACCTGTAGCCTGGGAGTCAGCATGAACACGGCCATGGGGTCTGATTCACCTTGTCCCTCCCCGCAGGAAAATGGGAGTGGCGGGCGCTTACTTGCAGAGCTTTTTCGTGGTCTCCTCTTTCCAGGAGGTGGAGAAGATGTTTCTGGTGGAGGCTGATCAAATGCTCTCTTGGAATCGGGTAGAGGCAGCCCCACTCCTCACACAGCCCATATTCCTGGAAGGAGACACAGACACATCATCCCTGCCTACAGTCTGGCTGGCCACTCATCCCACTCTTACCTCGTTCTGCTCCGGATTCCGGAGAGTCTGCCAAAGAACTGCTGCTGGGCACTTCACAACCGAATAAAAGTGGGGGCAGAAACCCCAAGGACCTCAGCAGCAAGAGAAGTGATCAAAACCATTGACGCAGGCCCGACTACTAACGTGGTCATTTTCCTCCAAACTCAGCTATAAAGTAAACTGTCGCTGTGTCCCAAAGGCACATGATGTCAGCGCGGTGGAGACATCCAGGGAGTGGGGGAGGTGGAGAGGATGCCCTGGCTGGCTGCTGCCGCTACACGAATGTGCAGGCCCGGGGGTTACATAGACTGTCCTGCACGGGCCCACGAAACTCTACACCCAGGCTCCCTCTTGCTCTCTCCCCACTAGAACCTGTGAGCATTGAATTACATACTCTAAAAAATGGCATGCCTAAGCTTTATCCAAATACTCTAGCCAGCAGCACCTGGCTACACCCCTTGCAAACTCTGTGGGGTGGTGCGGGCTGGGGCGTCTTCTTGTTTCTCAGTCTACGCTGAGAGCCTGCCTGTGATCCCACCACATGGTTACCTGATATGAAACAGTTATTATGGGGAACCACTGCTCATTGCCCGCTTTGTAACTGTGAGCGTGCAAGGCTGAGACTCTACAAAGTTATCTTAGTTTTACTACCATTTAGCACAGAGCTTGGCAAGTTATTCGATAAAAGCTTCACGAGCGAATGAGCTGACAGCACACCTATATTCTGAATCAACTCTTCGAAAGGAAGGTGAAATTCTATTTTGGCATTCAATTATTCGATAAACACCCGAGAAGGGGATTCTAGGCCATTAGTGATGATGGAAACATACAGTGAAAAGGGGGATGATACCAAAAGTGGGTCACAATATGGAGGGATTGAAGATGCTCACGATTGTACAACTGGGACAGGTGAGCTGAGGAGAGCCTGAGTCACCTCCAGGTAACATGTGGGGCAGTGACACAGCAACTCCACAGGGCATAACATTGCACCCGTACACACAGTGTGAGGGAGACCATGTGAAAACAGCAACTGTACTGTTCTTTCCACTCCACTGAAATCATTACCTTCCTTCTTCCCTCCCTCCCTTACTCCCTTCTTTCCTCCCTGTTTGTTTTTGGGCTACACCTGGCAATGCTCAGGGGTCACTCCTAGTTTTGCACTCTGGAATCAATCCTGACAGTGCTCAGGGACCATAAGGAATGCTGGAGATTGAACCTGGGTGGGCTGTGAGCAAGGCAAACACCCTACATGCTATACTATCGCTCCAGTGCCAATACTGGTAAATTTTTCTCCCTCTCTCATCCAATTCTCTCTCCTCACCCAGTCTCTCTTTCATACACACCCAGATTGTGTGGGCTTGTTGTCCTCGTGGTAGAGCACATGTGTGACCTGTGCAAGACCAGCGCTCCACTCCAGCCCTGCGTGCCCAAGCTAAGCCCATCCATCCCCATAGACCAGGGTGCTGATGGCCCATGGAGCACTGCTGAGTCCCTGCCACCCCTTCTCCTTGCAAAAAAAAAAAAAACCCAAAACAAACGAAACAACCCACAAAAGAAAAAAGAAGAGAATTTAAAATAACAAATGTGAAGGAATTATATAAAAATGTGAGCACTGCTCTGTGGAAAGGCATCTAGCTAAACAGTGAAGCAGCTGCAGATCTGAGGAAAGATAAGTAGGCAGCACCCGGGATACGGTACCTTGGCTTCCAGAATCATATGCATGACCGCTGAGGGGTCCTCCACGCAGCAGGTCCTCAGGGCCTGCCAGTCTCCCCACACCGGAGGTGCCTGCAAACCGAGAATCTAGGGAAAGACACAGGAAGCAGTCAGAGAGGTGAGGGGGTCAGAGGGGAGGAGAGGAGTCAGCATAAACAGGGGACAAAGGCTGCTTGGGGAGCTGAGTGAGCCTTGCTGGGAAGAAAGGCTACGCAGGGGATAGGCAGGTTGGGTGGTGGCCAGGGCTGGGGCCTCTCACTAAGGACAATGATTCTCTGGAGCTCTGTGCTCCACCGACCCATCAGCCTTCTGGGGACACTGTCCCAGATTCCCTCATCTCAAAACTCTACCCAAGAGTTTTTTTGGGTGTGAATGATCTTCATGTAGCACTGTAGCACTGCACTGTCCTCCCATTGTTCATCAATTTGTTTGAGCGGGCACCAGTAACGTCTCACAACAAATTGTGAGACTTGTTACTGTGTCTGGCATACGAATACGTCACAGGTAGCTTGCCAGGCTCTACTGTGCGGGCGAGATACTCTCGGTAGCTTGCCAGGCTCTCTGAGAAGGGTGGAGGAATCGAACCCAGGTCGGCCTCGTGCAAGCAAACAACCTACCTGCTGTGCTATCGCTTCAGCCTGATCTTTGTGTACCATTAAAAAATATTTTTTCCCTTTTGGGCCACATCCAGCATGCTGAGGGCTTACTTCTGGCTCTGCACTCAGGAATCACTCCTGGCGGGGCTCAGAGGACCATAAAGGATACCAGGGATTGAACCCAGGTCAGCCACATGCAAGGCAAGTGCCCTTCCTGCTGTACTATCCCTTCTGTCCCTTTATGTATCATTTCAGTTAGCATTTTAGTTACATGTGAAACCTGTTGAGGAACAGAAGAAAATCTTTTCTCATTTGCCATTTTCACTTTCCCTGCTAGAACTCTAGACTCTGCTTGGTTTCTAGTACACAAGAAAATTTTACCTTACATTTTTATAACTTTTATACAGCTGTGTCACCTATATTTGTCTCCCCAACCCTCTTGATTTTGAATATATTCCAAACAAACAAACAAACAAACAAACACTGTCCTTCTGTTGTTCATCGATTTGCTCAAGCAGGCCCAGTAACGTCCCCATCGTGAGACTTGTTGTTACTGTGTTTGGCATATCGAATACGTCACGGGGAGCTTGCCAGGCTCTGGCTGGGCTGGCTGTGCGCAAGGCAAATGCCCTACTGCTGTGCTATCGCTCTAGGCAACATATATTCCAGAAGAATCTTATTTTTAATATTGTTTCTTTCATCCATCCTTACAAAATGCCCTTGAAATTTAAAACAATCTTTAAAAAAAAAAAAGACATACTAGACAGGGCCTGGGAGATGGTTCAAAGGGCTGGAACACATCTTTGTAGGCAGGAGTCCCAGGTTTGAGCCTCAGAGTTGCATGAGGCTCACACCTGCAGGTATGGCTCTTACACCTGCAGGTATGGCCCCCAAAACCAAACCAAAAGGACAAAGTAGACACAAAATACTCACAGAGCTTAAATATACACATGAAAGAACCTTTGTGGATTGTAAAGCATCATTCTGGACACTGATGGAGGAGAGTGAGGTTGGGCAACACCGATAGCTGCTCAGAGGCTATTCCTGGCCCTGTGCTCAGAGGTGATCCCATGTGTTGCCAGGAACAAAGCAGAGGTTGATGGGCTGCAAAGTTCCTACCTCTTTAACACTGTCTTTCTGACCCCATAGCCCCAAGGAATGCTAATTTTGCTTTCATCCTATCCTTGCAAAATGCATATCTATTTAGAATTATAGAAGTCCATAAAACAGGAACTAGGCTGAAAGCCTCCATGCTATCCCATGAAGAACAGAAACTAGACAGGCAGCAAAAGTGAGAACCAGATTTTCTTAAAATCGACCAATACATGAAGCCAGGCTGCAGCTTGCTCATCGATGGAGGATGAGCAGTCCCTTCCCATCCCCTGACCCATGACTGTACCTTCTGATAGACCCGAAGCTCCACCAGCTTTCTTTGGAGCTCACACCTGAGTCCATCCTGCACAGCTGGGTCTGAGAGGCAGTAGGCCAGGATCTCCAGGCACGACTCCAGCGGCCACCGGTCCACCAGCTGCAGGGTGAGCTGACTTCTCAGAGAGGCATCCTTCACAGCGAAGAGGTACTGCCAACCTTCAGTGTCTAAGAGACAAAAGATGCCTGGGGATCGCAAGCCTTGGACCAGACGAGCGTTAAAGAATCCAAATTGCTTCCCGAGAGGAGGCCTTTGTTCAACTCCACAGAAACACAACCTGAAGGAGGATCCTTGAGATCTACTCGACGTTGACCAGCTTTTACAAAGGGCATCACTACATGACAGGGACACATGCTGCCCTGCCATCAGGCAGACGTGATACTAACAGACGAGGCTTTGAGAAGGGAGAGGGAGTACGGAGAAAGGAGAGGAAGGGTGAAGAATGGACGGAAGGGAGAAAAGACAAGAATTGATGAAGGCCCGTCCTCAGGCAGCGATGGGGACATTTAATTTTCCCTGGAGTTTCCATTCCATGCCAAACCTAACTACCTGGAAGGCAGGACAGACAAACTAATTTCATTCCCCCAGCTAGACTGAGCAAATCTGCTTCCACACTTCAAAGAGCTGACAGATGTCCTCAGTAATCAACACTGACAAGTGAGCTGGAGATTCCTCAGCTTTCTCCGGCAAGGAAGTTGTTCTTGCCAGGGGGGCTGCCAAGCCTCTGTCCAGAAGTCAGGCTCCCATTAACCCCAACATCCCATGGCCACCTCTTTCTGCCCTTGTCGGAGATGTAGCTTGAGTTACATGTGAAGTCTAGGGGGCTTTTAAAGGAGAGTTTGTCTATAAGCACCACGGTCTGCCGTTGCTTTTCTAAAGACAGGAGTCATACTCAAAGCTTGCTGCATACCTGTGGTTCTCAGGGGTCATCAGGGAGACACCTGGTGATGCCGGGGCCCTGGGCTTAGGGGAGGACAAGACAGGGCCTTGTACATGCTAGCCCTGTGCTCTACCACCTAAGCTACCTCCCCAGCCCCCCGCCCCCCACGACTTGCTTTGAAAATCAAATTTCATCAGAACACAGTCACATCCCTCTAGGGAACACCCACAGCTGCTTGCACACCACCTGGCAGAGCTGAGTCACTGATGAGTAAGGGTGCCTGGCCTCCAAAGCCTTCGACAGGAAAAACTTGTTGGCCTCTGTTTTTGTTTCAGGGTCACCACCTATCAGTGCTCAGGGATTCCTCCTGGCAGGATTCGAGGGACGTTATGGGATGTCAAGGACTGAACCCAGATTGGCCTCGTGCAATGCAAACCGCCTTCGACCCTGAACTCTGGCCCCAGCACCTGTTTTAAAGCACACACAGTCCTGAATCTTCTACTGGGCCTCTCGGTAGAACCCAGATACCTGACTCTGGCAGCGATTTATCACCAGCAGGCCAGCGAACAGCACACCAAGAACCTATTTCAGCACTAGGCGGAGAACTCAGGGCTCTTGATGCCCTCCACGGCCAGTTTCTCCCTCTCTGTACTTGTTCTCCTCTTAGGATCCTGAGACCCTGGGGCACCTGTCCCTTGGGCTGCAGGGAGGAGTGAAAGTGGACGCTCTGCTCAGGAATGCTGGATAGTGAGCCCCTGAAGAGGAGGCGGTTTTCTGCTCACCACAGGCCGCAGCACAGCTCAGCACGGCGTCCTTTACACTGCTCAGGTCGTCCGCGTCTCGTCCGTACACGTCGCTGAGCTGCAGGGCCCGCAGCCAGTCTCTGGCCTCCAGGGCTTCCTCGAAGGCCCCAGTGAGCAACTCCAGGGCGTCTGGGGCGTGCAAGCCCAGGAGGACCGTAGAAACACTGGTGTGGCCACACAGACTCGCCGCCAGACTCGGCCCCTGTTGGGCGGGTGTTTGGAGAGGCTCCCAGGCCGCCCGGAGGGAGGCCTCCAGCAGGGGAAACTTCTCCAGCAGGCGCTCACACTCCCGAATGACCTGTTCTGTGCTCAGGGGCACCTCCCGGAGGCCTCGAAGTTCCTTCCAGGACAAGATGGGCTTGGTGACCTTCAAGCACCGGGAAGCCCTCAGGCAGGCCACGGCGGCCAGCAGCTTGGAGCCAGACTTGAGGAAGGCCAGGGCTGAGGGCGTGAGGGCCGCGGGCGAGGAGTCCCTTTGGGAGGAGCCACTCTTCCTCTCCACGGGGAGGGTCTCGGGGGGCTCCGGGGAGCCAAGTGCAGAGAGGGCGAGGCCCTCTAGGCAGCGGGAGACATGCAGCTGGGCCAGTGCGCCCATGCTGGAGAGAAGGGTACCTGCCTGCTGGCTCTGCTGGGCAGGGCACAGGGCCAGGGGTTCGCAGCAGCAGCTGATGATGACCTGTGGCACGCTCAGGCCCAGACCCTCTTGGCCCAGAAGGGCCGCTAACCTGTGGGGAGAGAGCAGAGGGCAGGAGTGGCCTGAGAGTGCATTGCCCCTTTGCAGAACCCTTTTTCTGTTCATGGAAACAAACAACGTGGTTTCTCCCCTCCCCTCCCCTCCCCTCCCCTCCCCTCCCCTCCCCTCCCGTCTCTCCCCTCTGTCCTCTCTCACCCCTCACTCCTGTTCTCCTCTCCTCTCTCTCCTCCCCTCTATTCCTGCCTCATCTTTCTCTCCCCTCTTCCCCCATGTCCCCTCCTCTCCTCCCTTTCCCCTCTCTTCTTTCTCTTCCTGTATCTGTCCTCTCCCCCAACTCCCGCCTCACTTTTTTAAATAGTGAAGGTAGCATATCAGCCATCCTGCTGTGTCCATTGCCTTTTTACTTGCTGGCACATTTGGGAGGTCTGTCCCACCCTCTATGAAGAGGTCCCTCCCTCTCTTGCAGAGTCACATAACAGGCTCTTCTATGCATGAACTAGTCTTTTCTGAATGGGCGATGAATTTTTCTCATCTGTTGCTATGATAGGGAAGTTTACAATAAAATCACTCTGTCTATGCATGTACAAAGAAGCTGCTGGATAGACTCCTCAATGTGGATTGCTAGGGTCTGTGTATTTTTTTGGTTTGTTTTGGGGGCCACACTTGGCAGAGCTCAGGGATCATCCCTTCTGGGGCTCTGGGATTGTATGGGTTGCTAGAGATTGAACCCGGGTCAGATGTGTGCCAGGCAAGCACCCTACCCACTGTACTATCTCTCTGGCACCTTACCCTTAAATTCTAAAATTGTAACATAAACATAAGAGCAGCAAGAGAAAGAGAGACATGAGATGCTCTGAGTTCAAATGCAGCTACTGAAAAGCAAATGCAAAAGTCTGGAAGGTTTCTCCGCTCCCTGCACTGAACCCAAGCACTACCCTCCCGAGCCCTTGATGCCCTCCATGAAGCATGAGGGATCCACGCTGTCTTCTGGTGGGGGGTGGGGGGGTGGGGGGGGGCTCCTACCTGTCTGGAGGAACCTGTTTCTCAAGCAGGAGGTGTGACACCAGCTGGGACGAACTCTGCTGCAGGAGCACAAAGGGATTGCCTACCTTGACCTCTGCGGGATCTGCCAAGGAAAAGAGAGGACTCCATTGGTGTCATTGAGGACAACAGTACAGTGCCGTTTCACCAACTCACCCTGAAAGTCTAGTGTCACCCGGCATGTGGCTCAGTAGCTGAGACCCTGAGCTAGTTCCCTGACACCAAACTCTCTCCCTAACCCAACCCAACCAAAGGAGCTCAGAGCCAAAAGGCAGATAATTCTGAGACCTTCTGTAGACCGCTGAAGGAAAGGCTATTCTCAATATGAACTGCAAGACCCTCTGTTCCTTACACTGCTCTGAGCGACCCACCTCAGACAGACTCATGAACAGCTCTAGCAACACACTGCTCGGTTCATCCAGCTCCCACCAACCCAACCCAACCCAACCCAGCCCAACCCAACCGCATGCAATGCTTGCTCTGTGGACTAAAGTTCACAGGCATGCCTATGGAGGCTTATTCTAATCTTCTACCAGGTCTTCAATTCAAACCCGAAAGGAATTAAAGGTTTGAGAGAGAGTTTTTCTCTGTGTGTGTGTGTGTGTGTGTGTGTGTGTGTGTGTGTGTGTGTGTGAGTGAGTGTCTTTTGGCCACACCTGGCAGTGCTCAGAGCTTACTCTTTGCTTTGCACTCAGTGATCTGGTGGTACTCAGGGGACCCTACGCGGGACCCTAGTTAGCCGCATGCAAGGCAAGTACTTCACCTCTATGATATCTCTCTAGGTCCTAAGGGAGGGTTTATTTTACTTGCGGCCATTAATCACATCAAAATTGGTTGAGAACTTCAATGTCCTACAGAATGAAGAACCGTACTAGAGATGAAGACGGAGGAAACCCAGATAAGCTGGAGAGGATGACCATATACATCTGGTGTACTTGGCTACTGCTGGAACCTCTTTATCAAGCCCCCTCCCACTTCCTTGTCCTTTAACCCTGTAGGCCACCCAAGACCCCTTTCTTCTTTCTTGATACTTACTGGGATCAGAGCTCAAACTCCGAAGGAGAACCGAGGCCAGGGTGCTGCAGTAGCTGAAGAAGGTGCCCAGGTAGTTGGTCTGCTTGCCCCCCGCTGGGCTCTGTCTGCCCAGGTGCTTCTGGAGGAGCTGAGTCTGAATGTGCACGGGGTGGGCCTCTGCTTCTGGAGCCTTCTGGGCCACCTGCTCCATCAAGGAGGCTAACGGAGAACTCTTGGATGCTGAGGATGTGTGGCAGAAGGAATGATGCCGGCTTTAGACTGGGCATTCAACTTTGGCTCAATTTCCGATACAGTAGGTGACACTGGGCCTTAGGTGCTGCATGGGCCGCCTGACAGCTAGAGGCTCTACACTCACAGGCAACTATAAAATCCCACCCTGATCCTCTACACAAGTGCTATTTAGTCAAGAAGACTGAAGACTCTGGAGAAATGAGGGAGGGCCATTCTGTTTTCATGCCAGAGTCTCGGGCAGAAAACTTTATAAAGAGCATAGAAGTTTGTTGGGGAAGGGTTTACTGAGTACCTTTGGGGTACTTTTTTTTTAATTTTTGGGTCACACCCAGCAATGCTCAGAGGTAGTTCCTGGCTCTGCACTCAGGAACTACCCCTGGCGGTGCTCGGGGGACCATATGGGATGCTGGGAATCGAACCCAGGTCAGCCGCGTGCAAGGCAAACACCCTACCCGCTGTGCTATCGCTCCAGGCCCAGGCACTTCTCTTCTTAACACATGAGATTAGACTTAGTGTTTCCCAAAGTGGGAGGTAGTAGCCTCCCATGCAATTGGGAGTTGGGGTGTGTATGTGCTTTCTGTTTGTTTAAAGAGGTAGGTTTTAGAGAGGTGGTGGTGCCAAGTGATTTCTTTTCTGAAAAAGGCAGGCCACATATACCTGGGAACTTCTGGATTAGGTGAACAGCTAACAGCAGATTGTTAGACATCCTTTCACATGCGAGGGGCAAATAGGAGGCGTGAGTTCTGGAACCTGCCTGTCTGAGCCGAGGGTGGCACAGCCTCCACAGTGCCGCTCTGCTGTCAGCTCTCTCTGGCTGCCCCATCAGTCCCTATCTGCTCTGAGCAGCTGGCCATACCTGGTGACTCTAGTGCCTCTCTCAGCGCCTGCAGGACCTGGTCCAGCTGCTGGGCAAGGGAGACATGGCTGGCGACACAGTCCTCAGTTAGGCTGGGCCAGCTCATCTGGAGAAGTTCGGCAATGCTGCACCGAGGAGGAGCACTGCTCTTCTCCTCGGCACTCTCTAGGGAAGGCAGGTTAGAAGGAAACAGTCAAGTCTCATCAAACACTCAGAATCCAGAAAGGTAAAAATGGGGGGGGGGCTTGAGGGGTGGAGGGGGGCAAGAACAGCAGCTTACCCGACTTAGTCTGTCCAGCTGATGTAAGTGGGTAGTTGAGAATCTTACTGATTTGTTGCAGAACAGCAGGAAAACCACGAAGGCCATCAGCATTGAGGACAGCATGGTCTAGCCGTCGACCTGGAAATGAATGGAGGAAGAGGGAAGCAGGAGAAATAAGATGCTTTCAGAGACTGAGACGCAGCCCTGTATTTACTTGAACTTGTATTTATTTCTGTCTTTTTCCAATAAGCATTAGAGAAGGTACAGTCCTGTACTGATCTCCTACACAAATGATATTTGTCGCTATACAAGTGATATTCAACTGGATGATTAGTCCCTGGCATAATTGGCTTATTCCATGCTTGAGCTTAGAAGGCCTAGCCCATGCCTGGGTCCAAGCCGGCTTAGACCATATTCCTACACCTCTTGCAGAGAAGAGACCCAGAAACTCTGGCACTGTATGGAGCCCAAGCCCATCTGGCACTTTTTGGGAATTTGCCTAAGTGCTCAAGCCAAGGACTTGAGCCAGGACACAGCTGTCTTCTTTGCGGCTTTAAGTGGCATCTTGATAGTCTAATTAGATCATAAACATTATAGACAGAGATTATTCCTTTTAGTTTTCCTGGATCCCCACACACGTGGTACATTCTTAAAAGACAGTAGGTACTAAATTCTTCCTAATTGAGTGACATGGTACCATAGCTGCCAATTAACTGACTGAAAATGCTGGAAGGGTGATCTGCTTGGACCAAAGCAACAGTACGTGCTGTAGATGCGGATGTTGCCTATGCCACAGTATATCAGACTTTGGATTATATATACATTCAAGAACTTTTTAACCAAGAGCACAGAAACAATTTAGTGGATCATACAGAAAACATAGTAGAAAAGAAACTCCGCCTGCAAGACTGGCTCTTGGCTGGTGTTTGCGTACTTGACTGGTGAATGGCTTCCCATGGTGATATGAAATATAAAATTCTCCCCAAAGAATGAAGGTGGCTCCAGAAAGCTTCTTCCGAGCCCCTGTTTTCCTTCTGTGAGTCCGGAATTGAGGAACAGGCTCAGCAGAGTCTTGGTTAGCAGAACCTGGTGAACACCTCGGTCACTGGGGCCAGAGCAATAGTACAGCAGGTAGGACGTTTGTCTAGCATGTGGCTCACCCGAGTTTGATCCCCGGCATCCCACATTACATCCTAAGCACCACCAGGAGTAATTCCTCAGTGTAGAGCCAGGAGTCATGCCTGATAATCGCTGGGTGTAACCCAAAAAGCCAAAAACAACAACAAAAAAAAACTCTTAAAAAATAAAAAAGCCTCAGTCATTGGGGTCGAATGAGGTTTCCTTCAGACAACACTAAACAACATTAAACACACTGTTATAACTCGCTGCTGGTACAACCAAGCAGGTCCTATGTGTGCCCACAGGAAGGACTCCTGGAAGTGTGGGTTTTTTCTTTTTTTAAAAAAATTTTGGATTACATTGGCAATGCTTAAGGGTAACTCCTGACTCTGCACACAAGAATCACTCCTGGCAGTGCTCAGGGGACCATTAGGGGTACTGGGGATTGAACCTGGATCAGCTGTGTGCAAGGCAAACACCCTACCCGAAAGTGTGAGTTTTCCCCAAACTTCAGCCCAAGAATCTTTTTTTCCCCCTGTGCTAACTCTGTGGATATACCTATGGACTAAGTCCTGTGGGTCCTCCCAGTGAATCCCTGAGCCTGGGAGTGGCCCTGGGCACCACGGCCCAGTCATCATTTGTTCCTCCCATTATGCAGCTGGGTCAGCGTATGTACTAGTTTGGTGTGTGGGTCAAGGAATGGTGGGGAGTGGACTGTCACCTAACTGTGACTTCCAATTCATCAACCTTTACATACTCAATTTCTGCAAGAATTCCATAACCCCACCTTGGGACAGTATTCAGCTGTGAGGCCCAATCCCCCCATACTGTGATAAGCATTGGTTTCTAGTTTATACACAGATCTCTCCTGGGTTTTCAGACAGAAGGAGACATGTGGTCTAAAGGCACACATTCCACTTAGGGTATTTCTCTTTTTCCCCAGATTTTATTTACAAGAACAGAAAGAAGGGGAAAGGGGCAGAAGTCCCCCATGGTGGTGGTGATAGCAGAGGTAAGGGCCGTGGGGGGTGTCCTAAGCAGGACTCCCAACGTAGAGCATTTTTGAATATAAATTTCTTCCTTGAATACGTGTGCAAACCAGAAAAAAGTTTCTCTGGATGATTGCTGTATTTATTCAGAAGGCGAGACCTTCAATAGATTGTACATCACAAAATTAATCAATAATCTTTTGTTTCTCTCTCTCCATCACAAAGAGTCACTTTGTTCTGGTACCTGAGACCCATGTCCTAATTTGGGAATAAAGGGATAAAGTCCCAAAGGCCCACTCACTCCGGCTCTCGAGGCTGCTGAGTAGACGTCGCTCGGCCGTCTCCAGGAGCTGCTTACAGGTTTTCCAGAGCTGGCACTGAGAGCAAGCCAAGTCAAAGGCAGCCATGGCGGCGGGGCTGAGGTCCTCCAGAACCTCCCGCAGGGGAGCTGTGGGCTCCACCAGGGTGCTGCGCGTCCAGAACTCCTCCTGGAGTGTGGGAATGGGGTCTCCGGAGGTGCCGAGGAGCTTGTCGGTCACATCAGAGATGGAGTAAAATACCATCCCTGGGCACCAGGGGGTGAAGTGAAAAGCAAGAGGTGAATATAACTCTCAACTCCCATTTTTATTACCAAAAGTCATTAAAAAATATTTGTGATGAATAAACTAAAGAAAACAAAAACTTTTTTTTTTTTTTAATATTATCAGACCACATTCCTTCGCCCCTCTCGGAGAGTCCCCTGGCAAGCTACTGAGAGTATCTTGCCTGCATGGCAAAGCCTGGCAAGCTACCCATGACATATTTGATATGCCAAACACAGTAACAAGTGTCACAACAGACATGTTACTGGGCCCGCTAGAGCAAATCGATGAACAACGGGAGGATAGTGACAGTGATCAGACCACATCAGTGTTCATTGGAAGGTGAAAGGGGTCGAGTGAACTGGATAAAAGCAACTCACTGGGTGGTGATGGATGGAATCACAGCTTTAGTGGTGAGTGCAATGTAGTGTACATATATATATATATACGTATATACATATAGATGTTGAATTATATGATGTATAACTGAATCTTAATGCTATCTGTCAATATTTCTTCAGTAAGTTTCAGGTTCTTCTACATAGTCTATGCATATTAGCACCAGTCACCATTTTTTATTTGTTTTGCTTGTTTTGTTTGGGCCACACCTGCTGGGCTTACTCCTGGCTCTGAGCTTAGGATCACTCCTGGTGGGGTCAGGAGACCATGTGTGGTGTCCTCAAGCACTGAACTGGGAGTCACCCTAGAGTAACGCTGGGTGTGGCTCCCAAACCTCCAATAAACAAGCAAACAAATTACATTTCCATGTCATGAAATAATGAAAAGGATGAGCTGCTTTGCAGTGCAATCAAGATTGAGATTTGAGGCCGATGAATCCTGAATTATAGGTGTTTTGACACAATGTCTTCACTTGAGGGGAAAGTAAAAGAACGTGACTGTCTACTAAACTTCCAATCATTTCCGAAAGCCCCAGGTAACGGCCAGAGGAACAGTGGCAGTAGAGAGTGTGGTTGCTCAGGGTTGGCCAAGGAAGGCCAGAGCTGCACAGAGCAGGGAGCTGAGTACCCGGTGGGCAAACAGCTTTGAGCGGGTCCACACTGCTGCACCTCAAGGCAAGTATCCTGCCTGGATTCCTGTTCACCATCTTGATGGGGCCAGGACCTAGCTGGACTGTCACCTGTCCCCTCTTCCCCTGGCTACCTCAACCCCCACGAGGCCACAGGGAAGCCGACCTGCAGCCGCTGCGCTGCCGATGGCCTGGAGAGTGGAGCGGCCGCTGCCGGTTCTGCGGATGGCGTTGCTGCCCGTGTCCGAGTGCTGGTTCTCAATCTTGTGCTCGACGTGGGCCAGCTCTTGGATCACCTCCTGGTAGCGCTCCATGAACATCAGCTCCCCAGAGCTGGGCGAAGACTGGAGGTCGAACATGAAAACCACCTGCCATGGGAGAGAGGTGGTGGTTGTTGTGGTCCGCCAAGATAGAGAAAGACCTCAGCAATGATTAGTATGAGAGTATCTCGCCCGCACAGCAAAGCCTGGCAAGCTACCTGTGACATGTTCAATATGCCAAACATAGTGAAAACAAGTCTCATGATGGAGATGTTACTAGGCCCGCTCGCGCAAATCAATGAACAATGGGAGGACAGTGGACAGTGGACATGAAATATCCATCTTGAGGGGCTGGAATGATAGCACAGCGGGTAAGGCGTGCCTTGCACGCAGCCGACCCGGGTTTGATTCCCAGCATCCCATATGGTCCCCTGAGCACTGCCAGGGATAACTCCTGAGTGCAGAGCCAAGAATAACCCCTGTGCATCGCCGGGTATGACCCAAAAAGCAAAAAAAAAAAAAAAAAAAAACCCAAAAAAGAAAAGAAATATCCATCTTGAAAAGTTATACTTTAATGTTATGTTTTGGACAATAGAGTTATGAATTATTTTATTTTCTTGCTAATACTTTTTGAAATTTTCTTATGATACAAATGTATTTTGTAACAGAGCCTGAAACATAAAGCTTTTAATAAACAACAAGAAAAATCAAAGCCCACCCAAAAGGAAGAGGATTTGAGGAACCAAGGCCATTTGGATTAAAATATTAGAAGCTCTTAGCTGACTTTCTATAGATTTGAAGTAAGAAAGTAAGAAAGGCTGGTGGGGCCCTATCTTTCTCAAAGGATCTGAACAATCATGATCATAAAAAATGCATTCTAGGACTGGGGTGTGGCTCAGTGGGAGAGCATCTGCCTTCCATGTGTAAGGTCCTGGGTTCAATTCTCAGCACTGGGGGGGCGGGGAGGAAAGAGGTACACAATCTAAAAGGACCGGAGAAAGTTGAAAGTAAGCAAATATTCATCGGGGGTCAGGGGATCCACAGGATCTCATTTTCAACCATGGCACCCAGAGCATGGTGGTGGGCTGGGAGGGTGACCCCAATATCTCAGCACTGAAACTTGTGAGCAGCGAGAAACTAGTCTTCAAGGCCTAGCGGTGAGCTGTCCAGGGCTTCTGAGCACTGCTTGCGAGGGCAACCCCTCCAAACACATGTTACCTGTCCCCGAGCCCAGCAGTGTTCAACATTTTCATACATGCAGATCAGCACAAGGATTACAAATAATTCTTGTTTAGGAGAGAATATGGGCTTCTCCAGAGTGGAGAAAAGACAATAAATCGAGTTTTAAAAATTAGAAGAGTAAGCAGGCATTTACGTTAATCAGTTTGAGCCCTAATAGAGGATTCATACATGTCTCACAATTGGTCTAATCTCTTAACATTTTCAGGAAATAGGAGAAGCAGGTATTATATTTAACACCAATCTTCTATCGAGGTTATCAAAGAGATGGTCTTGCTATGATTTCTACTGTTCTTCCCTCTACACAATGGGAGCATCTGAGCAGCGACCCTGTAGGTTTCTTATACACTGAACTAGGAACTTTACTTACTACTTAAAACTATCTATAGCATTTTTTTGGTTTGTTTTTTGTTTTTTTTGTTTTGCTTTTTTGGGTCACACCTGGCGATGTTCAGGGGTTACTCCTGGCTTTGCACCCAGGAATTACTCTTGGAGGTGCTCAGAGTACCATAAGGGATGCTGGGAATTGAACCCAGGTTGACTGCGTGCAAAGCAAACACCCGACCTGCTGTACTATCCTCCAGCCCCTCTATGGCATGTTTTTAACTAAACAAAAACATGCTGTGTCATCAGAGAAGGCATATAAAGAAAACAACAACTATTTCCATGTGCAAAGTAGTGGATGGTGGCTAGAATATTTTTTGTTAGAATACTGCGTATCTGAGAAAAAAAACAAACAAACCCGATTGACTCTGGGATTCAGCCCTCCTCCATGCTGAGTGCAGAACTGTACAAAGCTGAGGGCCAGACCTTCATCCCTGCAAACTCCCTCCTACTTCTTTGGCTCGAAGGGCCCCTAAGATGCTCACCAGGAAAGGCGCATGGGTGCAGAAGCACCTGGCTTTACCTGAGGCCCCAAACTTCTTTAAAATAATATTTTATTTAATTAAAGAACTGTGATTTACAAAGTTATTGACAGTTGAGTTTTACCGCATATAATATTTCAACACCGATCCCACCACCAGTGTCAACTCCCCCCCACCAGTGTTCCCAGACTCCACTCCCTCCCCCCACCCCCCCATCCCCACCTGCCATCTTGACGGCACATTGCGAAGTTTGGTGGCTGCGGCTTAGATCTCATGTTGTCAGTGTTGTTGAGTTTGTGCTCTGGATAGAAGGCTGTATCACTCTCCCAAACCACCAGGATAATAACCAAAGCCCTGACCCCTGTTCCCCCATTACTTCCCTTTCCCATCTTTTTTCTTCCCCCCTCTTGGCTTCTTTCCTACTCTGTCATTCTCCCTAATCTCTGGGATCAAGGGTGATCTAGGCACCCCCCTTTACTACATTTTATTTCTTCATCCAGTTATTCTGTGTATTCCAGATATGTGAGATCATCCTAGCCCCGGACTTCTGTACTTGTCAACTTCTGCCTCCACTGTCCCCTCCCCAGGCCCCCTCTCCGGCTGCACAAGAGTTCCCCTCACCTGATGGGCTTCTGCAAAGTTCCCCCGGAGGATGCAGGATGCCAGCAGAGACTCAGGTGGGGAGAACATCATGGGCAGGAGGGAACTCTGGGGTTGCAGGCGGCCGGCCGGCTCATTCCTCCCAGATGTAGCGCTCAGACTTCCCTCTGTCAGACACAAGTTGGTAAGGGCACAGGAAACAGCAGAAGAGGAGGGAAAGTTTCGCCTCCCACCAAGTACTCATCTCCCCTAAAGCCTTTCTTTTGAAAGATCTTGCTGTTTTTCCCTCCACTGAAGGCAAAAAGGATGCTAGCATCTTTGAATAGCAGACTCAAAGGTGGCACTCTCTCTGAGACAGAATACCCAAGGGGCGCCCACTCGCACTCACTCAGACAGAAATGTTAAGACCCTATCGGCTGTTCAGAGTGCTGAGAGCTCCACCAGCTCTGCACTTGAGGCGGCGCCCCATCATCTTGACCAGAATTCCTCATATTCCCAACCTGCTGGAGCGACAGCACAGCGGGTAGGGTGTTTGCCTTGCATGCGGCTGACATGGCCGAACCGAGTTTGATTCCTTCGCCCCTCTTGGAGAGCCTGGCAAGCTACTGAGAGTATCTCACCTGCACGGCAAAGCCTGGCAAGCTACCCATGATGTATCAGATATGCCAAACACAGTAACAAGTCTCACAATGTTACTGGGCCTGTTTGAGAGAATCTATGAACAATGGGAGGACAGTGACAGTGACAGTAACATTCTGGGGTGTTCATTGCTGGTTCTCTCTGCTGCTGGGCAACTTGGCTAGAAGTGAAAGAATCTTTCTCTTTCTCCCCTGAGTCTGCCTGATCCTTTTCAGAACCAACCTGGACCCTGAATGGCTTGCATGGGGCTTTACAACACGGGATACTGCAATTCCATAGTGGAGTAGAGTGGCTTGAAGTTGGCAACTGGATGGGACCCCCGTACCTGAAGTACTTGTGCTCAGCTCACTACTTGTGCTTTCCAAGGATGGGTTCGAACCTCTGTCGCGGCCTTCTAGAGAGAAATTCAACCATCAGCACCTTATGATGGAGAAAGTGAGGTGTTGGCTTGAAAACCAAGATTGGGGAGAAAGGATAATTGGATACTATACCTCTTTCTTCTTCTACAGCAAACCCCAAATCTATCCTAGAGACCACAGGCTTAGTATCTCCCAGAGCTCACTGGGGCAGTGGCTTCTCCCGGTTCTTTACAACCCGTGAGGCCACAGGAGCCCCCTAAATGTTCAAGACACGCCTCCCACCCCCAACTGTCAGCTGAACACTATCAATACTGAGAAAAGTTAAAAAAATAATTACTATGTCCAGTGAAGAGAAATAGGAAGAAGAAGAGAATTTACCAGACGGATTTATTCATATATGGAACAGGAGTAACTAAAACTAACATACTGGCAAAAAAACCCACAAACAACCTAACTTCTAGATTCTGAAAATGATGCTGGCTGCCGAAGGGAAAAGTGAGGGCTGGTAGGATCAGACAGCGGGAGTTTTGGGGATGTAGTGGCTGGCTCTGGGACTTTGGTGTCAGGAGTGGTGAGAATTATATACTTATAGAGGTGTTAAACTAAGCCTCTGAAATTACAAAATGTTATAAACTGATAAATAAAAAATAAAGCCCAGCATCAAAAGTCAGAATACAAATCTGATTATCTATAAATTTACTACTGACAAATCACCTCTAGTGCCATGTAAGTGCATCTACTCAAAAGAGATAAACTAGCTGCAAAAAATTTTGGACACAAGCTCATGGATGAGACATCGAGAGCACTCCAGAGGGGGGTGGACCAGGGCCTGCCCAAACAAAGTCCAGGCAGCTGCCTGCTCACTCCCACACTTCAAAGACACTGCCTCTGGCTGGACTTCACTTCTTGGGACTGACCCTCACCGAGAAATTAACATGCCCAGAAAATAGGTATAAGGGTCTCTGTGACTGAAATCTCCAGGCTTTTTTCAGAGCCACAAATGCCACGCAACAACTCCAAACTCTACAACACTGATAATCCAGTAGGAGCAAACCAGATTGGATGGGATGTAGCACAGAAGCTAACCAATTTCACTAACAAAAACATTAAAAGAGAAGACTTGTTACAACATTTTAGTAATCCCTCTTACAAAGACTTTGTATTTCCATGCAAGATACAATAATACACTAATTTTCTCTTAAAAAATATTGTTGATCATTCTGTTAGAAATTGATTGGCAAAAAGCAATATAAAATAAATCCTGCTATGAGGGCAGGCATGAGGGATGGTTGGGAAAACTGGAGACAATGGTGGAGGGAAGTTGATAGCAGTGGTGGGATTGGTGTTAGAATATTGAATGTTTGTAACAAATCATTATGAACTATTTTGTAAACCACAGTGTTTAAATAAAGTATAAAGTGGGAAATTTTACATATGTAGGTCTTACCTATTTTATGCAAACTCCAAAATATATTAGCAAAGAATTAAAATTTTTTTTTATTAATGACAGTTCGGGTATGGTTATTATCATAATGAGATCCAAGTTTAAGATAACATTTAATACAATATATTTTAGAGTACAGAGTTGAAACTTACCTATGTAAATGAAAATATAGTATTTCAGGCATTCTATTATATTGTATTAAATGGTTTTAATTAACATGGCCGACCCGGGTTTGATTCCTCTGCCCCTCTCGGAGAGCCCGGCAAGCTACCGAGAGTGTCTTGCCCTCACGGCAAAGCCTGGCAAGCTACCCGTGACGTATTTGATATGCCAAGCACAGTAACAAGTGTCACAATGGTGACATTACTGGGCCTGCTCGAGCAAATCGATAAACAACGGGAGGATAGTGACAGTGACAGAAGTTAAAATCATATAACAATCACAAATTGGCTCTTACTGATTTATTTTCTGATCAATCTATTTGCCATTTCTTTAAATCTGGTTGAAGAGAGCAATATAAAATATATTTGTTATGTGCCCAAGGGGGCAGGTTGGGGTTGGGAGGAGAACTGGTAACATTGGTGGAGGGAAAAGGTCACATTGGTGGTGCTGGAGCCAAAGTACAGAGGGTAGGGCATTTGCATTACACTCGGCAGACCAGGGTTTGATTCCTAGCATCTCATATGATCCCAGAAGCACCGCCAGGAGTAATTCCTGAGTGCAGAGCCAGGAGTAACCCCTGTGCATTGCTGGGTGTGACGCAAAAAAAAAAAAAAAAAAAAAAAAAAAAGCAAAAATAAAAAAGTCACACGTTTTTTGTTGGAACACCAAAACAGTATTATTATGAACAACTTTGTAAATCATGGAGTTTTAATAAAAAAATCATGATCACGATCACGGGAGGACAGTGACAGTGACAGTGATGTATAAAAAGCTTTATATATAAAAAGCAGTCCCTCTCAGAGAGCACGGCAAGCTACCAAGAGTATCCTGTCTGCACGGCAGAGCTTGGCAAGCTCGTCGTGGTATATTCAATAGACACCAAAACAGTAACAACAAGTCTTACAATGGAGACGTTACCGGTGCCCGCTTGAGCAAATGGATGAACAATGGGAGGACAGTGCTATAGTGCAACAGTATAAAAAGCTATTTAAATTTTAGTAAGAAAGATAAACCCAATGCAATATATAAACCCCAGACCTGAACAGGAATTCACAGAAAAATTATAAAGAGGTAAAAAAAAATAAAAAAGACATTCAATTTAAAAATTAACATTAAAATAATATATCATTAGTATTTTAAGTCATCAAATATTTTAAAATTTTGATTCTACCACTGTCAACAAATATTTGTGCACACAGATACTCCCATATAGCTCATGGAAATGTAAATTGGAATACTTTTTATGGCAATTTGATAATATTGATGCATGTTTTATATTCACACGTCATGACTTTGCTATGGTACTGTACCGCTTAAGGGACTTATCCTACACACATGGGCTAGTCTCAAATTAATGTACAAGGTTTCTTATTATCGCACTGCTTATAACAGTAAAAGCTAGAAATAATTGTCCATGAGCAGATTATATCTGGCACTGGGATACTAAGGCAGTTTTACAGTAAATGCTAAAAGTAAGCTCTCCATGTTTAGCATGGTATGCCTTTTTTTTTTTATAGAGGACTTAAAAAAAAAAGGGCAAATTGCAATTCCATATATACACGGTAGGATGCATTCACACAGGTAAAAGAACATGCATGTTTGTGCTGCACACACGCTTTCTGAAAGATCTGTAAGAAACTTAGGGCTCCCTTGGGAAGAGGGAGGGGGGACTCTTAGGTAATTCTGTTTGTTGCGTTTTATTGTAATAAAAATCAGAAAGTGGCAATGGACCACTGGCCCTAAGTGTGGGAACAAGGCTGTGGAGAGTGCTTCAGCTTACCTGCACGGCTCTTTCTCGACCGACGCCCACGACGAAGACCCGGGTGCTGTGGAATAATGGGCCGGTGTCTTCGAGAAGGCTGCTCCTCTGGAAGAACAAACCCAGGGCGTCATTCCTACACAACCATTCCTGGTTGTATCCTGACGGGACTCAGCATTGCGTGTGTCCCAGGCTCTCCCATACTGTCCTCCCTTCTCCCTTTCTGGACCCACCAGTGCTGTCACCGCCTCTCACCTGATCTCTGGTTGCTCGTCACCACCTTGTACCTCCACTGGGCCTCTGAGAGAATCTTGGAGAAGCGGTGCAGGCGGCTCTGCAGTCCGGCTCTGCTTCCTGAGGAGCTCGGGCCTCCTGGCAGCTCCAGCTTCTCCGTGGGGACACAGCCACTGAGTGTATCCAGCTGCTCCTGGAGAAGCCCAAGGAAAGCTCCTAGTGCTCGTTCATTGGCCAGGAACCCAGTGATGCCGCGAGTCAAGTGCTTGAGGTCCAAAAAACTGTCCCCGCGAGGCCGCGGGTCTTTTGGTTCTGCTTCCGCACAGCCTGGAACGGGGTAAGCAAGGCTCCTGGAAATGCCCGGGGCTGCCCGTTCTGACTTCCTCTCGGGCTGTGCCGTGTGCTGAGGGCTCTCTGCTGGGGACCTCCAGCCGCTGGGGACCTTCCCCTCCACGTCATCATCCTCTGCATAGTCTTCGGGCACGGGAGGCTCCGGGTGAAGATCGGCAGATGTGATCAGGAGCAAGGAGAAGATGTTTTCTAGAAGTTCCAGGCGCAGAGAGTCGGGAACCTTGCATAGGTACTGTTGACACCTGGCCAGGTATGTCGAGAAGAGATCCGAAGCACCTATAGAGGCAGCGTGGGAGAGAAAGGGTCAGAGAAAACCAAATATGAGAAACATGACTTGCCAGACACCACTCTCATGGCCTAAACTTGCTCATGGGTTAATGATGAGGGGGAACTGCAGGGCCGGACCAAAGGAAAATGCTATCCAGCCACGACCTTCTTGATGGGCGTTGGACTTTGCAGCTTTAACTTAAAGTAAAGCTTACCAAGCGTTCACTGTTTTGTTCCTGCTTTTTCTTTGTCTGGGGGACCACACCTGGTAGTGCTGAGGAGCTACTCTTAGCTCAGTATTGGGGCTCATTTCTGGAGGGGCTGCAGGGAGTATGTGGTGCCAGGAACCAAACCATGTATCATGCATGCAAAGCTTATGCTCAGCACCTTGAGCATCTCCTTGATCCCTGCTCCTGCTTCTGTAGTAAGTATGTTTATGTGTATGTGGGGGTTTGAGTCACAGCCACCACACTCCTTAGGGTTTACTCCTGGTAGTGCCTGGGGTACTAGGGATCTATGTATATACTAGTACTATGTGCAGTACTGGGGATTAAATTGGGTCCGCAGTATGCAAGGCAAGTACCTTACTTCCTCTGCTATCTCTCCAGTTCCCAACCTACCCCCCCTTTTCAGTATCCTATTACTCCTCATCTCTGACAAGCACCGCATACTTCTATCCCTGGGATGAAGGCAGCACAGACAGTCCTTACACCTGAATACTGTTTTTTTCCCCCACTGTGACACTATGGGTGATCATACGCTGGTGCTGAGAGATAGTACAGAGGCTAAAGCACATGCCTTACATGCAGCTGATCCTGGTTCAATTCCCAGTCACTGCAGATGGTCCCCCAGCACCCACCAAAAACAGCTCCTGAGCACCATCGGATATAGTCCACTTTCCCCATTGCCCAAAAAGATGCCTGGAAATAAAATCTACCCAAGGCTCTTAGAGAATACTCACTGGTGGAGCTGGGGAGCTAGGCCACAGGGTTAGATGGATCATCATACGTCTGGCATGTAAGAGGCCCTACATTTTATTTCTGGAAATATGTGGCATATTCTCTTTTCCCTAACCCCTCTACTTCCCAGTACTGTGGGGTATAGCCCTGGTACCCTAGAACCCAAACCAAACAAACAAGCACTGTAGCACTGTAGCACTGTCCGCCCATTGTTCAATGATTTGCTCGAGCGGGCCCAGTAACATTGTGAGACTTATTGTTACTGTGTTTGGCATATCGAATACATCACAGGTAGCTTGCCAGGTTTTGCTGTGTGAGCGAGATACGCTTGGTAGCTTGCCGTGCTCTTCAAGAGGGGCAGAGGAATCGAACTCGGGTTGGTCAGGTTGGCTGTGTGCAAGGAAAATGCCCTACCTGCTGTACTATAGTTATCTACAACCTATAAAAAAAATTTAAGTTCCCAGATCTGAGAGAGATGAGTCATTAGGCCCTAAGGGATCACGAAATACCTAGCACACAGGTTGAAAAAAAGATACACAAGCAATTATATGCTCATGAAAAAGATCCTGAAAGCTTTTAAGAAGCAGTATATATATATATATATATATATATATACATATATATATACATATATATATAAAAATAACAGAGAAAAAACATCAAAGGTTAGGAATCTACAGGACACTAGAATTCAAAAATAACATTTATCATCACTTTTTTCTATACTTTAGATGGTTTCAAATTCTCTGCCCCATTGGGCAAAAATTACAGTAAACATTCCATACCACATACAAGCAAAAGCCACATACCAAAGCCCCCAGCAATATATGTTACATAGACCTACTCAGATATGAAGGTCTATTCCAAAGATAGAAGGAAAAGATAACTAAGCAACATTTCAAAGAAACTAGTGAAGACATCTTAAAAATATTACTAACAAAAATGGGGAAAATTAGGTTCTTATCTTTCACAAAGCAATATGTGATGCTTGGAATCAACTTAAGAGGACTGCATTAAAAAACGAAACAAAACAGGGGTGGGGTTGAGATAGTACCAGGGTTAAGGTTCATGCCTTGTATCAGACCAACCCTGGTTTTACCTACAGTACAATATAATGTCACCTGAACACTGTAAAGAATCACTCTTGAGCAGAGAGCCACAAAAATTCCCTGAGCAAAGAGGACTTACTCCCAATGCTCTTTAAGCTTTTCCACGAAATTGAAATATCAAAAACACTTCCGAACAGTTTCTACGAAGCAAATATCACACTGATACCAAAAGCAGACAGAGATACCACAAAGAAAGAGAATTACAGGCAGATATCCCTGATGAACACAGATGCAAAGATCCTCAACAAACTACTAGCAAATAGAATCCAACTACTCATCAAAAAGATCATACACCATGACCAAGTAGGATTCATCCCAGGGATACAAGGATGGTTTAACATTCGGAAATCAATCAACATAATCCACCATATCAACAAAAGAAAAGATAAAAAGCATATGATCATATCAATAGATGCAGAGAAAGCATTTGATAAGATCCAGCACCCCTTTATGATGAAAACCCTAGCCAAAATGGGTATAGAGGGGACCTTCCTCAACATAATTAAAGCCATCTACCACAAGCCTACAGCAAGCATCATCCTCAATGGGGAAAAACTGAGAGCCTTCCCTCTAAGATCAGGGACGAGACAGGGATGCCCACTCTCTCCACTGCTGTTCAATATAGTACTGGAAGTACTTGCAATAGCGATTAGGCAGGAAAAAGATATTAAGGGCATTCAGGTAGGAAAGGAAGAAATCAAGCTCTCACTATTCGCAGATGATATGATACTCTACTTAGAGAACCCAATAACTTCCACCAAAAAACTCCTAGAAACAATAGACTCGTATAGTAAAGTTGCAGGTTATAAAATCAATACCCAAAAGTCCATGGCTTTCCTATACGCAAACAGTGAGAGAGAAGAAAGCAACATGAAAAAAACAATCCCGTTCACAATTGTGCCCCAGAAAATCAAGTACCTAGGAATCAGCTTAACTAAGGAAGTAAAGGACCTGTACAAAGAAAACTACAAAACGCTACTTCAGGAAATAAAAGAGGACATGAGGAAATGGAAAGATATCCCCTGCTCATGGGTCGGGAGACTTAACATTGTCAAAATGGCAATACTACCGAAAGCATTGTATAAATTCAATGCAATCCCTATAAGGATACCCATGACATTCTTCAAATAAATGGAGCAAACACTCCTGAAATTTATATGGAACAATAAGCCCCCACGAATAGCTAAAGCAATTCTTGGGAAAAAGAAAATGGGAGGAATCAACCTCCCGAACTTCAAACTGTACTACAAAGCAGTAATAATTAAAACAGCATGGTACTGGAACAAAGGCAGAACTGCAGACCAATGGAACAGGGTTGAATACACTGACATCTCCCCTCAATCATATGCTCATCTAATCTTTGATAAAGGTGCAAGTAATGTGAAGTGGGGTAAGGAAAGCCTCTTTAATAAATTGTGTTGGCATCACTGGACGGCTACATGCAAAAAAATAGGCTCAGAACTCTGCCTAACACCATGTACAAAAGTAAGATCAAAATGGATTAAAGACCTCAACATCAGACCAGAAACCATAAGGTACATTGAAGATAAAGTTGGCAAAACCCTCCATGACATTGAAGCTAATGGTATCTTCAAAGATGCCACGCCACTGGCCGAGCAAGTGAAAACAGAGATAGATAAATGGGACTATCTTAAACTAAGAAGCTTCTGCACCTCCAAAGAAACAGTGACCAAAATACAAAGACAGTCTACAGAATGGGAAAGGATATTCACCGAATACACATCTGACAAGGGGTTGATATCCAGGATATACAAAATACTGGTTAAACTCCACAAGAAGAAAACATCCAACTCCATCCAAAATTGGGGCAATGAAATGAACAGAAACTTTCTCAAAGAAGAAATCCGAATGGCAAAAAAGCACATGAGAAAATGCTCTACATCATTAATCATCAGGGAGATGCAGATCAAAACCACAATGAGATACCATCTCACACCTCAGAGACTGGCCCACATTCAAAAGAACAAAAGCAACCGATGCTGGCGTGGATGTGGCGAGAAAGGGACACTCCTTCACTGTTGGTGGGAATGTCCACTGGTTCAGCCCTTCTGGAAAACAGTATGGACGATTCTCAAAAAATTAGAAATTGAGCTCCCATTTGACCCAGCAATACCACTCCTGGTAATATATCCCAGAGAGGCAAAAATGTATAGTCGAAGTGACATCTGCACTTGTTTGTTCATTGTAGCACTCTTTACAATAGCCAGAAACTGGAAGAAACCTGAATGCCCAAGAACAGATGACTGGTTAAAGAAACTTTGGTACATCTACACAATGGAGTACTATGTAGCTCTTAGAAAAGATGAAGTCATGAAATTTACATACAAGTGGTACAATATGGAAAGTATCATGCTAAGCGAAATGAGTCAGAAAGAGAGGGATAGACATAGAAAGATTGCATTCATCTGGGGGATATAAAGTAACAAAGTATGAGATTAATACCCAAGAATAGCTGAGATCAGCACCAGGAGGATTACTCCATAACTTAGAGGCCAGCCGGGTATCCTAGAGGAAAGGGCAGTTCAGATAGAGAAGGGAGCACCAAATAAAGGGTGTTTGGAGGATCCTCCCAGGAGGGGAGATGCATGTCGAAAGTAGACTATGGACTGAACATGTTTGCCACTCAATGCCTCTTTTGCAGACCACAACACCCAAAAGGAGAGAGAGAACACAGGGGATTGCCCTGCCACAGAGACAGGGGGGATGGGGGGATGGGGGTGGGAGGTATATTATCCATGGGGGTGGAAAATGGGCACTGGTGGAGGGATGGGTATCTGATCATTGTATAATTGAAACCAAAGCACAAAAAATTGTAAATCTACAACTGTAAAAAAAAAATAAAATAAAATAAAGGGAAAAAAAAATTCCCTGAGCACTGCTAGGTGTAGACTGGCCCCCAAACCCCCACAACCAAAAGCCCTTTCCACCAAAAAAAAAAAAAAAAAAAAAAAAAAAAGAAGAAATAGGAGCTGGAGAGATGATGACACCAAGGGCTGAGGGCACACTTGCATGTGGAAAAGTGGTCCTGAGCATCAGCAGGAGTAAGCTCCCCTCCCTGCCAGCACAAAGATGACAGTTGCCCCCAAACTACCAGATGTGGCCCCAAATCCTCCTTACATTAAAAAAAAATGAGGAACATAAAATGAGGTCTCCATAACCATGCCACCAAACTCCATGCCAGGATGTTTTCACCTGGGGCGCCCCAGAGCAGGGCAGGTGAGAGTCCTCCTTGCCCCAAGGGACCAAACCCTAACAGTCCAACTCCACAACCCAACCGCCGCCATGCTCAAGGTCGCTTTCTACATGCTCGGGCTGAGCTTCATATATGAGTGAACATACTCCTGGAACTTGTGGCCAGAAAAGTGGCCATGTGACACATCCCTACCCATTTTCCATAATTGCCACACTATATTTGATGGGGTTCAGACAGTAGGCAACAAATCATAGAGGGAAACCAGGGTTGGTCTGATACAAGGCATATATATATATACATATACAACAACGGGAGGACCGTGATATATATATATATAAATATATATATGTATATATATATCACGGTCCTCCCGTTGTTCATTGATTTGCTTGAGTGGGCACAGTAACGTCTCCATCATGAGACTTGTTACTGTGTTTGGCATATCGAATACATCACGGAGAGCTTGCCAGGCTCTGCTGTGCAGGGGACATACTCTCGGTAGCTTGCCGGGCTCTCCGAGAGGGGTGGAAGAATCGAACTCCAGTCGGCCATGTTGGCTGCGTGCAAGGCAAACGCCCTACCGCTGTGCTATTGCTCCAGCCCATATATATATATGTATATACATATATACACATATATACATATATGTATATATATACATATATACATATTTTCAGACATATATACCAAAGCTCACATCACCCAAACTTTAACAACATGTTAGTAATATCCTATAAAATGTCTTAATAGCTCCTGCCAAAATAGAACATTCTTCACTCTGTTTTCTATATGAACACTTTTTTATAAGCATGTTCAGCAGTTCTTCATAACAGACAGTAGAAAATATATTCTTTCGTTTGTGTTTTGGGACAAGGATTGGGGCTTGGGATGGAAACATCCTGAGTTTGGTGGTAGGAAGGTGTAATGGTGGTGGGATTGGTATTTGAATATTAAATGTAATCCAATATTGTGAAGTAACTTATAAAATAAAAAATTAAAAAAAAATGAAATAGAAAAATAATTGAGTTTACGACACAAAGAAGGGTAAATACCGTTTTCTAAAATGCAGTTTCAATTTATAGCTCATTTAGACACATATTTGCCTCTAAGCACACAACATTACATGCCTAGGTGCAAAGTGGAGGAGGCTGTGAAATATATATCATTTTTATTGTGGAATATAGTTTGCAAAAACATATAGAAAACATATCTCTAGAAGATCAGGGTCAATGATAACTTAAGCTAATCACTAACTTTCCCCCAAGTCCTTTGGATTCACAAAGAAATTGGTGGGATTACTCCTGGGTACAAGGCTGCCATCCCTAATCCTGATGGAAAGGCATACTCACCCAAATGAGTACTCACTGGCTAGGCAAGTTACTTACTTACTCAGGGATGGAGGGAGGTGCTGTACCTGGGAGGGAAAGAGTGTCATCTGCTGGCTCCATCGTTAAATTCTGGTCCTCAGTGGGGCTGTCTTTGCATTCCTGGCACTGGGAGTACTGGTGTGAGTTGACACAGAGGGCATAGATGGCGTACTTCATGGCACAGAAGCTCTGGTAGAGGGTCAGGTTTTGATTCTGGCTCAGGTGCTCAGGGACCAGGGTGTCGACTGCATCTGCATTGGAGCGAAGTGGGCAGAACATCTGAGCCTGGCATGGCTGGGCAGAGGTTGCACCCAGCAGGGCTTCCTGAGACCTCTTGCCACTTGCGATCCCTCTTCACCCCCCAAGAAATGCCATGCTTGGTGAGTGCTGTGCGAGACACCTAGCATTTTCCTCGAATCAATGGTCCATTGAGAAGCCCTAACCTGTCGCCAGGCTTTCCGGGACCCATGAGTAGCAGTGGGAGGAAGTGAGATACCAATGTTTCTCAGTCTCTCCTTCTGAGCTTCATCCCTGTTGGTCTTTTGCTCAACTTTGAGTTCCCTGCATTTGAGATTCCTCTAACTCCTCTGCCACCTTCCACACCTATTTCCCCTTTTATTAATTTCTAAAAAAAAAAAATTTAAATTGAATCACAGTGAGATATAGTTAAAAAGTGGTGGTGATTGGGTTTTAGTCATACACTGTTTCAACACCTGTCCCTCTACCCAGTGTACATTTCCTACCACCAATGCCCCCAGTTTCCCTCTCATCAACCCCCACCCCACCTCTCTCCCTCCCCTCCACCCCTCTTTCCTTTATTTTTAAATACTTTTTTTTTCTCTTTCTGGTGTTGGGGACTGAACTTAGGTTCTCACACAAGGTTGGTGTGTGTACTACCACTGTGCCATATTATTTTCAAGACAAATTTAAATTGTATTCAGATCGAACAACAGTGCAAAGGTAACAGAAAATTAAAACACTGAAAAACTCTGCTTAGAGAAAGCACTGAGATAAATATCTTGAGGGGAAATACTAACTTTGCTGAAAAAATACTTTGACGTGTTTAATAATTTGATTACACATTAAAATTTTTTTTTTAACTTTAAGAGGAAAGAAGGGCATCACTGTTTGGATGGGGTTTGTTAATCTGGTTCAGATTCTTTCCAGACAAAATGTACAATTTAATCAAATGAAAAAACATTAGATGTAAAGCAAAATGAAGAAAGACAACCCTACAAGCTGAATACAAGACTGGTATGGTCTTGCTTAATCCCTCCACTAATTTTTCTCTTATGGCCGATTCCACTGCTCAAGATGAGAGCCATCCAGAAATTATTCTGTTGAAAAACTCAGGTATGCAGGTTTGTGGCTGAAATCTCCAGGCTTTCAGGAAGTTGGGGATGGGCTACCTACCCCATCTCCCTGTCCTTCTAGAAGCCCTGGCAATCAGGCTCACGCCTCAAAGCTATCACCTACTTAAAACTTTAACTCCAGCTGTATTATCATGTTAAAAATTTTGGAATTCCTGAAGCACACAGCACATTTACACCCGTGTAACATCTCAAATTTTACAATACTGATAAACCAGGAGTACCACATTGGATGGAATATAAAGTAGAAGGCAACTAATTTTGATTAATAAAATATAAACTCACGAGGCTTAACCTGTAACAACAGGTTAGCAATCTCTTATACGAGGGCTTAATGGCTCCATGACAATAATCTGCACTAACTTTCTTTTCTTTTTTGTTTTCTTTTTTGCTTTTTGGGTCATACCTAGCAATGCACAGGGGCTACTTCTGGCTCTGCACTCAGGAATTACTCCTGGTGATGCTCAGGGGACCATATGGGATGCTGGGAATCGAACCCAGGTCGGCTGTGTGCAGGGCAAACGCCCTACCTGCTGTTCTATGGCTCCAGCCCCTAACTTTCTTTTAAGGAAACATTTTGATCATTTTTAGAATTTATAACAAGCAATATAAAAGAAATTATTGAGAGTCTGCGGTAGGGGCGGACTTGAGGGATGGTTCAGAAAATTGGAAATAATGGTGGACTATTCTCCCAGGATTCACTGCCCCACTCTGAGGGGAGGAGCTGAAATTCCATTATCTGAGGAGCTGAAATTCCATTATCTGACTGCGTCAAACAATCCTGGTTGAAGGGCACCTACTGGACCAATCCTCTGATAAATCCCAGCAGTTAATACCCTGGTTGGAAGAAATGTGTGTAAGACTGTGCTAAGAAGAAACCTTGCTCATATCACTCGATCACCAACTCACCATGTTCTTCTTGGGCTGGCACCTTCTGTAAGAGCTTGAGGACATCTTCCTCCCTGAGTGCTGGAAGGTTGGTAAGATGATGGAGAGAGTAGAGCACGGAGTGGTTGTCTCCACCATGTAAATGACACAAGAGATCTCTCTTTGGTATGGGATTGCTGAAAGAGAAAGTTGGGAGGACAGAAGGGAGGCAATTTATACAATTGTTCCGAGGAAGACTGATCCTGATTCTCTCTTTCTGACCTGTCCAAACTCCACAGGCTTCCCTTTCCCAGCTAAGAAACTCTGGGTGGTCGGAGATTGAGCAGGAGTATACTTTCTGGGAATAGTGTAGCCATCAAGTCAGTTCTAGAAAGGACCCAGAAAGAGCCTGTTTAGGTCATTAGGGTCTAGAAAAAGCTTACGATTATGCCTTCCAACATCTGGACTCTTCCTTGCTTAGAATTGATATATATTTCCACACCCTTTTGAGGAAGGGCCCCTCATTCACTTCTCCTCTGCCCATGCTGACTCTAGTAAGTGTTAGCATGTGAAGTATGAAGAGCCAAACAGGAACACAGAACAGGAAGAGTTGAAGGACCTGAGGCTATGCTACCAGGGAAAGGCGGCTTAATGTACAGTGGCTGAACAAAAGTACCGTCCAGAATAATGCATGCCTAGCACCATGGACCGCATTCCCTGTGCATGTTATTTAACACCTCAGGCGTTCAGCAGCCCACCTTTAAAGTAAGGATGGTACTGATATCTACTGAGAGGTTAAAATGAAAGCATGCACACAGTGGGCTTAGAGTGGAGCTGGGCATACGGTGCCCGCTGGGGAAACATGGACATTGTTCTTTTGATTACTGCCGTGCTTTCTTACCATGACCTGTGGTGAGGATAATCACAACTTAAGTTCCTATCCTGCTCTCATAGTTGGGACACTGACTAGTTGTTGGCCAGCACTTGTCAACACACAACACTTATGTGGTGGATGTCTGGAAATTGGCCCCTCCTCAGGACACAAGGCCAAACGTGTCCAGTGGTGGGGAAGGGCCATGGTCATACCTGCTCTGCTGCACACACCACTCCAAGACCTCCAGGTGAGCCCACAACCCCTCACAGGCATCCCCAAGGAGTTTATCACAGCCTCGGTCCTGCATTGATGGGAAAGAAGAGAGAAAGACTCAGGCTCTGCGGAGGCAGAGACTGCCACTACCTTCAGGACCCTGAGTGCTGGCTCAGCCCAGAACCTCAAAGCATTTACTTTCAGGGCAGCTAGGGCAGCAGGCGGAGAGTTTACCTGGGAAGTGTGAACTGTGTGGAGCAGCCTCTTGGCTGAATCTAGGCTCTGGCAGTGTGTCCAGCCCAGGAGGACAAGTAGTCGGCTGAGAGGCTTGAACTCTCTATCGAGCAGGTGGCCGAGACTCGGGAAGTCTTCCTCTTTCAACAGCGTGAGTGCTGTCACCTGAAAGCCAAGGGAAGTGTTCCAGGCAGCTGTGTGCACTAGGAAGAATGCCCGTGACCAGGGCTTGAGTGATAGCACAGCAGGTAGGGCCTTTGCCTTGCATATGGCCTACCCAGGTTCGATTCCCGGCATCCCATATGGTCCCCTGAGCACCGCCAGAAGTAATCTCTGAGTGCAGAGCCAGGAGTAACCCTTGAGCATCGCTGGGTGTGAACCAAAAAGAAAAAAAAAAAAAAGAATGCCCATGGCCTGCTGCTCCTGACAGTGGCTGGCTGAGTTAAAAACTGGGCATAGTAGGCTGGAGGGATCAAACAGTGGATGAGGCCCCTGTCTCTGGGACTACCAGGAGTTATCCCTGAGTGAGTGTAGAGCCAGGAGTAAGACATGAGCACAGCTGGAAGTGGGCCCCCACCTCACCCCAAATGGTCATGAAAACCCTAGGCAATATGTTCTCTGAAGATTGGGACTTCTGCTGTAGGCCCAGCTCCTAGTGTAGGATATGAGGACAAAAAACAAAGCAAAACAAAACCAAAAACCAAAACCATCTGTTGAATGAAACTGATGCTAAGCTCTATTGTGGGAGGAAAAGGTTAACAGAACCCAAAGACTCCCCGTTAACTGGACAGCCTTGTATTGGATAGAAAAGTGGGAATGAGTTGCAGGAACTAAAGGCCCAGGGAAGTTCCTGGGTATTTGTAGGAAGGTGGATGATGAAGTCAGACTTACCAGGATCTGCTCCAAGAAGTGCTTGTTGTTGGCCAGGCAATAGAAATAGGCGGATTTCCAAGCCTGGGCTGGGTCAGGATTGGAGAATAGGGCTAGAACTGTCCGCTCGGGATCGAGGTGATCTGGTGAGACTGAAAATGAAACCCAAGGGGTTACTGGGGAAGCAGAAGTCCTTCTTTCCTAAACCAGAACCCACTGGAAACATCATCTGATGTGAGAGCCTACTCTTTTTAAACCTTAAACCGGGTTTTCTACACTAATCTCTTAAAGACTCTTTCTTCCTCTCCATAGTTTAAGTTTCATGGAAAGCTCTTGAAATGCTATTACTGTATTGTTTATTTCTATCACTCTGTCTTAGACTATAAAATCCACGCATAGGTTTACGTAATGAATCTTGAGCACACTATAGTGATAGAAAGCAAGGAATTTATTCAAGATTATGGATTCAGGAGGCTAGAGAAATAGTAGAGTGGTTGAGGTGCTTGCCTTACATACAGCCAAACTGGTTTGATTACTGGTACACCATGTGCGCTCCACCCCCGCCCCCCCCCCCCCCCCCCCCCCAGCCAAGTCCTGCCAGGAAATGAGCACAGAACCAGAGTAAGCTCTGAGTATGGTGGGTGTAATCCCCTACTCAAAAAACCAGAAACAAAACAAAAAAAGATTATGAATTCAGGACAAAAGAACTCAGGGATCTACTTGAAGGGAATTACTAAAAGTGGATAATTTAGGGGCCAATGAAATAAGAGGTATAAGACGTAAGGCACTTGCCTTGAATGCAGCCAAACCTGGTTCGAATCCCAGGTACCATGTATGGTCCCTAGAGGATGGCTCAATGCCCCTACACCCCAGAGGACATGATTTAATTTTATCCTTTCCATTTAACATTTTAACACACACTTTACATTTCTAGTTTTTCACTTTTAATGCTTTCATATCTTAACAACTAAACAAAACTTGTGCTCTGGCAAGATACCCGTGACGTATTCGATATGCCAAGCACAGTAACAAATCTCACAATGTTACTGGGCCTGCTCGAGCAAATCAATGAACAACGGGAGGACAGTGACAGTGACAAGGAAACAAATCAATAGCCCATTTATGCTTAGCTTCTCCCCAACAAGACAGACTTCTTTTTTTCCCTTTTTGGGTCAAATGTGCATTTGGTGATGCACGGGGGTTACTCCTGGATCATGCACTCAGGAATTACCCCTGGCTGTATACTCAGGGGATCATATGGGATGCTGGGAATCGAACCCTGGTCCACCGTGTGTAAGGCAAATACCCTACCTGCTGTGCTATCGCTACCGCCCTAGCAACAAGACAGACATTAGACCAAAGGAACTTCCAAGAGGTTCTATTCACGGAATTATCAGTGCACAGGGAGAAGCAGTGGGAGAAACATACCTTTTCCTGACGGGGTGGCCTTTGGGGGCTTTTCTGTGTCCTTCTCGGCAAAGGTGTGGCCGTACAGGGAAACTAGCCCTAGGCCAGCCCGGTGCAGCAGGCAGCCCAGCAGCTGCTCCTCCCGCAGGGGTGACCCTTCTGTCCTGCAGGCTGCCACGAGCTCCTCACACAGGACACGGAGCTCAGGCCCCTGTGGATCCGCAGGGCACCGCAAAGTCCGCAGGGCTCCGTAGATGGCATCTACAGTATGGGGGGGTGTGGCGGCAGACTCCTGCAAAGCCCGCAGTGCCCCGAGAATCCGGCCCACCAGTGCCTTCTGCAGAGAGCCGCAGAGACCAGCGCCTTCGTCTTCTCCAAGGAGGAGCTCCAGCAGGGCCTGTGCGGGCCGGGGGGCCTGCCCCAGGAGATCCCAGAGCACAGAGACCGCTTGCGAGCTGAGCTCAGGGGTGCGACTGGAGTCGCCATCAAACACAGGGTCGGCTGCGGCTTGCGTGAGGGCCTCATAGAGCTCCTAAACGGGGAACAGAGAGAGGGAAAGGGGGTGAGGAGACCTAGAATGTCGTCACCTCTATGCCGTGGTGCTTTTCTCATTTCAGTGTTTACAGGTGTATGAATAAAACAGTAGCAGTGACCAACACTTCGATAGTTGTTAAGTGTGGACCTGAGTCACAACAGAATGCAATCTATACAATTTTAAGAGGAAGACATTAAAGTTAACTTCCTTTACAGACCGAGGAGTCAAGAGCCAGGCAAGACGAATTCAGTGACTCGGGACTTCCCTGCTGAGCTTGCTCCTGTCCCAATTCTGAACACGTCAGGGAATGCAGACTCATAAACCAAAGGGGAAAAGGGGAGCAGACACTAGGCTGACACAGGAACGAGGCACTTGCCTTCCATGTGGCTGACCTCAGTTCAATCCTTAGCACCACAAGGACTCCTAAGCAAGCTAGGAGCAACCCCTGAGCACCAGAGGCTATGATTCCCCCAAATCACACACACACACACACACACACACACACACATACACACACACCCCTCTGAGGTAATTATAAGGATTATTTAAACACATTCAAACATAAAGACGTACTATCTGTCCCCAGAGGTAAGGTAACATATATTCTCTCTTCTCTTCTCTCTCCCCCCCATCCCTCCCTCCCTCCTTCCCTCCCTCCCTCCTCCTACTCCCTCCTCTCTCCTTCTCACCTGCCCTCCCTCCCTCTCAGCACACCTGTTCCAGAACCTTTCAGCACATGCTAGTTCCTTTCTTCCTTTATTTTTTCCCCACTGACACTAGGGCACAATTTAAATACTTACAGAAATATTCCTTTTAGATGAAAGGACAAAAACCTTTAATCATAGTTATACTTGGTGCTTCCGGTAAATCCACCTCTAAGAATTCTAAAATCAGATAGTTTTACCCTCCCTCTGCACTCCCTCACAGGAGGACCTCAGCCTACCCTGGTCGTGCCCTGACACCTAGAAAGCTAACATTTTGGGGGACCTGTCTCGGTCTCAGTTAGAGCCCTCAGGTCCGAGTGTGTTGCATTACTGTCATGCTGGGAGCTCCAGGGCCCTCTCTCACCTTGAGGATGTCCTCTGGAATGTCCCCAGGAAGGTCTTCTGACAACAAGAGAAACTCGAGCTTTTTCCGGAAAATAGCTGGCAGTAATTTCTAGAAAAATCATAAAGAAGATTAGAAGTTTGGTAGATGCTTTCAGAAAATTGAAACTGCATGTTTCTCTCCAGTTAGCTCTATTCCTATCGCTCACTCAGATAAAGCATCTTTAACCTCTATACTGTCAGGTTGCTTCCAGAAGTATTTATTTACCTGCTCCCTCTTCCTTGTGGTGGTGGTGGTGGCGGGGCTTTGTGATGGCTGCTGGAACACAGCGGCCTGGCTGTGGGGCTCATTCTCAGGCATTTTTCTTTATGTTGTGAGCCTGGCAGTCCGGTGCTTGGACCAGTAATGGGGTACTCAAGGAAGTTTAGGGGCAACATCAGGACCACACCCAATGATTCTGGGGGGCATGTGGTAGTAGGAAGGAAGTGAATTCAGGGTCAGGCACATGCTAAGGCAGATGCCAGACCACTTGAGTCATCTCCGAGGCCCTCAGATATTTTCCTTTATCAGCAAAAAGAGCAAAGGGACCAGAGTAATAGGACAGTAGGTAAGGTGTTTATCTTGCATGCAGCTGATCTAGATTCATTCCCAGCACCCAAAAGCCCCCTCAGCTTTGGAAGGAGTGATCCCTGAGCGCAGAGCCAAGAGTTAAGTCCTGAGCACTGCCAGGTGTGGCCCCCAAACAAAAACAAAACTCAAAAAGATTTAAGGGGGTGTCCAAAACTTGGACACATACTCACTTTCCTCCCTTTAAATGCTTGTACTTAAATCCTAATCGCATCATCCTCATACTCCAAGGTCTGTTTATTTTACACACCTTTCTCCATTAGTAGAAGTTGTCCTCCACATTCTCCCTTACAATGTTGCTATGATACAACACCCAGCTATGGTTAAGTCTGGGTGGGAATGATCTACATGATCCTCTTTGGCTTTAAGTCCTGGTTTAGGTTTTCATCACCAGCAGGGAAATAAAGTAAAGGTGTAGGGATTTAATGTTTATTAAACACCTATGTTGTGCCAGATACACGCATCATATTTTCACATATTTTAAAAATCTCATTTAATCTTAGGCTCAGATGGTTCAAGAAATAAGGCACCTACCTTGCTTGCAGTTGACCCCCAATTTTAATCCCTGGCACTATAGACAATCCCCTAATCAGAACTAGGAATACACAGAGTCCAGGTAAGCACTAAGGACTACAGGGAGTGGCCGAAAAGCCAAAACAAACAAACAAAAAAGAGTCTCATTTAATCTCTAAATCAAACCAATTCATAGCATGGTAAAAGTTTTTAAAGTTTTAATGGATATCAGCTCTTTACTGAAAAGGGTGGATACCCAGGTTATATAAAGTATTCACAAAGATCAACATAACAAATCCAAACGCTCTACCAGAAAATGGGGAGAGGAAATGAACAGACATTTCTCAGAGGAAGACAGGTAGATGGCCAAGTAGACACATGGGAAAGGGCTCAACATTATTTATCATTCGGGGACTGCAAATCAGGAGGACAACAGAATATAATCTCACGCCAGTGAGAATGCAACGTGTCAAAAATAGTGGGAACAATCTGTGTTGGTGGGGATGTGGAGAAATAGGAACTCTCACTCCTGGTGGGCATTTTGTCTGGTTCAACCCCTCATGAAAAACAGTATTGAAAGTTCTAAGTAAACTGAGAACTGAACTGCCATATGACCCATCAATTCCGCTTTTGGGTATCTAATCCCAAGATAAAAATCATTCCAAAGAACATACGCATGCCATTACTCACTGCAGAATTTAGCACAGTAGCTGTCACTGTCACTGTCCTCCTGTTGTTCATAGATTTGCTTGAGTGGGCCCAGAAACATGGTGAGATTTGTTGTTACTGTGTTTGGCATATAGAATTCATCACGGGTAGCTTGCCAGGCTTTGCTGTGCGGGCGAGATACTCTCGGTAGCTTGTCGGGCTCTCTGAGAGGGGCGGAGGAATCAAACTCGGGTTGGCCGCATGCAACGCAAATGCCCTACTCGCTGTGCTATCGCTCCAGCCCGGCACAATAGCTAAGATATGGAATCAACCCAGGTGTCCAATGACAGACGAATAGATTATGAAGATGTGATATATACACACAGTGGAATACAATGCAGTTGCAAGGAACAATGAAATCATGCAATTTGTTGCAACCTAGTTGGAACTGGAAGACAGTATGTTGAGTGAAGTAAATCAAACGGATAAACAAAGGATAATCTCCACTTATTAATAGTATAAAGAGTAACTGGAAAAGAAAAACAAGTGTAGTAAAGGGGGAAATACCTAGATCACCCATGATTCCAGAGTATTGGGGGAAGGTAAGAAATGAATGGAGGAAGAAAAGGTAAGAAATGAATGGAGGAAGGGAGCAGATAAGAAAGGGAAATAATGGAGGAACTGGGGTCAGGTGCCTCAGGTAGAGTGGTTTAGCTACATATCCAAAGTACAGACTCAACAAGACTGAAAACATGAGATCCAAACTACAACCACCCAACTTTGAAATGTGCCTGTCAGGGTGGCAAGTCGGGACACAGGCTTTAGGGAACAGGGGAACACATGGAGGGAAATTTACACTAGCGATGGGACTGGTACTACAATATTATATTCCTAAAACTCAACTATCAATAGATTTGTAAATCACAGTTCTTTAATTAAATACATCTTTAAAAAAAATGTAACTCTTGACTGAAGATGAAATTGTCAGGGCCAGGATGTGGCTTATATGTGAGGCTCTAGGTTTGATCCTCAGCAGCTATCATTTGACCTCCCACTGCACCATCAGGAGTAACCACAATAATAAAAATTAAAAGGTACACCCAAGAATAGCCGAGATAAATACCAGGAGGCTTACTCCATGGCTTGGAGGCCAGCCGCACACTCTAGGGGTAAAGGCAGCTCAGAGAGAAGGGAACACCAAATAAAGGGTGTTGGGAAGATCCACCCAGGATGGGAGATGCATGCTGAAAGTAAACTATAGACTGAACAGATTGCCACTCAATTCCTCTTTTGCAAACCAAAGCACCCAAAAGAAGAGAGATAACAGGGGGGAGTGCCCTGCCACAGAGACAGGGTGGGGTGGGGGTTGGGGGATGGGAGGGATACTGGGATTAGTGGTGGTGGAGAATGGGCACTGGTGGAAGGTTGGGTACTCGATCATTGTACGACTGAAACCCAAGCACAAAAGTTTGTAAGCCTACAACTGTACCTCATGGTGTTTCACTAATAAAAATTTAAAAGAGAGAGAGAGAGAGAGAGAGAGAGAGAGAGAGAGAGAGAGAGAGAGAGAGAGAGAGAGAGATATCTCACTGGAGAGATCGAACAGCAGGTAGGGCTTGCCTTGTACTAGGCCAACCCAGATTCGATCCCTGTCATCGTATCTGGTCCTCTGAGCACCACTAGGGGTAATTCCCAAGTGCAGAGCCAGGAGTAACCCCTGAACACTGCTGGAAGTGCCCTCCGCTCAAAAAATAAAAAGGTAAAATAGGTAGCAAGTGTTTCTCAAAAATTTCAATCATGAAAAGGAACGTGAGGTGGGAAAGAGAGTACAATGGGTAAGGCACTTGCTTTATCGCGGCTCAATCCCTTATACTCCAAACCCTGCCAGGAGTGAGCAGAGAACCAGGAATAATCCTTGAGCAACACTAGGTGCAACCCCTCCCCCCATCCCCTCACAAATAAAAGGAAGGTGACTGCACTGTGGCTGATAAGACATGCCATCAGAGGAGAGAGAGAGAGAGAGAGAGAGAGAGAGAGAGAGAGAGAGAGAGAGAGAGAGAGAGAGAATATGATATAACTCAAGACCAGGAGCACCTGCAGGACTGCACACATATGGCACGTCTGCATAAGGCTTAAGATACAAGATCAAAGGTCATTCATGTACCAAAGGTTATTATATTGCATCTTTACATTAAAGGGTAAGACAATTTGGCAAGGCCCAAATCTTGCCACCTTCCTCTCAATTCACCTATAACATATAAAAAATACTTGTCTACTACTAGTAGTTGGGAGTTGGTGGGAAGAAGCTGCAAGATAGTGCTTCTACTCAGGAGTATAAGGAGGGACACTTAAGAGGCCCAGACAGCAGACCCCCAATAAAAGTACAAAGTCTGTCTAAGATTTCAGGTCTCTCAAATTCCAATGACTGATTGGCTTATATTTATGTCACTGATGAGATTACTTTACTCGAATGCAGGGTCATAAATGACTAAAACTCCTAAGACAGTTATGAAATTGCTAAATGTTTCTAAGAATAAATTTTCTTATCATAGAAGCAAACAACAACAAAAAGAGCAAGGCATATTTCAAGTATTAGAATGAGAATATAAATACACAAAGGATAAAAGACCCCGCCCCCACCCTCAACCTTTTCACTGTAAGAGAAACACTTGAATAGTGATTTAAGGGCATTAGGACCACCTCATATGCATGTAGATGCACGTAAACCAAACAGTTTTCTCACCAAAAAATATTTGGTCTTCCCACTGGTGCTCAGAAAGGGACCATTAGGAATGGGGATTAAGCTTGGGCCTCAAGACCAAGACATGCGCTCTAGCCCTTGGAGCTGTTTCTCCAAGAGACCTGGAGGTTCCACCTAGCAATTTTTGGCCAATCCGGCCAGTGATTCAATATGAGAGTGCCAACATTCGGTGCTGCTTGGATTGTGCAGTATTTAGATTTAACTGAGCCACACCTAGTGATGTTCCAAGGATCTTGTACTTCTGGGGATTAAATGGGGGTTGGTTGCATGAACCTAATCCCTGTACTATCTCTCCATGCTCCCCTTTTGGCAGACATAGTAGAGTCTAGACATCCTTTCTAGTTACTGAATAGTGCACAGTTAGTTTACATACAGTTATATTTTCATTTATTGTGTAATAATAGCCTGCCAGTTTGTCCAAAGTAGGAATGAAATAATAAACTGGCAGGCTACTGAATGTAGCCTGCCCACACAGCAGAGTCTGGCAAACTCCCTGTGTTGTACCCAATATGCCAAATACCAGTAACAATGATGGGTCTCATTCTCCTAAAGAGCCTTGAATATAATCTCAGGGCTAGGATGAAGGAGACGTTACTGGGGCTTGCTCGAGGCAATCGATGACTAACAGGATGATTTGTGATTTGTGATTTTGTGTAATAATAAATGAAATAAAAATTACCATTTTGTGGCTATGGGAGAAATTTGCAATTTTTCTCTATTAAACAGCAGTTTCATAAATGGTGGGTCACAAAAAATTTTGGGAACAATGTGCAATGACCAAAAATGAATTCAAGGGGCTGGAGTGATAGCACAGTGGGTAGGGCGTTTGCCTTGCACGTGGCCAACCCGGGTTCAATTTTCAGCATCCCATATGGTCCCCTGAGCACCGCCAGGAGTGATTCCTGAGTGCAGAGCTAGGAGTAACCCCTGTGCATCACCTGGTGTGACCCAAAAAGCAAAAACAAAAACAAACAAAAAAAAAGAATTCAAAATCAAATGCATGGGGCCGGAGTGATAGTGAAAGTAGGGTGTTTGCTTGTACATTGACAAGCTGGGTTCGATCCTCAGCATCCCATATGGTCCCCCAAGCCCTGCAAGGAGTGACCCTGAACAAAGAACCAGTGAGTACTGCTGAGTGTGACCCAAAAACAGAACCAAAAAATCAAATGTGTAATGAATCTGATATGTTTCCAGCAGCATTTACACTGTGATATCTCCTCAGTGAAAGTGGTTTAGAGTGGGAAAAGTTTATGAAGCCCTATATTAGACGAATCGGCAGATAAGTAGGGGCTAGAGCGATAGTACAGCGGATAGGGCTTTTGCCTTGCATGCCGTCATCCTGGTTCAATTCCTGCCATCCCAGAGGTTTCCTCGTGCACCACCAAGAGTAATTTCTGAGTGCAGAGCCAGGAGTAACTCCTGAGCATCACTGAGTGTGGTCCAAAAGTCAAAAAATAAATAAAAGTAAAAAGAAATTGCAGAGAAGTGAACATTTCTGCATTTCAGTCTTTGCACACCTCCTTATACATATTGAGATAAATCCAGTCATTAAAAAGGAAGTAGAGAAAAATAAAAAAAGGAAGCAGAAAGTTAGAGTGTGGGAAAAGACAGGTAGCCAGCTAATTTCCAGAAGAGGAAGGCCACTGCAGAGTAATGGGGCTTGCAATACTATTCCCATAGCATACTGAAAATGGTGGCACTTGTAGAGTACTAAAATTCTTCCAGGTCTAATACATTTCCCACAGTGCTTAAATAATCAAGACACTGGAGCTTTCAGGACCTAATGATGCTGGGGAAAAACAAGAACAACTCTTAGTCTGTACTATGGGGGCAGGAAAGTAGAGTTCATCATGTGATTTGGTTGAGCAAGTGTCAAGAAAATAAGCAACCAATCAGCAATAATGGAAGAAATAAGCTTTGCAGAGGGCCAAAGTTCATCAGATTTGACAAATTCCATGTTTGTACTGAAAAGATCATTAGTAACAACAGAACTTCCTTCTGTCCCCCTCTCTTTGGTTATAATAGTTTAATGAGTTGTTTTCTTTTTAGATCTGAAACTACAGCAAATTCTTTGTTTTGCAGCCTCCCTAGTGGTGCTCAGGGGTTGCCATATTTGTCTGTGCTGGGGTTGTGGTGCATGCAGTGCCAGGACTGAACTCAAGGCATTCGCTAGGAGAGCTTTGAGCTACCTCTCCAGTCCTAAAGCCAACTCTTAATCATCCTGGGGCTGATTCTTTTTCATATGTACTTCTCTTGCTTCCCTCTCCTGTTAGTCTCTCCTGTTTGTATTTTGTGTGTGTTTGTGTGTGTGTGTGTTGTTCTGATTTTCAGCCATACCCGGAAATGCTCAGGGCTAACTCCTGACTCTGCACTCAGGGATCATCCCTGACAGGCTTGACACCATACGAGTGTAGGGAATTGAACGTAGGTCCGCCACATGCAAGGCAAATGCCCTACTTTCTGTTTTATTGCTCTGGCCCTCTCCTTTGTCTTTTTTCTTTTTTTTTTTTAGGCAACTGGCTGAATAAACTATGTTTCCGTAGCAATGTGTTGTTCTTTGGCAGTTACATCAAACCCAGGTTGGCCACATGCAAGGCAAATGCCCTACCTACTGTTCTATTACTCCGGCCCTTTCATTTTTTTTTTTTTAGACGACTGGCTGAATAAACTATGTTTCAGTAGTCATGTACTAGGCAGCTGCATGAAGAAAGGCAAATGTAAATGAGCCAGGGAGATAACTCAAAGAACTTGAGGCGTGCCTGGCCTGAGCAGTCCCCAAGTTTGATCCCTGGCACTGCATGATCTCCTCCCTCCAGCACTGCCAGTTGTACCTATGATGGCTCCGGGCACCCCTAAGCCTGAGCAGCACTGCATAGGTTGGGGGTGATCCCATCAGGTCTGTACAGCAGGGCCAGGTACTTCTGCAACTTGGGGCTTCTGAGCATACATTGGGAGCTCTGTGTTCCCAAAAAGGATAGGGATCATGAAAACTAAAGACAAATTACTAAAAGAATTAAAGAAGAAAATGAGATGAATTAGAGATAGTTGCAAAATAGGATTTTTCAACTTTTTCTTTTTCTGGGATGTGCCTGGTGGTACTCAGGGAGTACTCCCGACTCAGGGCCTGGGGACTGTACCCAGCGCATGTGTTCCAACCCACTGAGCAATCTCCCGAGCCAGGATTTTTGATTTCTTTCTTTCCATTCGACGTGCACTAAATTAGTGTTGTAGGGAACCTCCAGGAACAGCCAGTGGTGCAGGGGCTTCCAGGGCTCTGGCAGTGCTTGGTGAGCCATGCGGTGCTGGGTTCAAATTCACATCCTAACACCTATGTAGTATGTGTCCCTGATCACTTGCCATCTCCTCCAGGCCCTCACTTTCTTTTTTTTGCTTGTTTATTTTTGGGCCGAACTCAACTTTGTTCAGGAATTACTGCTTGTTCTTTGCTCAGCAATCATTCCAGGCAGGGCTCCGGGGAATCCAATTGAGTGCAGGGGATAGAACTTTGGTCAGTTGTGTGCAAAGCAAATGCCCTACCTGCATTCCTATTGCTCTGGCCCTCACTTTGTTTTTATGTTTGGCAACTTTTAGTTGAATTCATATGACTTATTAAATTTTTAATTAATGAGGTTTAAAATCTGTAAGGCTTCATGGCACATAACTAGAAAAAACTATTGTTTGAAAAGCAACCAAGTATGATCTTAGTCCGTTCTTTACTACTTAATATTATAAGGTTCATCATGTACTTGCTATTTCATTGCTTTTACCGAGCTCTGTAAACTTTTGTTCAGGCATGAGACATATGGTGGTATTAAGCAAAATGGTGTTGCCTCAAGTGGTATTATAGATCATTATATTATAACTACTTATAAGTTCTTTTAAGTTCCAGCTTCTATAGAAAATTTGAACTATAAACCAACTTACCTTTTCTCGAGCCAACCATTTTTCCAGTACAAGAAGCCAGACCCAACCTAGTCTTTGTGGGTTAAAGTCTTGTCCACATCTAAAAAAAGTAAAAAGAAATTATTTATTAAAAAAAAGTTTCTATTGATCTTTTCTTTTCCTTTATGATCCAAGATTTAGACTTCAAGGGTTGAGGGGCTAGAGCAATAGCACAGTGGGTAGGGTGTTTGCCATGCACGCGGCTGACCCGGGTTCGATTCCCAGCATCCCATATGGTCCCCTGAGCACCGCCAGGGGTGATTCCTGAGTGCAGAGACAGGAGTAATCCCTGGGCATCGTCGGGTGTGACCCAAAAAGCAAAAAAAAAAAAAATAGACTTCAGGGATTGAAAAGATAGCAAGAAAAGTTCTTGCTCTATCAGCAGTCTACCTGGGTTCAGTGTCCAGCATTACATTTGGTCCACTGAGTAGCATCAGAAGGGATACCTGAGCCCAGAGTCAGGAGTCAACCCTGAACAACACGAGGTATAAGTCAAAAACCAACACACACACACACACACACATAAAAACACACACAATGATTTAGATTTCACTATTTAAACCTGAACAGGACAAGACACTGTACTAATAAGACATTTTTGATTGATTTTGCACGACAGATAAGTAGCTGGAATTAGCAGCTGGAGTTAGCATCTTTTATAAAATAAAATCCCACTCTATTCTCCCTATCAGGACTTTGTGATTTTTTTTTTTTTTTTTTTTTTTTTTTTTTGTGGGAGGTAGGGTTTGGGCTACACCCAGCAGTGCTCAGTGTTTACTCTTGACTGTGGTCAGGGATCAGTTCTGGTGGTACTTAAGAGCCAGGTGTAAGCCCTGAAGTTAATAATTTAAATTTAGCAGCTACTGGCTAGAACCAAACACTGTCAAACACTGTCCTCCCGTTGTTCATCGATTTGCTTGAGCGGGCCCAGTAACGTCTCCATTGTGAGACTTCCTGTTACTGTGTTTGGCATACTGAATACTTTCGGTAGCTTGCCAGGCTCTCCGAGAGGGGCAGAGGAATCGAACCCAGCTTGGCCGGTCTGGCTGCGTGCAAGGCAAACGCCTTACCGCTGTGCTATCACTCCAATAGGTTAGCGTGCGCCTAGAACCAAATTTAAGAAAAAATGATTTGAAAAAAAAAATTTTTTTAACCCGTGTTCCATTCTGAACCCTCACACGAGTGGTCCCTGAACACAGAGCAAGGAGTAAGCCTTGAGCACTACCAGGTGTGTCCCAAACAAACAAACAAACAAACAAAAGAGGTACAGAAATAGGGGCTAGAGAGATTGATAGTACTCGGTTAAGACACTTTTATGTGACTGACTCCCAATTTGATTCCTAGTGTCTCATGGTGCTAGTATAGTATTTAAATAATAACTGCTAGAGTAAGAGAAAGTAAAGGATAATTATATTTAATTTCTATATCATGAGTTGTTAATAGCACTGACAGGAAGAACTTGATTCAAAAATTTAGATAGAGAACAGTGGTTGTCAGAGAACAAGGAGGAATTAAACAAAAGAAGTAGCTTTAGGGAGTGAGGGGCTATTGTTTTGTGATGATATAATAATTCTGTATCACGATCTTGTTGTAGTTCTATGAATCTGCACATGGATCACACTGCAAAGATCTGTATGTACAAAAGTGAATGCGAACTTTAAAACTAGTACCTATATACTGAAGACTGTTATTTAGCTTATGTTTGCTTTTTGGTTTTGGGCCACACTGGGGATGCTTATTGGTAATTTCTGGCTCTGCTCTCAGGAATTACTCCTGGCAATGCTTGGAAGACCATATGGGATGCAGAGGATTGAACCCAGGTCTGGCATGTGCAAAGCAAGTGCCCTCCCAGCTGTAGTATCGCTTTGGCCCCTATTACTTAGTTCAAAGCAAAATATCACAGGTTCATTATTGTACTATATGAGATTTTATAACTGGGAAAGCTGAGAAAAAGGTAGTATTACTTTTGCACTTGTTTTTTGGGGGTGTGGGTCACACCTAGTGGTACTTAGGAGCTACTCCCAGTGATGCTGGGGGACAATGAGGCACATCAAATTGGGAGTCAGCCTCTTAAAAGTGCCTTAACCCGAGTACTATTTCTCTACCTTTTTGTTTTGTTTGCTTTTTGGGACACACCTGGTGGTGCTCAAACTTACTCTTTGCTCTGTGTTCAGGGACCACTCCTGTGAGAGCTTGGAATGCAATCTGGTTCAGACGTATGCAAAGTCAGCATCTTACCTGCTGTACTATTGCTCTGGTTCCTATTTCAGCACTTCTGGGCCTATAATTACTCCAAAATGAAGTTTTCAGTAATTTCACTTCCTCTAGGCTTTGTTAAAGCCACAAACATATCTTCAGTTTCATGAGCAAGAGATAGTACCTTTAGGTTTGTTTAGAGGCAAGAAAAAGTTTTTCAATGCAATACCATTGTAGCACTGTCCTTTAATTAAAGAAGCAGTTTCAGGCATACATTGAAAGTCAGACTTAAATGCAGTTCTGGATGATTAAGGTTCAGTATTAAGTAATATACTTAGATTATTAAAAATTTTTTTTGGGGGGGTTTATACCCAGCAGTGCTCAGGGTTTACTTCTGATTCTACATTCAGGGATAACTCCTGGTGAAGCTCAGAGGATCATATGGGATGCCAGGATCAAGCCCAGGTGGTTGCGTGCAAGGCAGGAGCCCCCCACCTTCTTCTATCACTCCAGCCCCTTCTACAAACTCTTCAGAGTAGACAGATGAAAGCCCAGATGTTGCGCGTGGTGTCTCCTATCTTGTGACTGCCTGGTAGGAAGAGAGATCCCTTACCTCAGCTCATTTGGACACACCACCAGAGCCTGAAGTAGGTCTTCCACCTTCTTCGGGATATTGCCGTGTGCCTCCTGGAGCTGTGGTACACAAGCCTGTGCCAGGTCCCAGTCTCCTCTCCGTAGGCACTCACAGAAAAATTCAAATAGCTGCTGTTGGGAAGCAATTTCTTCCTTCCCAAATGGATGATTCATTTTTTCTCAGAAGAGATGAATTAAGCACAACACTTTCCCAATGGCCTCATTCGTGGAGCACCTCCTAGAAATATAAACCAGAACTGAAAAAAAAAAACCAGAAGCAACTATATTTGGACAAATGAGTCCACTTAAAAGCCAGACTGGGAAAGGCGGAACTTCTTTTCCATAGTTATCGTATTAGGTTTGATTTGACAATGTAAGTCATCTCTTTTTTCACAACTTCCACATTTCCCCCAAGGGAAATCTCTCTACGAGCACCCAGTATGTAATTAATACTAATTATCTCATTAGCGCGGGGCATAGACCCCAAGCCCCACTTCCGCATTCCCTCTTGAACTTTACGTTCAGTGCGGCTCCAAATCACCAGGTGTTCGTCGCCTCCCTGGGATCAGAAATTCAGCAGGTACCTCCCTAGTTAGAGCCTTCTCTTGAAGGCAGAGAAGAGAGGATCGACAGTCGAATCGGTGTCACGACTGGCGGTGGGATTTAGGGCGCAGGTACACCAGGCACTCAGATCCTGGGGCGCACACCCGCCAGCTCCATGGGGCCACACACTCACCTGCTTTAGGCGCCCAGAGGAACGGGGCTTCCAGCGCAGCCATGTTTGAGCCCGGTCAGGTGACAGATCCCAGGAGCGGGCGGGGGGAAGAGGGCGTGGTTACTGGGAGTGGCTACTCCTATTGGCTGGCTAGAGACAGGATGCAAATGAGGCGCCATATTTGTTTGGATCACGTGCCACTGACTCCTTAGACTGGAGCGAGGTGGTGGGGACAGTAGAGCTGAGAGCTGGGTAAGAATCGTTATGCACTTAGGGAAGTTCCTCAGTTCAGTATTGGACCTCAGCACCCTCAGTTCAGTATTGTGTAGAACGTGTGGCTGGAATAACTGTTTCCCATGAATATTTTCTGCTTTTTTAATTTCAAAACCCTGTTACAGCTTTGCCAGATCCAGGGATACACAAAGCTAGGCTACTAGGATCCATTACTGTTTTGTCCACATGTACCTTCCACAATCCTGGAACTCTTTATCCTGAATTCCTATTTTCTTCTGCTAAACTTTGCTAATTTACTTGCCTATTTTTCCCAACAGCCAACAATTACACGGTAAGCTAAACTTTACTTAGAAGTTGAGTAAGTGTCTCAAATGTCCTGAATGTGTTGTTCCCAAAAGGCTCATTCTAGTAAGGAGTGCAGTCCAGTAAACTAGATACACTGGGCTCAATCTTATAGTGAAAGTAGGGGTGATAAGATCATATTCTGAGCAAGGACCTTGCAAATATAATCTGAAAGCAAACCTTTTGTTTGTTTGCTCGTTTGCTTGCTTCCCGTATTGTTGGTCAGGGTGTTGCTCTTGGATGTGCTATGGTGCCATGCGGTGCCCTGAGGCCCCTAAAAGGACCTTAACTTTTATTTGGGGGAGAGAATAGGTTGTGGCCATCGCCTTCAGGGCCTATGCGTGGACCTATGCTTAGGAATGACTTATTTCCAAGTTTAGGGAACCATATAGAGCACTGGGGTTCAAACTTGGCTTTAGCAGCTGCACAGCTGTAAGTGCCTTACCTGTTGTTTTAATTAAATTTCAGGCTTCTTAAAGTAACAGTTTAAAGATTAGTTTCTCAGCACAACGATTTTTTTTTTTTTGCCTTTTGGGTCACACCTGGAGATGCACAGGGGTTACTCCTGGCTCTGCACTCAGGAATTACCCCTGGTGATGCTCAGGGGACCATTGGGATACTGGGAATCGAACCTGGGTCGGCTGCATGCAAGACAAATGCCCTACCCGCTGTGCTATTGCTCCAGCCCCAGCACAACGATTTTTACACCAACCTTCTACTTGTTTTCCTTTTTATTCTACCTTGCTGCTGACTCTTAAGTTTTCTCATAATGTTTTTTCAGTTTGGGCAATTGCATTTGGGTCAAACTATCATCAATAAATGATGGTGAAAAATGCAAATGAAAACAAACAAAAATTGCTCACCATAAAATTCTTCTGGACTGGAACAATAGTACAGATAGTATAGGGTAGGGCATTTGCCTTCACGCGACTAACCAGGGTTTGATCCTCGGCATCCTATAACATGCCCTGAGCACTGCCAGGAATGATTCCTGAATGTAGAGCCAGCAGTAAGCCCTGAGTACAGCTGGATGTGGCCCCCAAATCAAACACACACACACACACACACACACACACACACTCCCCCCCTCCAAAAAAATAAAACCCAACCAACTGTCTTCTGTAAGTGGATTCTCATGACACTGGTACAATAAGGATTCTGGATGTGTGGGTATGGTAGTAAGCTAGAGTGCAGTCTAGCACATGTTTTGCATGCTGGAGGAGCAAGAAAAGAGCTGGGAGTGGCTCCCAAACAAACAAACAAACAAAAAAAGGCAGAGGTTGAGGGATTGCCTAATGGGCTGAGTGCCTGTTTTCTTTGCAGAAGGCCAGGTTTGATCCCTGGTACTGTACTGCTGGTCCCTGAGCACCTCTGGGTGTGGCCCAAACATCAAAACCCAAAGAAAACACACACACACACACACACACACACACACACACACAAAACAAAGCCCCATTTAAAAAAAAAGCTGTGTTCAGAATAGGAGACAGAAGTAGCTACGTAGTGCCAAAAATAAAATAAAACTCAAGGCCTTACAAATGCAAAGGCAAGTGCAGAACTGCGTTTCTGATCCTCTAATAAGAATGTTTACTGATAAAAAGAATGACAAAGGGGACGTTCAGGCAGGTTTTTCTTGTTTTTTAAAAATTGAAAATTGGGGCTGGAGTGATAGTACAGTGGATAAGGCATTGCTTTGCATGAGGCCAACTCAGGTTTGATTCCTAGTATCCCATATGGTCCCCCAAGCACTGCCAGGAGTGATTCTTGAATGCAGAGCCAGGAGTTACTCCTGAGCATCGCTGGTGTGACCCAAAAAGGAAAAAAAAAATTTAAAAACTATATTCTAGGCACTGATTGACAATACTGGTTATTGATAGGCTTTCATGCAGACATTGTTCCATATGCCATACCCTACACCAGAGTGACTGTTTCTGTCTATGGTCTACCACCAGCTCAGTTCTGTACCACCAGTTCTCAGATACTGTGCAGGCAAGATTCTCTTGCTTCACAGACTCGCATGATATTCTTCCAGAATATCAGACGTGTCTGTGTGTCTGTGTGTCTCTGTGAATGTATGGGAGGTGTTTGGGGCCAACTTTCTGGGTTGGTGCTCGGGGAACCATGTGGTAACCAGGATGGAATTTTGGTCCACTTTGAGCATCTGGGTCCCCTTTGAGCTCTCTCCCCAAGGCCCTCCACAGAATGGGGCGGGGTGGGCAGGTTGGCACAATCCTGCCGTTCTCAAGTTAGCTCTTGGCAGTGCTCAGGAGAGCATATAGTATGTGGTTCCTGGGATGAGCCAGTCTGCATAGCACGTGCTCCTGACTCTTGAGCTGTCTCTCGGGCTGCTCGTCAGCCGACATTCTCATATGTAAATCAGCCTGCCGTGCAAAACGCCGAACCCGGTTCCGGACCTCGAACTACAATTCCCAGCAGGCAGCGGAGCCGACATCGGTCTTTCCCTGTCTCTTATTGGACGGTGTTGCCGGGGACGGCCCCAACCCGCGCTGCTATTGTTGCTTCGCGGCGCTTTCCGCGGGGAACTGAGGCGGGGGTGGGGGAAACTTTGAAAGTTGGATGCTGCAGTTTGAAAGTTGGATCCGGTACTGAAAAGTCTCGTGTAGCGGGGGCAGTGGTCGGGAGAGTGGGTGCGATCTCTATCTTATGATCGCTCCCTGGGGCCGTGGGCATTGGTGTCTGGGGAGTGGTGAGTCTTGGTTGCAGGGCACGCCCCTTACCGAATGGGGAATCTTTGCTAGAAACCCGCCAAAGTTATCTGGGGGTCCCCCGGCTGCCTTCGCGGGGGGCACGGCGAGTTGGGGAGGCGGATGCTTGGAGGCTGCTCCTTGCGGAAGAAGGTCCATTCCAGGGCTTTCTGGGATGATGCTTTCGCCTCTTGGTCTTTCTTACCTCTTGCGAGCAGCTAGGTAGCAGGAAACTTGACCGGGGAACCTGTCACGTTGGGGAGAGCGGGAAGTGTTAGCATTCTGCCCCAGTTCAGGTGGTGCTAGAGGAGAGATAGTAGCGTGGAATCTGGGCTCGTCCCTGGATTCCATTGCGGGCTCTTGCACTTTGCATACCTTCTTCAATTCGATACCTTAGTAGCCTTAATATGTAAAATGCAGCAAAATATCAGAAGCGCTTAGAACACTGCCTGGCCCTTAATAAATGCTCAAGAAAATATGAGCTATTATTGTTACCTCACAGCTTTTGCCAACCCTTTGCAGTGGATGTTTCGGAGGAGGGAATTTCGCCTCTAAACTGGATTTTCTGCCCTTCGCCTTAGAAGATCTCTTGCACACACTTGTACAGGGGAATTAACTGCAAGAAATTTGTGAGAAATTTTTGTAAGACAGAAGCCGGAATACCAAGCTAATAGGACTTATGGAGCAATGTGTATATGATGGAGAAAAACATTGGAGAGGAAGAAAGTGACGTGGGGGAAAGCTTTGTAGAGGAAAGTTAGGAAGGGAAGTGGCCCCCTACCCTCCCCCAAAGCAGGTCCTGGGAGGAAGCAGCATGTTTTGCTGAATGAAGTGATGATTAACTAGCCACCATCCAAATCTCTTAATGTGTTCTACGAAGTAGAAGTTTGACTCACCCTGTTCTGCAGGGTGATTTGCAGGAAAGGAAGGCACTGAGAGGTGAAGTCATTTCACCAGGAAGGCATGGATTAGGGTTTTGCTCCCACACATGAGTGAGAGGGACCAGTTTATGGAGTGTGGATCCATTTGAAGCATGAATTTTGTTTTGGGCCACACCCAATAGGGGTTACTCCTGGTGATCTCCAGGGACCATATGGGATGCTGGGAATTGAACCCAGGGTGGCCTTGTACAAGGCAAGCAGCCTACCCACTCTGCTGTTGCTCCAGGCCCAGAAGCATGAAATCTTTCCTCTGGTCTAATAGTTCCTAGGGGAGGTTTGAGACCAACAGGATTAGAACAATTTTTAAGGAAGCTACTTCTGGCAGGCAGGATGCTGGCACTGGTCTCTCTTTTGCAGGCCACTTGGGAGCTTTTTTCCATTTACTTCCATAGCACAGCGGTAATCTTTATTGCACAACTGCCATTCTTTGTGCATAAATCTATCTTTTTTTTTTTTTTTGCTGGGTTTCTTAAAAAGGAGCAAATATGCTTTAGTAATTGTTGGCCCTTGGAAATCAGTGTGTGGGATGGGGCTGCTGAGAGTAACTAAAGACAATAGAAATCTGGGTGAGTGTTAGGAGTCGCCCCCAAAGGAAGAGAGAGCAGAGTTGGTTGTCTTTAAAGGCTCAGCGTTTACTATTCTTTTTGATTAGCTTTATCAGTTTAGATGTTGTCATTGTCTAGAACTAGTCTGTAAAGAACCAAAAACAGTAATTATTACATGTCACTTGCTGGACAGCCTTTGTCCAAATAAGTCAGTACGACAAATCCCCATTGAGAGGGGAAAGATAAAAACCTTTTTTTTTTCTTTTTTCCCTTTTTATTTATTTATTTTTTGATCATACCTGGCGATGC